GAGTTTTGCTCCAACCCTAATCAAACACAGCTGATCCAAATAATCATGGTCTTCAAGATTACTGGAGACTCTTAAGCAGGTGTGAGTTGGAAGTGGTTGGAGCTAAACTGTGCAGAGCTGCGGACCTCCAGGAATTGAGTTTGAGACCATTGATCTAAAACATCTTAAATTGTGTGCTGAAGATGAATGATAGTCTCAAGGGTTGGAAACAGCATAAGTGTGATTAATTAATAATAGAAGTTTCATAAACCAACTCTTTAACTTCCTGTGTTTGTTCCAGTTCATTGCCGGCATAAGGTTTGAGATACATTACACACTTATATGTCTCTACATATGGACAATGCAAGCATGGTATATTCACACAGAGACAATTGCCTCCTCGCCAAATAGAGTGAGAATGCAGGAAAGCATATATTTGTACTTTACTTTGTTTCCATTTGACCTTTCTCCTGAGCTTCCTTGTCTTCTTTCGCTCTAGTCACCACTCAGCTCACACAGAAGGGTCATATCAAAGTATAAGAATGTTCTGTATCAATGCAATTGAATTAATATATCACGTTTGATATCATTTGAAATAACTTGACTGCAAGGGTCTTGTTGCTTCAGAGATAAACAATCAAAATAATATTTATTACTTCAGGGGTCTTTTGGCCCACTTATTTATTCAAATTACCATTTGTTGAAAGAAAGTAGAAGAAAGTCTTATCTAACATTCCACTCTATGCAAATTTCCTTTGTTGTTTCTCACATCCCTTCCTGAAGGAGATGTCGTGCTCTGAGAATTTAAGGAAAAGTTTCAAGAGGTTCAGGAAGCTCAAGGCAGGATTCTGTAACTAGGTCAGCCCATGAAATGAGGCATTCATGCTCCATATTATATAAAATATTGAAGTCCAGTATGCTATATCCTTGCAGTATCGAAAAATTTCATTGAATATTTATATTCTTCAAGGTTTAGAATTTAGAAGTTAGAATTTCCAGTATTGTGACAACTCTACTGGCTAATGACCAAGACAGATATGTTTGTGATTAAGAGATCATTTGGCCAGTACAAGACTTTGTTGCAGGAATCCTAATGAGCGAGTATAATATACAGAAACGAGAATAAATAAAATAATCAAACATCATTTACTGATGTTGAAGGAAATCTCCTCAACCACCAACAGTCTGCAGCTTTCTCCTGGATGACAAGACGGCAGCCATATTGCGCGAACACTACACACAAACTAATTGGTGGAGCGGAGGCAGAGTAATCAAGCAAATTATGGGAATGGTTAGGAGACCATGATTGACAAGAGGCCAGTGGGCTAATTTAAAGCAAGACATAATCTTCAGCCTTGTGCTCGTCAACATTCTCACCTGAGTTAACAATACGATTATTGAAATGATCTCAGCAGGTCCTTTAATGACAGCAATGAAATGCAGTGGAACGTTTTTTTCAGCATTAAGTTAATTTTCATGTCAAAAAAGGAGTATGCAATGCACCTAATCACTCTTCATAACATTCTGGAGTATATGTAAATTGCTTTTATAAATCTTAAGGAGCAACTTTTCCAATATTTTCGTCATTCTCAACTTTTGGCCACGACTGGACACTGGAAAGATCGTATATTCAGTAAACTTTCATCCACCAGTAGACACCAACATTGGACTGACTGGGTGGACCTTTTTACAGGTTTAAGTTTTTTTGTTTATTTATACACTAGATCAAAACTCCACTTCTGATGTTTCCTGTCAGTATCACAGCCCAGCCAAGAATATACCTGAGCTAGAGGGACAGAGAGCCGAGAAATTTCACAGTACCCTAAATACCTTATATGTGTGAATTGTATTCTGAGTAAAAACAAGAGGAGGTGAAACTGCATGTATGAAAGCAAGACCATGGACACAGAGGCAGAGGTTTGTGTAGAGACTGTTGTTTGTCTGTAAGCCTCTCGTTTTTATTGTCTGACAATAAATCCCCTTTTTAAAATCAAGACCCTCTGACTCGACTGCTGATAGAAAGGCGAGAAACAAAACACAACAGTCTCAACCTCAAAACCTGTCTCCACCTTGGTCCTCCGACCCATTGGCTCTATAGATACTTTAACATGGCATGGTACGATCAAGTGGCAACCCTCCACTCTATAGGCAAGAACTATAGCTACTTAACTGCTGTGGAAATGAAAACCGAGCCAAACAAATTCAAACTGAAGTGAGCCAAACCATCTCAAAGTAGCGCTGCAGTAGAAAAGAAGCTTGTGCTCCTTTGTCTTTACTGTCACCCATACTCCAACTGGCTTCAGTGGGCTCTCTCAAACCTCTGGGTCCAACTTTGTTGATTGTCGTCCCACCTCCTCTTTGGGATTCTACTTCTTCAGCTTCCTCTTTTTGATTTATCCCTCTAACATGGAACTGAGCTGATTTGACCCTAAGTTTGTGCAAAAACTTTGTGTTCTTAATCATAATCTTGTCAGCATAACTGATCTCATGTCACACCAAGGTTTTTTTTCAATCACTAAGCTTCAGTGTACTTCCCATTTTGTCAACCATCTGTGCTGCAGGGTTTTTCCACAGAGTTGACTTTAACATTCTTACTTCTTTTTGCTGACATTTAAACTTTTGAGGCATACCATACTTTGTATGCTTTTACAGAATCACGCAGAGTTTCTTGTGGGATTTCACTAGAAAACTACATATTTTGTAATTTTACATACATATTTACATATAATTTCTAGGGCTGTCAATTGATTAAAAAATTAACTAATTAATCACACTTTTTTGTAATTAATCATGAATAATCATGAAACACCATATTTATTACAGAAATAAAGACACAGGCATGTAAGGGCCATTTGAATTTCAAAACAATCAATGCCAATAACAAACAAAATGATTTCCATATTGGATCCTAAGTGGACAACAAAAAAACAAAAAAAATCCAAAATACTGGCATTGTAAATATGGAAAATGGAAAAAATGTGGCCAAGGGGTACATCAAAATCACGTACTAAAGACTACAGATTTCTTACAGGGACTTTGATTACATCATCTCTATTCATTTAATTCTAAACAGCTTTGAGGGATACGGAAAACGCAAAGACTATAGAATACATATAGAATGTCTTAAAGAGACTTCTTTGGACAGTCAGCGATGTCATGCATTTGCTCTACTAAGAAATGCACACACAGACAGACAATGCATGCAGTACAGCGCACCCTATTAGCGTAACATCATCTGACATTTGTTGCAGAGTACATTTACATGGACACCAATACTCTGATTTTATAATAAAGATAAAACTCAGATTAAGAGTCGACCATGTTAGCAGCAATTTTGGATTACCTTAAAGCAGGGGTCTCGAACTCAATTTACCTGGGGGCCGTAGGAGGCAAAGTCTGGGTGAGGCTGGGCCGCATAAGGGATTTCACAAAAAAAAAGTCCTCAAATGTCATTATTAACAGTTTTAATTATTTCTTCTGAACATGAAGTGTCCTGAACATTAAGAGAACATTGAGTGAAGATTATGAACAGTTCTTCTGAACATGGCATCTTTTGCCTACTTGCTGCCAGAGACTTGACAGCGCTTCTTCTCACAAATCTGAACCACATTTGGCTTTAGAGCGGAAGCAGTTGAGACCCTCAGTATGGCTTGAAGATGATCATCATTAAGTCTAGACCTGTACTTTGACTTATTGAAGTTCAAGGTGGAGAATAACTTCTCACACAGAAAAAAGTGGGGGAACTCACTCAACTTCCATTCCCTCACCTATAAAAAAGGCGTATATATGTATAAATAAAACACCCCCACCCCACTCCAGTCACATCAGTCTGTGCCAGTCTGTATCTACCTATAATATATATAAGATGCAGGCTGTAGCTAGGTAGGTGGCAGGCTGCAGATAGGTAGCTAAATGTCAGGCAGGGGCAGGAACAGCTTACCTTGGTTCTGGCCGGCGCGAGTTCCCTCCTAAAACTTCCCGCCCGTCACAGCGTCTAACAAAGGGGCGGGGTGCGTGGTGACGTCACCGGCATCCCCGCCCCTTTGTTTACATGGCGGGCGGGGAATGCCAGTGGCCGCTGTGTACGGATAGAATCAGCGGAGCGGGGAGCGCTCTCTCTCCCCGCTCCGCTGATTCTGTCAGTGTACAGCGGTCGGCGCGGGCCACAAAATATTGCACTCAGGGCCGCAAATGGCCCGCGGGCCGCGAGTTTGAGACCCCTGCCTTAAAGCATCACGCGAGCATCACACATTTAGAAGTTTTTCTTTCCGTTCGCCATGCGGTATCAAATTCCATTAAAACAGCAATCTTCACATTTGCATCCAAAAATCGTCATGGAGCATGAACAATATGTTGCTGAATGAAAGTGAACTGCTGAACTGCAGTTAAGGTCAAAAGATTAAAAATGAAACACTCAAAATTACATGAAACTCTGGAGGAAACGTTGGATATAGCCTGGTGATGCGACATTAATTGTTTTATACTGAAACTTTCCTTCTAAAAGCGCTTCCATGGTCTTATCTATATTTCTTTGCACGCGAAACACAAGTCGGCCACAACAGGAAATAAAAAAAACTGCAACTGTGTTATTGGTGTAAAATTTTTTAAACGTGTTAAACATTTTAAATTAATCGCATACGTTAACTTGCTAATTTTGACAGCCCTAATAATTTCACACACACATCTACATATTTTGCATTTAATAGCTATATTTCAGGTATTATTATGGAAGGAAGAAAAAGAAATCACAGGACAAAAACATCAGATTTGCTAATAAGAGTAAGACACAGATCCTGGTCATAAATGATCTTACCGATCTTTGTGCATTTTTTTTGTAGAACGTCGGAGCAGCGTAAGTGACCTCATCATCACGGTGATCATCACGAATCTGTTTCTGAACTGGTTCTACAATAATAACAGAAGGATTGAAACAATAAACCTAGATTTGTATCTTTGTAAAATGCTTTGTTGTTTAAGGTATATCGTATTTAAATTCTTATGTTTTATGAATTCAGGTTTGTTTACAAATCTGTTAGCATGCGGTAACACTTGCCTTTCTGATCAGTTTTTTTGCTATTCTTGCAGATCCAGATGATCCCGACTATTGTAATACTGATCAGAGATCCAGCAGCAGCAGCAGCAGAAATCAGGATGAGCTGAGAGTTTGGAGAAGATGTAGTTGGAGATGAAGTTCCTGAGGTACGATTAGAAGGAGTAGTTGAAGGAGGCCGTGGTGAAGGGTGTAAGGAAGAATGTAAAGGAGTCTGTGGGTCTGGTGTTGAAGTGGCTAAAGACAAACAGTGAGTGACAGTATATATCTGAAAAAACACTATTAAAGCAGCAGCTCGATTGAACCAAGTCTAAGCAGCTATGCAACTGAAGATCTGTGTGAAGATTCAATGGTACCTAAAGACTGTACTTTACTGAACTGATTGCTGTTATTGCTGTCATTTATTTAAGTCTTTGGGTAAAAGTTTGATGATTCAATGTGCATGTTAAATATGGCTCATATGCTGATTCTTTATCATGATATGCAGGAACTGAAATGCTTTAAAGCATTTGTCTTACCAGATTTGTATAAAATATTTAGCCACTGAATAATTTCAATTTCTGTAATTTTTATATCATTTATTTAAATATACATTGTCTGTATGAGACTTGAATTAACAATTTTGCAGTGAAAATATGCTACAAAATGGTATATTTTTTTATACCTGGACATGGCTGACATAGTGTTTTGATGTCCAGATGTGTGGTCTGGTTGCTGATGGTGTTGTTGATCACACAGCTGTAGGTGTTGTTATCCTGATATTCCACCTCCAGAGGTAGAGTGAGACTGATGCTGAGATCAGACACACTGATGCTGGACAATACACTGTTTCCTTTGTACCAGGAGAGACTCACAGCGCTCACATTCACCACTGAACACAACATTGAACAATTAGACTGCACTGATGAAGATGAGGAGGAAGAACAGTCTCTGATGAGGACAGGAACAGGCAGATGAGCTGGAAATGTCAGAGAATAGAGAAAATGATACTTACAGTTGGATACATATTTCTTAAATTTCTTTCTAAATAGTTTATCATATAATTCCTGTAGCCTCTTTTCACACTTTTCAATTTCACCCTGTATGACTTTACTTCTTTTGAGAAACACAAAACCAACTGTTTAGCAGAACACTCAGGTTCCAGATTTAAGATTTTAATAGTTGATTTACATTCACACATCTACCAAATATCTTCATCCAAAGGATTTCTATTACAATTTACCTACTTATAAATCTGTTGTTTGTAACCTATTAATCATGAGCAGTAAAATAAATATTTAAACTTTTACATGTGGTGTGAATAAGGTCTAATATCTAAATTTAAATGTCCAATTTTATATCAAATACCAAATATTCAAATCATGCCTGTTATAATCACCAGCAGTGTTGCTCGTGCAGGCTGCCGAAGAACACTTTCTGTCATTCAAAGTAACTACATATCCCATCATGCACAGCACTCACACACCAGTTTCAGCTCACCCTATGATCACACACACACATGCACAGCTGCAGTTTATCTATACCAGGGGTCTCAAACTCAATTTACCTGGGGCTGCTGGAGGCAGAGTCTGAGTGAGGCTGGGTCGCATCAGGTTTTCCACAATAAATTAATTACATTATTAATTATGAATCTTATTTTGTTTAATAAAAATAAAGATATTTGCGAAGATTGGATTTTTTTAAACACAAAATAAAATGAAAAATTAAACAAATAAAAAATAAGTAAGGAACAAATCAATCAGTAAAAAGTATAATAATAACTATAATTAGATTTACTGTTATCTGCGGTGCTGTTGTTACAGGTAAAAGAAGCAACACTGTGTTATTGTCATTTGTTTTGAATCCTTTTACATCATATAGAAATATATGTAATGTTTATTGTGTGAGGCAATGCAAATACAATGCAGGTAGAGCGATGCAAATGGCCGACAGATGACTACATTAGGCTGCATTGAGTTCCTTATTTTTCTTTTATCTCGCCGCAGACGCATCACCGTGATTTCTTTTCTGCTCACTGCACGCAAAACAATGACCACCAACCAATGAAAGTGATTGTAAACACAAGAAAGATGATTGGTTGAAACTGTTGTTTAGGACCAATAGTTAAACGTGAATGTTGTATTAACTAGCGCATAAATAACGTCATGCATGTGCACAAACACAGCATTCACAGCTCTCTCTCTCTCTCTCTCTCTCTCTCTCTCTCTCTCTCTCTCTCTCACTCTCACTCACTCACTTACACACACATGCGGGTATTCACTGCACACAAGTTAATGCCAAATCGATTAAAATAATTACCGGAAAGAAAAATATAAATATCTGACATTTCCCGGAATAGGATTCTGCAAGGTTCTGCTCAAATTAAGCACTGATTTATATACATTTATCTATGTATAATGTCCTGCTAGGCAGCAAGTTACATAAAAAAATAAATAAAATTGTTTTAAAGTGTTGTGAATGAAGTGCGCTGGGACGAATGTCTGTGTGTGCCCAATAGAAATGAGGCAGCTAGCAGGCATGGGAAAAAAACACTCCATGGCGCCGCAGCTGTAACTTTTACTCGTTGGGAAATGTTTATCTGCCTGCGTCAAGACCAGCCGATGTCCCGCCCCCATATACCATATACCCTACTGTGATTGGTGGGTTCAGTCAGCTCTGCAAACAAAACTGTAAAGTGCAATCTGTGGGCTGCAGGTTTAAGACCCTTGATCTATACTGATTACTTGTACTTTATAGAGACCAAACACACACTCATCCAGGACTGAGCCTGGATGTTTTCACCAATGTTTTCATTGTGGTTAGCATTACAAAGCATTTCCCTGCCTAGTTTAGCTGTGTTTTACTTGTTTATGTTTGCCACCTGCCTCGACCAATTACCTTTTACACTGACCACACTCCTTGTATTATCTTCATGCTGCCATTTGCTCCTTTATTGAACATTGCCTGCCTGGCCACTCTAATTAAAAGCTGCATTTGGATCCAACCTTTGTTGTCACCCATGTCAAATTATTACAATGCCATAAAGACACAGAAATGTTTTTAATGCCAAGCTCATTTTTTCAATACACTTAAATACTCATCAGACAGGGTAAACAGACCTGTAATTGAGACTCACCGTATACAGTAACACTGAAGTTGAGTGTGGTTGGTTTTTTCTTGCCGCTGATGGATATTTGATAAACTCCAGAGTCTGCTATTCTGGTGTTCATGATGGTCAGAGATCCAGTCTGATTATCCAGCTTCAGTCTGTTTCTGAATCCCACAGCATCACCATCAGATGTGGAGGAGATTGCAGCATCTGTATCCACTTCAGCTATCTGAGTTTTTTTAGGTCCAAACAGCCACGTCACCACATCTTCTTCCTGTAGTTCAGCAACACCAGACTCCAGAGTGACTGAATCTCCCTCCATCACTGACTTCACTTCACCTGAGTCAGCAAACACACCTGAACAACACACAGTGGCAGATCAGTTTCTATCTACTGTAATTGAACACATCAACATTTCTGGTTAGGATTGTTATTTGTATACTGGCCAACATAGAGTAAATAAGTACACCCTCTTTATTATTTTTATCCATTTCTTGGGGAATAGGGACAAACAAACAAATAAATGTCTCACCGTGGTATCATTTAAAAAAATGAAATATTTTAATTAAGAAAAATAGTTTTTATATTGATTGTAATTATGATTTTTTTCTTCAATACAGTCCTTCAGAAATCATTATATTATTATAACTTGCTGTTCTATTATGATCAATTTTTACAGTGGGTAGCATGTTTCCCTCACAGCATAAAGGTCGCTGGCTCGAGCCTCGGGTTTCTATGTGAAGTTTGCATGTTCTCCCAGTGTTGGCGTGGGTTTCCTCAGGGTGCTCCAGTTTCCCCCACAGTCCAAACACATGCGCTATAGGTGAATTGGGTAAGCTAAATTGTCCATAGTGTATGTTTGTGGATGATTCCCAGTGATGGCAGAAAGTAAGTTGTCGGTTCTTTCCCCTGTGGCGACCCCAGATTAATAAAGGGACTAAGTCGAAAAGAAAATGAATGGATGAATTACTGGAACTCAATCAGCAAGTATTCTTATAATGATCCATTTTCTTTTTACTTCATAGTTTTGTGAAAACTCTCTGTGATAGGTTTTAGCTTTTAGGAATCTTTAATGAAAATAATAGTATTTATCATTTTATTTTTTTTACATAAATGTTCACTTCGAGAGAAGAGAAGTGTGTGAAATTGGAAGCTGATATAAAAAATGAAAAAAAATTGCCAGCAGTGCATCCATAGCAAACACCTAAGTGGTTTACTTCTTGCTAGAGAAAAAAACATTCACAGCAATTACTTTACTAATCCTGGGTCACCACAGCAGAATGAACCGCCAACTCATCCAGTACATGCCTTTACGTAGCAGATGCCCTTCCAGGTGCAACCCATCTTTGGGAAACATCCATACACCCATTCACACACATACACTAAACTGGAAAGCACCCAGAGGAAACCCACACGAACGAGTGGAGAATATGCACGCCTCACACAAAAACGCCAACTCGAACCAGCGACCTTCTTGCTGTGAGGCGACTGCACTACCTACTGCGTCACCATTGTCTTATTGTTTAGAACAAAAAGAGAATTTTAAATTAATTGACTTTCAACGAGACATATGCTTTGTACCAGGTTATATCAAATTGTTCTCGTGGAGAAAATATTGTTTATGGCAAATTATTTATTTTCTATTGGGTCAAGTTATATAATTTAGACGTGAATCATTACCATTTTTTTAATTGGATGATTTAAAGCTTTTTTTTGGGCTCCTCGAGTGAATTTCCCTCTCAAGTCTGCATTGACGCATCCTCAATATAAAAAACACAACTTTTTGCGCATTTTCCGTTCTTGCGGTTTTGAGGTTTGAAAATGAACTTTGGCAGTTGATGATGACAATACACAAGATCGCAGAAGAGCGTATATTGAGAAACAGCCTGTGTCTGTGGCTTCCTCCTGAGACTGCTGCCCCAACATGTTTTGAATTGACTCTGAATCGACAGTCAAAAGGTTACAACTTTTCAAGTTTTCGTAAATCGCAAGCTCTGTGATTGGTCATCGTGGTAGCATTGATGAGTGTGGGAGGGGCTGAGTGGAGCAAGCCCGTGGCTCGAGTGTTTAACAAGTGTCGAGTCCGTGGAGGAGCTCTTTCTGGATACTTTGTTCTGTGTTTACCTTATGATTAAAGTTTGCCGGTTCCCACATTTTATTTTTATAGTAAGTAGCATTACAAGTATTTCTGGTGTAAACAAAACACTTGCAAAGAAACATGACACAGAAGAGCATAGAAACCCAACTGTCAGCAAGTGTTTCAGAAGTGTTATTGCAGAGCAACACAAACAAAACGCAGAAGTATAAATGCACGAGTACTGCAAGGCATGCACTGTGGGTTACGGTGATTACTCAACGCAGAAGTTTAACTCAGCTTTTAACAAAATGAGAAATTATATTTATGTTTTATGTTTCTTTAGTGATTCTGCTTACACCTACTTGTATTTCATTAATTATTGCTCTGTATCCCAGTGTTTCATTAGTTCGTGGATGAGTCTGGTACATTTATGCTTTTTCACCATCTCTGTTTTGTTTCCTACACACACCCATGATATCACTGTTTCCACAGAAATATGAAGCAGAATGGATTTGATCATTAATAATACACAAAAGCTGACATGTTCATTTAATATTCCCCTGAGGCAGCTGGAAATTACACTTAAAATTATATTAAAAAAATATATTTTTAAATCATTTATTCTTTATAAAGAAACTTATGAGCTTCATGTGCTTATTCTATTTTAAAGCATAAAACCCTGAATCTAGACAAGGTCATACAGTTGTATCAAACCATAAATGCATTTATAACTTACCAGTCAGAAGCCAAAAAGACAAACTCATAAAAACAAACAGCTGAAACATTTTCTTCAACAGTTTAGCAGTCTGTAATCCGCTGAGGATGGTTGCGAAACTGTTACGGTCTGTTGAAAAGTGTTTGACTGTGTGATGCACTACAGTGCGTCTCTGTTGGGGGTGGGACTCTACTTTCTCTTAAATAAACAAAATTGCAGTATTTTTGTATTGCTTTGTGCCATTGCATTCATGATGTTGTATTGATTAACGCTCACTCATTTGCTTCAACTAGATTAATTAGATTAATTAAATAAATTATAGCACTTTTATAAAATATATTATATTATATTAATTATAGAAATTATTTACTTATTTTAAAAATAAGGTGAAAAGACAAATATGGTAGAAATAAGGAACAAGAGTAAATTAACTTTTACAACTTAAAGAACAATGGAGTATGCACAATTAATGCAGTTTGTAAAATGGCAGTGTATTTCTGCATTTAAAGGGATTCTATTATGCTTTTTTAACTTTTTGAATGTTAGTTGGTGTGCTGTTTGTATCTTTGTGGACAAAAAAATCCTTATTCAAGAACTACAAGAAACAGCTTACAAGCATTTGGACTACTAGCATTTGATTGACTATTTTTCTTATTTTCATTAGTCATCAAAATACTTATGATTTATCTCTCAACAAAGAAAAAGTATCTAAGAGAGAAAAAAATAAACACAACATCTGTCATTAAAAATTCCAAGTCGAACATCTTTCCTGGACAGCTGGGATGGGCAAATCACCTTTACACCAGGGAATAAAGCAGGAAAAATCATTAGTGCATTTTTGTTTTAAAATAAAAATGATCCTCGTGCTTGTAAAACTGTGGTCACCAAGGCATAGATCATCAGTGTCCACAAGACCCAATAGAGGGCACCCCAGCCATGTGCTCACTTCACTAGCCATCTGAATAACTACTAATCTCAAGATGGCCGTCGTCATTCAGCAGCCTGCTCTGAAGATGTTTGTCATCATTTAGCCGCTATCCCACTAAAACCCAAAATGGCTGCCACCAGTCTACCATTGTCAAGATGGCCACAATCATGAGATCTTGATTGAGATCATGATCTCTATGAATGGTCATCACCGCTTGAGCTACAACCACCACCAGAACTCCTGCTTACAGAGCTATCAATGCCACCACCTGATTTTTCCAAGAGTGGCAACCCGCCATCAGAGCTATAGCTCCCAAAGCTGTTGATGCTGCAGCGCTAATTCGCTTGATTTTGCGTGGTGAATGTGACGTCATCGCTGTGTTTAATCATCGTGCAACATGATTTTGGTTGGCGGAGTGCACAAAATTTGATAAGACTCGAGCTATTAATTTGAATATGAAACACTTTAAAGAGATTTTGTATGAAACAGGTACGACTGTACAGACACCTTTATGATCTGTCCTTGCGTGTTCATCATAGAGATAACCAGTTGATCAATAATTCTTGGCTAGAAATTGCGACAGCCTTGGGAAAGAAGGAACCTTTTTGGGAAATTGAAAAAATCTGAAAAATAAGTTTTTGTCAAAACCAAAAAGACAGGCCATGCAAAAGTGGAGACCCAGGTGATTTTAATATTACAGAATATGTTTTTCCACCATTTATAGGTTTAACACTGATGTAAATATTAAAATTTTTAATTAAAAACAATTTAATATTTACAACCTAAAATAAAGTAACAAATTTTTTCTTTGATAACTAGAGAGGAATATTTGAACCCATCGTTTACAGTATAGTAGAAGACAAAAACTAGCCAGACAGTAATGTGTCAATTGTTGAGTGGGCTAAACAAAAAAACGTTACGTCAGTATTTTTAGTGTGTACTTTTTTTTTTGTTGCTTTTATTTTTGCCATAATAAAAAAATGTAATTGTAAAGCAACCCATGTTCTGCTGTCATTGATATTTAACCTTGATGGGTAGAACTATCCGAGATATGAACAAAAACAAGTGATGCATCAAAGTTTGATTTTAAAAAATCTTGAATGGTTCTAAAAATACTAAAAATAATTAGTTTAAAAATTTTAAATGATATTAGTGATATTACGTAGTTCCGGAAACTTACTACTTCTCTGTTTATCCGTCTGACTTTATGGTCAGTTTGTTTTGACCACCCCCTGTCATTTTAAAGATTATCACAATGGTGACTGCATCAAGTATAAAAGCCTTGTCCGTTTCGTGAACTGCGCACAGTCAGTGGTGGTCCACGACGCGGTACCAGTTGAAAGTATAAATCTGCCTTAAGAGGTCACTACCGCCTGAACTACTGCTGCCAAAAGCTTCTGACCTGCCAGAACCATAAGACCTGCTAAAGCTGTCTTACCTGCTAGAGCCGTCAAAGCTACCTGATCTGTCACAGCCATCTGACCCTTAGGTACCAAATTGGTGCCTTCTGACCCAGAGCCTCAAATCACCAGGTGGTTTAACACTACCGGTTTGCTTCTGTTCCATACTTTGAGTCCACTTCTGCTGCACAGACCTGGCCCTCCATCCCTCCCCCTGTTCCACCTCCACCCCTCCGCCCTCCTGGACTTTTCAGGGAGCATCTTGAAGCTGCTGCATAGTAGGGGAGGGACTATTGCTGTTTCTAAATATGTGTTCTTCAGCGTTCTTGCTTCCTCGTGTTCTCATGTAACGTCATCATCAACTGCCAAAGTTCAGTTCCATAACTCAACACCACAAAAAAGGAGGACGTGTAAAAGTTGTGTTCTTGATATTGAGGACGCATTGATGCAGACTTGAGAGCAAAACTTGCTGGAGAGGTTCCAGAAGTCATTGTGGCTGAATAAAGGAGATGAAAAGTGCAGCATTTTATATAGATTTATTCTTAAAGATCAATTATTTATCTCAGGAGTTTCCTTAAATGAAACTAAAAAATCATGAACATGAAAATCTTTATAAAGGTAAAACACATTAAAGGGCCATGAAACCCCCTCGTTTCAGCAGTGTGTTTTCACACCTCTACTTGGGAAAAAGTCAGAAAAGTGGGCGTGTCCAGCTCTGTTTAGGGGGGAGTGTCGGAGGAAGAAAAGAGGGTTGGTGTGGGAGTGTCTATTTGGGCGCGCTGAATTTCAGAGTCAAAACACACACACAGCGGACACTGTGACTGTGTTTACATGGACATCTGTAGTCGAATTATTTGCCAAATTATTAAATGTTGGACTTCAACTGCAGTTTGGCTCTTTCATTCAGGCAATTCATTCATGTCCCTCGCGACAAACGAGATATTTGATTCGATGAGCTGCTCTAAGCGTGTATTTTTCATGCAATGTTTGATTCCGCACGGCGAATGAGAGAAAAAAAACTCAGCATTTCCCGGAAACTTAAATGCACACGGCAGGTAGCGTCAGACAGCCGCGTGTGTTATTACAGTCACTAAATACGGTGAAAACCCTACACGAGGTTAAAGTTTGGTTGTGGTGCTAACATGTTTACACTCGGTGCAATAGTTAACTTAGTTCGATACGAACAAACTGAATAAACAAAGAGCACTGGTCGCTCACTTACCAAATCTGTAGAGACAGGACAATCACCAGCAACTAGAGCCGCGTCTTTATTTAGAGGAGACTAAAGCGAATCCGGATCTCAGCGTTTGCAGATGAGAACAGCTCTCAGGTACACAATAATCCTCCTTAGACACGTAAGTTATTGTTGTCGAGCGTCGCGTACACTGTTAATCCACACATGACTCTGAGCTCTCACAGAGAGAAAATGAAAATGAAACTTAACTGCAGCAAACTATAAAAGCAACACTTCACGCTTGTTTTGCCAACACAACGTGGCGTCTCTGTCATGTAAACACTGTGACACTAATGAATATTAATGAAGTTGCACAATAGAGCGCGCTGATTGGTTTGAACCAAGCCTTACTCATGCATTAATGCAGCAGGCTGTAAGACGTAATAAGACTCACACTGGCACAGACGTCCAGTCTGCACGCTGGAATACCAATATTATCTCATGGCCGTGACGCAGCTTCAAAAATTCGTTTCAAACCGGAAGTACGAATTTGCTTGAAATAACGCAAAAACAACCAATTTACACTTTTTAGTGAAATATAGGTGTCCTAATAGTGTTTTTAGCAGTGTGGGACACATATACCACTGTCAACAGCTCAAAAAATGTGTTTTGGTGTTTGTGACCCTTTAAGATTTAAGTGCATGGTCTAAAGTGCTTGGCACAGGTGCGTTTTAAGGCATGTCCAAAATGGTCTAAAAGCATGAGCTATTGGTGTTTTTTGGGTGTAATGTGTATTAAACCAATCTTACATTCCTTTTTAAGAGCCATTTGTGGTCACACCATAGCACATTTCCTTTTTACATGGTAGAGTTTAAGAGGAAAGCAAGCTTGTGCGTCAAGTTTCGCAGTTCACTGCGAGGCAAAGTTCAAGCTTGATGAACGCTGACCTGTGAAATTGCATCACATGATTACATGATACCAATCGAAGATCAAAACATGACCTCTTGACAGAAATTCAAAACATGGTCCAATCGCTTCCTTTTTTTACTGTCTAATTATCTTGTTTAATCCCGTCGCTTTCCGCAGCGCTGCACTACAGGATTTTGCACACACACACTTTAGTGTGACCGCAGCATAACTCGCAATGAAATTGACCTCTTTGTGCGCAAGGTTAATGTGCCAAAGCACTACATCTATGGAACGAGTCTTCCATTTGACCATGGATTTGGAAAATGGCTGTTTTGTATGCACTTCACTCAATACACCCATTCAATTTTTTTATTTTGTAATTTTGTTTATTTAGCACAAAGATTTGCAAAGCAATTTCTAAATTCAATTCTAATTTCCAGCTATAAAATGAATAAAAACAACAAGGATGTGGTCAAGAAGAGTTCACTTAGACAATGTATTCTTGTATTTTCTCGTTGAACGGGTTTCTTGAGCCATGTGTTTGCGTGTTATGTAATTTGTGTTTACAGCCGCATGCTTTTGTTTCAGTGTGTCCTGCATGCAGTTCTTGTGTTTAATGGCCTTGTGATTTTACAGTATGTGAGCACATGGCTTGTGTTGTGTTCTGTTTGCCATGTGCTATCTGTCTATTAGTCAGCCCCCTCCCATCTTGTCACCTGTTCATTTTGTTAACTTGCCTCCTTCCCTTCTATTATTTAGCTTTGACTGCTACACTTTTTATTATACCATTTGTTGATTTGCTAGATATTGTTAAGTCCTATTTTGAACTCTGCCTGTTAAAAATGGGAATTTAGGCCCAATCCCAATTTATACCCCATCCCCATGCCTCCTTGCGGGAGCCACAAGGGGGTGAAGGTACACCACTAATCAGGGCGCCACTATCGCTACATTCCCCACAACTTCAGATTTCCTCAGGCATAACTGTTACAACTGGTGGATCATGTTGCAAAAGCATAAAGCTGTACTGTGTTTTTACACTGTGCTCATATTTATAGATCTAACCACAAGAAAACAATTATACTGTTATGACAAATGTGCTGTTACAATCTAATTGCCTGCCACCGTTTCTGACAGACTTGCCTTAACCTATTGGGTGAGGTTATCAGAATTTTAAATTTTATTGAATTAAAACATAATTATTAAATAATAGCTTACAGAATGGAAAAATTCAATCAAATTAGAATGGACATGTCATGTTTTGTATGCATTACAATTTAACTTAACTTAGCAAATAATTTAAATGCAAACCAAATCACACCCTTGTGTCCTGCTAGGAGAATATATGGTTAATCATTGCAAGGGTACAGCCTTGTTGGATCTAAAGTCATAAACCAGCACTGAAATTGTAGCCACAGACAACAGCACAGAAAAAACCAGTCGGACCACAGCTTCAGTAGTACTACAACAGCGAACAGAGTCTGAAATATGAAAACACAGAAAAGAACTTAGTTAAAATGAACTCTCAAACTAATTTTGACACATTGAATTCCAAAACCAACAGCAAATATGATAGGGAAAGTAGTGTGCAGTATATAAATATACCTGGACATGGTTGACAGAGTGTGTTGATGTCCAGATGTGTGGTCTGGTTGCTGATGGTGTTGTTGATCACACAGCTGTAGGTGTTGTTATCCTGATATTCCACCTCCAGAGGTAGAGAGAGACTGATGCTGAGATCAGACACACTGATGCTGGACAATACACTGTTTCCTTTGTACCAGGAGAGACTCACAGCACTCACATTCACCACTGAACACAACACTGAACAATTCTGCACTGATGAAGAGGAGGAAGAAGAACAGTCTCTGATGATGATGGCTGGAACAGGCAGATGAGCTGAAAATATCAGAAAAAAAACAGAATATCATTTACAATAAGAAACATTTATACACATATCTTTAAGAAATAGTTCCTCATATATTTGTCATGGATGTAAAGGAATAGTGAGGAGAGTTCATAGGAATAAAGTCAATAAACAGTTTAATAAAAAAGTTAACATGATATGCGCATCCACATCTCAGGGCACAGGAACATCCAGGTAAAACAGCAAGCGGAAAAAAAAATTAAGACCGGACAGGGAACATGGGGAAAACGGTAACTAAATATACTGACTAAGCGAACTACAACAGGTGGTGAGAATAAAAACACAAGTCAACATTAGTCACACTAGAATTTGAGCGTGCTAAATTCTGTCAAACAACGCTGCGAAAAGGGGCAGGATTAAACAAGATGAGACATTTCTTACAAAACCAAGCAATTGTTCCATGTTTTAAATTCCTGTCCAGAGAGGTCAATGTTTGATCCTCAATTGTTCTCACACAGTCAAGTGATGCGATTTTTGCAGGTCAGAGTTCACCAAACCTAAACTTTCCAACGCAGCGATCTGCGTTACTTGAAGCACGACCTTGTGTTTCTGTTCTGACACATTCGCATGCATATGAATAGAAATCAATGGGGAGAAATATGCAGTGTGACCACAGCTTAATGCAGACGGGAAAGGGAACAAAGAAATACATGACAATACACACCTGAATCAAATCACTTTTATTGTCAAATCATCAGCAGCACGTGTGCTATGGTGAGTGAAAAGCTTAGACCACAGTAAACTCTGAGGAGAAACAGGCTCATAAAGCACTTTTGGATAGGCAGTTTCCTTGTGCAATACACACACATAAAGTATTCAGACCCCCTTAAATTTTTCACTCTTTGTTATATTGCAGCCATTTGCTAAAATCTTTTAAGCACCCCACATTGACAGAAAAACACAGAATTTTTATACATTTCTGCAGATTTATATAAAAAAAAATTGACTTGATTAGGAAAACCTGTCTATATACAGTAAGACCTTGCAGCTCACAATGGATGTCAAAGCACTTGAGAATTATGAGGTCAAAGGAAATGCCTGAAGAGCTCAAAGACAGAATTGTGGCAAGGCACAGATCTGGCCAAGGTTATAAAAACATTTCTGCTGCACTTTAGATAGCTGCACTGAGCTATTAGGGAAGAAGAGCCCTGGTGATGGAGGTAAAGAAGAACCCAAAGATCACTGTGGTGATGGCTGAGGTTGAGAGGTGGAGATGGGAGAAAGTTGTAGAAAGTCAACCATCACTATTCGTGTTGACTTCTGGTTTCGCAGCACACTATACTTAACTAGACTCGACAGAAAAGAAAGAAAGAAAGAAAGGTATCGGAGATGGGAATGGCTAAGCTGTGCGGTTAACCCATTTTTGTCAGGGTCCAAGTCTGTTCACTGGACCTGAAGAGAAGCTGTCCTGAGCTGGAAGGAACTCTCTCTCCTGGGGTCTGTGTCAGTTTCAGTTCTTGCTCTTCTTCTTTGCGGTGCGGCCTTAGTCACCAGTTTTTATAAGGATGGTTTTGTACTACCTTCCAGAGCCAAGTTGAACAATGAGAACTTAACTCCCCCGAGGCACGTTTTATAATCCTTTGTTCTGAAGCTTGGTTATTTGCATATGCATTCTGGGTGTATGTTGATGCAGAAATGTTTAAAGTTTCTTAAAATGTTAACATGTATTAACATAAAATGTGAACGATCGCTCAGTACACCAAATTAGCTTTGCAGGGACATCAAACATGAACCATCTATGATCTTATTTAGCTGTGGTGGAGTTAAACATTGATTATAGGAGTATTACCATACCATAATATTAATACATGAGCAAGAGACGTGTTGCAAAACACCAGGGGCCTCATGTATCAACGCTGCGTACGCACAAAAACTTTGCGTACGCCAGGTTTCACGCTCAGAATCGCTCACGTTTGGATTTACTAACGATGAACTGAACGTGGGAATGTGCGCAGCTCCACGGCAGCTTCATGGCTGGCGTACGCACATTTTTTGTGCGTTTCTGTTTTATTTCCATTGGCGACTCCTAGAGGCAGTTGTGTTAAATTCCTCTCTACAAAGTGTCTAAGCCTTGCAATGGCAGCTGTATGAGACGGGTTCATCTAGCAGGTATGTAAGGTTTCCATACCATACAGTTGACCAGCTAAACATTAAAGCACAATTTGCAGCGGTCGCCTGTTTTCCCAATGTAATCTGAGCGATCTACTGCACGCACATTGCTATAAAGACACTATCTGAAGATGAATTTGCATGCATGAATCAGAAACATTTCCATTCAATAAATGTGCAAATAAAATATGATGCACAAACTTATTGATGATTCCTACTTGTCTTTCTCGTGATAAATAGTTGGCAAAATCTGAAATGTAGCGGGGGAAAAAAGAAAGAGTTCATAAGACGCTGGATTCGAACCAAGTTCATGTTCGAACGTGTCAAAACATGATGACATGCGTTTTACGAGCTGCGCCACTGAGACTATTAGGGGGGCAGGAGCAAGCTGAACTGCCGCTCTAGGCAGAGGACGATTACGCCGCCCTCAACCCCAATGTGAAAACGAAAGTGACCGGTTATGAAAATGAAGTGAGGTGTCGTGCACCTCTTTTCCAGCGCACTATGCACTATGGTGCACTATTTAAATTCAATTAGTGCGATGTTGAGACCCAACTGTGTTAACCGCATCAGCTAAACTCTCCCACTCTATTTTTTTCTTTTGTTGTTAATTCCGGAGAACAAACTTGCAAATAACACCGCTTTTCTCCGGTCTACCTCCGAAAGCAGTACCTCCATTTCACATTCTGTTCAAAGTATCTCTTTTTGCTTGCTTTTGCCATTACTTTTTCGTTGAGTTTTGCCAAAGTAGAGTCATTAGCATATTCATACGGGGGAGGAGACAGGGAGGGGTTTTGTGCTCGTGCATGTTGCGCTCAGTTTCACGTTCATTCGGATGTACAAAAGAATATGCGTGGGATTCAGCTACAGCTTTGTGCGTACGCAATGTTTTAGTATGATTTCCATGCAAGTCTTCGTACATGAGGCCCCTGGTCGCCAATCTTCATTGATTGCACCAGTAAGAGCAGAGTGTGACGGATTAATTTGCACAGTAATAGCACAGATTTGCTTACAATATTGCAATATACGCAACATTATGGGTGACATATCAGAGCTCAAAAGAGGACGAATTGTTAGTGTGCATGTTGTTGGCGCATCTGTGACCAAGACAGCAAGTTTTTGTAATGTATCGAGAGCCACGGTATCCAGAGTAATTTCAGCATACCAACAAGAAGGACAAACCACATCCAACAGGAGTAACTTTGGATAAAAGATGAAGCTCTCTGAAAGGGATATCCGGGTGCTAAACCAGATTGTGTCCAAAAAACATAAAATCAAAGCTGCCCAACTTACTGCAGAATTAAATGTGCACCTTGACTCTCCTGTTTCCACCAAAACTGTTTATTAGTAGCTCCACAGGGCCAATACACATGGCCAGGCTACTATAGCCAAACCTTTGTTCACTCATGCCAATGTCAAACGTTGTTCAATTGTGCCATCAGCAAAAATCTTGGGCTGTGAACAATGTGAAACATTTATTGTTCTCTGATGAGTCCATCTTTACTGTCCTTCCCACATCCATGCGAGTTACGGTGTGGAGAAGCCCCAAAAAAGTGTACCCATACCCGGAGTAAAGCATAGGGGGTGGGTCAGTGATGGTTTGGGCTGCAATATCATGGCATTACCTAGGCCCAATACTTGTGCTAGAGGGATGTGTCACTGCCAAATGCTACAAGTGGTGCTCGCTGCAGAGCCATTTGAGGAGAGCTGAGCTCCAGCGAGGGGGAGCTTAAGCTTGAGCTCCACCTTTTTTGCACTTCTTCTACGAGTGATGTCACTGGGGGTAGGGTTAGGGGTGGGGTTGGTGTACGCATTAAAACAGCTTACAGGAGGAGGAGCGACAGCTCATGCTCCCACTCGCTGGAGCTCAGCTCTCCTCAAATGGCTCTGCAGCGAGCACCCTCTCAAATGCTACCAAACCATTCTGGAGGACCATGTGCACCCAATGGTTCAAATACTGCATCCTGAAGTTGGTGCTCTGTATCAGTATGATAATGCACCAATACACACAGCAAGACTGGTGACAGAGTGGTTTGATGAACATAAAACTGAAGCTGAACATTTACCATGGCTTGTTACTTTAGGATGTTTTGGAGGAGCAGGTCAGGAAACATTTTTATCCACCAGCATCATGCAGTGGCCATATTGTGTAAAAAAAGGTCTAAAGTAGAGGTGTCCAAACTCAGTCATGGAGGGCCGGTGTCCTACATAGTTTAGCTTCAACTTCCTTCAACACACCTGCATGGAAGTTTCTAGAATACCTAGAAAGAGCTTGATTAACTGGTTCAGGTGTGTCTAATTGGGGTTGGAACTAAACTCTGCCAGACACCTGACTTTCAGGAATAAGCACCCCTGGTCTCACACCTAATTTAAGTTCTAACATTGATATTAACAACCCAAAAGTTCAAAACATGCAAATAAAAAAAAAGTTGCACAAATGTTATTGCTATCCAAGCTCAATTTTTCAATACACTAATAATACTAATACTAATAATGAGAAGTACTCAGACAAGGAGAACAGACCTGTGATTGAGACTCACCGTATACAGTAACTCTGAAGTTGAGTGTGGTTGGTTTTGTCTTGCCGCTGAGGGTTTGTTGATAAACTCCAGAGTCTGCTATTCTGGTGTTCATGATGGTCAGAGATCCAGTCTGATTATCCAGCTTCAGTCTGTTTCTGAATCCCACAGCATCACCATCAGATGTGGAGGAGATTGCAGCATCTGTATCCACTTCAGCTATTTGAGTTTTTTTAGGTCCAAACAGCCACGTCACCACATCTTCTTCCTTTAGTTCAGCAACACCAGACTCCAGAGTGACTGAATCTCCCTCCATCACTGACTTCAGTACACCTGAATCAGCAAACACACCTGAACAACACACAGCATTTCTCAGGATCACACTCTGACATTCTGAATAAATAAATTACAGACAGAAACGGCCACATTGCAGTTTCACTTATACCTGTAGCCTTTTTACCACCAGCAGCCTTTTAAAGAACAGAATTTAATAATTTCAACTTTACAGTGAACCCAATTTCTTAAATTTTTCTTTTTTGGTTGTTGCAACAACTGTCCCATAGACTTCCATTGCAAAAGACTGTCATTGACTTAACATTAGATCTAACTTTGTGACCTCAAAACTATCTATCCTTTTTCAAATTGCTTCTATCTATCTATCTATCTATCTATCTATCTATCTATCTATCTATCTATCTATCTATCTATCTATCTATCTACTGTTTTATCTATCTATCTATCCATCCATCCATCCATCCATCCATCCATCCATCTTGCTAGTAACATGCTAATTCATTCTAGAATCATGCTAATAACATGCTAATACATGCTAGAATTATGCTAGTAACATGCTAATTCATGCTAGTATTATGCTAGTAACATGCCAATACATGCTAGAATCATGCTAGTAACATGCTAGAATCATACTAGTAACATGCTAATTCATGCTAGAATCATGCTAACAACATGCTAGTAACATGCTAATTCATGCTAGAATCATGCTAATAACATGCTAATTCATGCTAGAATCATGCTAACAGCATGCTATTACATGCTAGAATCATGCTAACAACATGCCAATTCATGCTGGAATCATGCTAAATACATGCTAATTCATACTGGAATCATGCTAACAACATGCTAATTTGGGCTAGAATCATGTTAACAACATAAACTTAAAACTACTTTAAAACTTGAAGCTACTTTTAACTTAAAACTGCTTTAAAACTTTAAACTACTTTTAACTTAAAACTGCTTTAAGACTTTAAACTTCTTTTAACTTAAAACTGCTTTAGGACTTTAAACTACTTTTAACTTAAAACTGCTTTAAGACTTTAAACTACTTTTAACTTAAAACTGCTTTAAGACTTTAAACTACTTTTAACTTAAAACTGCTTTAAGACTTTAAACTACTTTTAACTTTCAGCCATATCTCAAACCCAACAGAAAGTCGGATATTTTTCACTTCCTGCGGTGCTAGAAAAAACTTTTTTTTTTAGATGTGCACTTTTTTTTTTAAAAAGTGATAAAAAGTTTTTTCATCTGTATCAAGGTACTTATGAACATGATTTGGCTACATACGATAAAATGATTATAAGCTGCTAAGCATGCTTGATAGCTCAATTAGTTAGAACGTATGTTCCATTTCATGAGTCTCTTTTGTTAGTAGGTTCGAATCCACATACGAGTTTTGTTTATGCAGCCTGATTTTTTTAAATTCTCTTTAAAATAAAATGGGGGGACTGCGATTTATAACGTATGCTTATTTAGCCGAACAACGTAGTCATTTAGAGCTATTCTGAGAAAATATCAGCTCGTGTAACTTTGTAGACACAGACTAACACGAGTCAATGGGACTATTATATTCTGATTGCATAATATTCTAATATTCTGTTGCATAATATTATATATGAAATATATATTACATATATTAGACATAATATGTTGCATAATAATATCGTCATTGTATTCATTTTTTGGATAAAATCTTTATTTACGTTACATGTATGAGCATGGGTCACGAGTTAACATGACTCCAAAGGCACAGGTAGACATGAGTCTAGAACTAAGAAAAAACATGGTTTGAGCAACTGATGAAGCATCGTTTAGTCACATAGAGCTATTCTATCAGCGGGAGAGTTTGTAGAAACACGTTAACGCGAGTACATGTAACTAAACAGCATGTAAACATGTTAACATCGATAGAAACATGTTAACACGGGTCCACAACCACAGCAAGGCATGTTTTAATTGACAAATATATTAAAACAGACCGCTTCGTTTGAAGTTCTGAGTAGCTCAGTTAGATAAGTTGATTGATACGTGTGCTAAACCTTTTCACTACACGGGTTCGAATCCTGTTAAAGACATGTAAATTCTAATTATTTTTTTATTTACTTTGGTTATATACTGTTCTGCTACACAGCTATTAAAATCAATAATGCACACAATGACACTGACACCGAGTAATAAGAATCTTTATTTGGTATGGACATGTTTTGTTGCTGTGAAAAAGTGACGAATCTGCCAATCTGCAAACGTGAATAGCTTACATCTGGAAAGGGACACCAGTTAACACGGTCACCAGTTAAACCGTAACACCGCACCCAAACGCAAATAAGCAGAAATTACAAATATAATCGACAGATCAACTTCGAAACTATTGGGCTATAAAGTATACTACATTATGGGAAACGTTCTTCTTTTCCTTCTGCTCTCGCTGTTTTTGGAAGGTAAGATTAGATTTGGTTCGCATTTTAAGAACTTTCGGTTTCACTTTTGATAAAGGTTTGTCTTTTCTTTTTTTCGCAAGTAAAATATTGCTTGCTTGACAAGGTTTGCTCTTCCAGTTTGGAGAATTTCCAATTAAATTAAATGAAACACGGTTGTGCTAACTTACAAAGTGAAGACTGAGTGAAAGGTGGCTACGTTTGGCTTAATGGGTTGTGGGCATTCTAAAACGCTTAACGTGAAGAACGGCTTTATGTACCTAAACATGGGTCAAATAAACCCAAATTTCTGTGAGATTTGACTTGCAATTAACATTAACTACTGTAAAAAAAACGAGCCCTAATTCCATAAATAGAGTGCAAAATATCGAGTTAAGCGTTTTCTCCATTTGCGTCAAGTTTATAACATAAGACCAGAGACGTAGCATGTTGGCCGTCGTTATTCCAGCGGGTCATATTGATGCTTTTCTTATACAAGTACCCAGTATACATGTTTTATGCAATGCTGAAATAAAATACCAAAGACTTAAAAGCATTAAATCATATTGCATGACTAACATACGTTCAAAATAAACATCTAGAATAGACTACATGTTGACATGTTTGATAAGCCTACATAACTTGACAATAAATATAGAAATAAATGTAAATATAACGACAATAAATTAAGTTGTTGGTAATAACAAAATGGAGACTTGACATTAACACGGTGGTGCAGTAGGTAGTGCTGTGGCCCCACAGCAAGAAGGTCGCTGGTTCGAGCCTAGGCTGGGTCAGTTGGCATTTCTGTGTGAAGTTGGCATGTTCTCCCTGCGTTTGCGTGGGTTTCCTCCCGGTGCACCAAATTCCCCAACAGTCCAAATATATAAGACATATAGTGAAGGTGAATTTTGTAGGCTAAATTGTCGGTAGAGTATGAGTGTGTATGGGTGTTTCCCAGAGACGAGTTGCAGCTGGAAGGGCATCCACTGCGTAAAACATATGCTGTATAAATCTGCGGTTCATTTCACTATGGCGACCCCGGATTAATAAAGGGGCTAAGCCGAAAAGAAAATGAATGTATGAATAAATACTATGACTGAAAAAAAACAAGAGAGCAAATTGACAAACAAGAGAGTTTACAAATAAGATGTTAGTATAATTTAGCAAACTAGCGCGCAGGTTAATAATTTATATGTACTACAGTTTTCATTTTTACTCCTTTTTTTATTCATAAAGCTGTTTCTTTTAAATAGTGAGCACTATTGTGTAATCAAAATTTATACACACTAAGTGCCTGTGCTTTCAGAAAAAAAGAAGCTTTACGTGATCATATGTGAAATCAGTCAGTCAAATTTTTTTGTGATAGAACTTGGTGCTTGACACATTATTGGTCAGTTAAAAAAATATAAACAGAACAAATAATACGAATAAAAATTACTGATAATTTGCCAGACTTCTGAGTATTAATCACTTTGTCTGTTATAGTCGCCAAGTGTACTTTGCAGTGATGTCAATTCTAAGTGGAAATACAACATTTGACAGGCACTAAATATGCCATAGAAGCAGTGCGCTGCCTTCACACTCCCCCTATTGTCGATCAATAGCAACTATAGCAGTTCCTCTTAAAATACCAGTACTAATAAAATGAGGTATAATATTATTTTTAAAAGCGCAGTGTTGCGATTCTTTTCTAGTACCATTAGATCGTCCAACACTACAGGGTGCTCGCAATTGGTACCTGCTCGGATTGGTACCTGCACACTTTGAAGTGCAAGCAAAATTTTGGAAAGAGAAAACAAAACAATCAGCACATTTGAAAACATTCATAGTATTAAAAACTGAATTCAAAATTAAATGAAGTCATGGATGTGCTGTGCCATGTGTTTTGTCAAATTTGTTTTCTCATGTGTTAGTATTTTTCAGTTTTTTCATTTGTAGCACAAATGGTCTCTCTCAGGCACCTAATTTTTTACTCCGAAAAAAAGAAATGCTTGTTTTTCTATATTCTGCCTAATTTTGAAGCAGCACAGTAATTTTCTATGCTGATAATAAAAGCAATAATTTCTTGATCATCACCATATTAGAATGATTTTTGAGGGATTATGTGACTCAAATGACACTAGGAAAATGATGCCAAAAATTCAGCTTTGGGATAACAGAAATATTCTAAATGAGCATGGTTTTGTTTATTACACACATATTGAAGCATGTATGATGCAGGTGTTTTCATTAACAACAGTCCTTTAAAGCAAAATTCGTTTGAGCTTGAAGAAACTGTTTTCAAAATATATTACAGATATGTGGCAAAATGTTCTCAAAGTAATCATGAACAAAATTTTAGATGATTAAATGTATTAGACAAGTCTAAATTATTTGTATTCTGACAGTGTTTTATAATCAGGAAAGATTCTGTGTAACGGAACTGTCATCTTTGTTTTCAGGTGTGTTTGCTGAGGAGGTAACAGTGAAAAGTGGAGATTCAGTCACTTTCTACACTGATCCTAATATACAGGAAGGTAATGTGATAGACTGGAGGTTTGGACCGCAAAGCGACCTCATTGCTAGAATTAAAAGAAAAGCCAAAACAAGTAAAGTATATGAGGATGTGCTTGATTGGAAATTCAAAGACAGACTAAGGATGGATAATCAGACTGGAGATCTCACTATCAAAAACATCATGACAGCAGACTCTGGTGATTATGAAGTGTCTAACGAAAACGGCGTCAAAAAGAGTTTCAAAGTCAGTGGTGAGTATACACATTTGAAATTTATAGTTAACTTTTTTTCCAAATGTTTTTACAGTGCTAAAACTTCAAATCTCAAAATGAAGAGGTGCCTTGTATCTTTTTAAAATTAGAGGGACAATAAAAAAATACACCAGTGTTTGATTACATGTATATGCGTTAAAATATATCCATTTGATTGTTCTTATAGAATAAAAGCTCAACATGTTTATCAGCAGCTGTTGTATACGACTGAAGGGCTTCATTTATTGTTTTTTCTTTAGCAAAAGGCAAGATCAGGGGTGTCAAATTCATACTTGGTAAGGGCCGCACTGAGTGTTTTGAATAAAGTCAGGGGCTGTGCATGCGCATTTTCAAAATGTATTTATTGGAGAAAATAAAAGTGTATTAACAACCGTATGACATCTCTATAACACTTCATTAAACCACATTTATCAAAATAGTAAGGTTTCATGTTTAATTTAGACCACATTTATGTCACAGTAGATTTTATCTCTATCAAAACATGAAATATGGTCTCTAACCAATATAAGCATAAAACAGTACAGTAGGCTAGTGTAACCCTGCTGGTCCTACACCGCCTATCTTGCTCCGAGCTGGGATCGAACCGGCGATCTTCCGCATAGGATTCGGTTGCTCTAACAAGGAGGCTAAAGACCATGGCCTCTAGTGTGTGTCGCTAGAGCACCTTTAGAGGTCAGAGGAGTGAGGTTTACCTGCACAGCACACACTAGCTAGCCTCCGTTAAAATAGCATAGAACAGTAGTCTAACTATTTCATATTCAGAAAAACTGATGATAAAACAAAAAGCCAGCAGCTGATATACCACATTGTATAAAGCAATTGATGGTTTCTGATAATGTATTATTGAATTAGCTTTAAAAAGGCAACCTAATCATGAAATAATCCATGCCAACTGCCGATGCCTACAACTGAACTTGTGAATTTCAGAGGGGGGAAAAATAAAGCAATATATTTATTAGTAGTGTAGCGAGGCAGAGGGAAAACAGCGACACAGTTGGATAAGTTTACAGACAAGTCCCCGGAGGGTGCTTTATTTACAATGTGAATGGTGTGCAAACGGTGCTCTTCTTCAAGGTGAGGTGCTCTGGTGCTCCGGGAAGTAAGTGAAGGACAGTGAGTAGTCGGGTGTGGGATCGTCACGAGCTGAAGTCTGCTGTGGAGAGACAGAGAGACAAGCATTAGCGCAGGGAGTCATTAGAGGAATGAAGCTCGTCTTCTTCTGGCGTGGGCTTGGTTTATATGCCTCTCCGCTTGATGACGTCCAGCTGTGAGCGATCCTGTGCTGATGATGGTCCAGCTGGGTTGGATTAGCGACCAGGGCGACGTGGCATGTGTGTGCTCGTTGCAGTAGGTTATTGTAGATAAATGGTAGCCTAAGCCTATACAAAAATTAATGGTTAGAAATTGTAATATTTAGACTATTTTGCTCCAAAGGACACTTGGACACAAATTAGGGATTTTTTAACTCTTACCAGACACCTTGCATCTTTTCATAGAAACAATCTCATCTATTCTTGGTGTAATGTGCCTTGCCATGGCTACTTTCATTACAGACATAATATGGTGGTTTGTGAGCCGGGATCTGTGGGATGTTTTGGTTAAGGGAACATTTGTTCACATGAGTATGTTCTCCCAAAAATAGTCATGACGCGTGCAGTGTTAAAGCGACTAGACTAGGGTGAAGCGCGACAGCTCCACCTGTGTCTCAATATTGTAATTGTCACAGACCTTATATTTAAAGTGAGCGCAGGCCACTTGAACTTTTCTCTAATTAACATTCAGTTTATCAAGTAATCTACATGTAATTTTTTCATATGCTGCCACCTTCCCCAGTTCTGTAACCCATTCTTGAAATGATAATGGACCTGCTGAACGCCATCCCCTCATAATGATTTGTCTTCCAATCAATAAACTTATTTGAATCCACACAGACACACTGTAAAAATGCAGGTATCCACAAACACAAATTGATTAAGTTAACTTAACACTTTTAACACATTTATGTGGATTGAACATAAAAAAATTAAGCTGTCTCAATGAAATCTCAAGAATTGTGTTGATTTAGCTTATTTTAAATTAGTTTGAACAAGCATCCCAACACGAACGGGTCTTCCAGTACATATATGTTAGGACAAAATGAAAAGCAGCATCCAGAAACATCCTGAATGTAATTATTCATTAATTAAACCAGAATTCCTGTATTTTAGAACAGGACCACAGGGCAGTTACAAGTCTCCTTTTTCGCTTTCACATCTCCAGCATTTAGCAGAGTCCTTCAACCCAAGCCTGTAAAGCCTACTCGGATTCCAAGAAAAACGATTCAAAATTTGTAATTGTATTAAGCGTATTCATAAATTCCTTGGCAATTCGATTCTTTTGGCAATTTTTTTCCAATGTTCATCGATAAATTTACAATTTAGCTCTTTACTCCAATCAGTATTAGGAGCAGAATAGAAACTACATCCCATCTTTGCCACTAACCATTTATAATACACTGAAACTTTGTGCCCTCTGTCATATGCCCTAAGAATTAATGAAAAATTGCAGTCCTCCTTTGGAGCTCGACTATCCGTCTTAAAAGTATTATATGACTATTATCAATTTAATTTCCTTTTACAGTGCAAATGTAGTAATGTAATTAAAATGCAATCAGTTAAATAGACGCAAGCATTCATTTAGTTGTTCAAGTGTAAAATGAGATGAAAGACCTTTAGAACATAAGCGTCGTCAAGATCAACAGACGAGCACAGAAACTCCATTGAAAATACTGTGGTAACATAAATTTCAGATCATCTACAAAGATTAACAGTTTCTTTTTAGAAAAAATAAATAATAATTTAGTCTCTCATTTGTTATTATGTTGGATGAATTGGTTCATGTGATTCATTACATTACAGCATGAATCTTTCTTCTTAGTAACTCTTCCTTTTTTCTTCTCCAGTTGTGTCTGATGACTCTGTGAAAACCATATCAGTGGTAAAGGGAGATTACATCACTTTACTCACCGGTCTTCCTGATATGAAGAGAATTAGTGCAATACAGTGGAGGTTTAAACATCACAACTCTACTATAGCTGAAATGAAGACTGGAAACATCTTTATTTATGATGATACTGATGAGAGGTTCAAAGACAAACTACTTCTGAATTATACGACTGGATCGCTGACCATCGCAAACATCGGAACTGAACATGATGGAGATTATGAAGTTGACATCATCAGCAGCAGCGGATACACCTTACACCAGTCATACAACGTGACCGTCATTGGTGAGTCCGTCAATATAGTGATACGTATTTATATTAGAACTGTAAACGACTGAACTTGGCGCATTTGTTGTAAGGCTTAGTAATTGTAAAAATGCAATATGATTAATTTAGTTATTTTAATACTATTAATTTATTACGTTTTCTTTCATTAACTTCATTAACATCAGATGTGAGCAGCATGACCAATATAACTAAAAACAATAAAGCTCATTATAGTCAGTGATTCTGTTAGGAGCTGTGCGGTCCATCATTAGGAACTCAGACAAACTGATCCCCCAACTCCAACATTGTCACGTTCGGTGTTGGAAAAGGGATCGAGGACTTTATTGCTGTAACTTAGATGGGTTTTATTAACAATACAATAAAAAAAAAGACAAAAAGCAACAAAAACATCCCAGAGGGGGAAAACATTAACAAAGGCTGCATTTACAAAGCAGATCTTGATGGTCAATTCCGATTTTTGTGACTATCTGATTTTTTTTGATGATCTGCTTACATCATCTTTTAAAAGTTACTTGTATCCGATCGTCTGCATTTACACAGCACACAGCAAAGGCGCAATGACCAGGAAAAAAAAAAAGAGCGGGTGCTGACTAATTAAAAAGTGCTCTTTTCTCTATTCCTGTGTGTAATCTGTTCGTAGCATTTGACAAGCTGTTTTACTAAAGTTTATGACAGGTTCTCATTTGTCCATCTTCTTTTGATATATAGGCTTTTTAAACCTTTAAGCATCTTAATGTAATGTCCATGGTGTGATTTATGCACGTGATGAATGCACTAGTTTTATATTAGTTTATATTGGTTGCGTGGCAGACATTGCGCTCTCTCGCTCTCATTAACATGCTTAAATACCTGTGCTATATGACAATATAAGGGCTATTCAAGTCCTTGTGTATGAGGTTTCAGGTTTGGGACTCTGCTGAAGTCTGTTCTGAAATGAAAGTGTCAGACTTGACGTCATTCGATACAGTTTTTAATGACGCGCGACTCGCATTGACAGGTGAAAATCCGATCTACTTGCTTACACTGCAGGCACGAGAACACAGATCCCATTCATATCGGATAAATTTCCACATATGAACAAGGCCTGAATCTGATTTGAGTAAATCGGAATCCATGTGATTTGTTCCTGCTTGCACGTACATGGGCCATATCCGATCTGTGCCACATGGGAGAAAAAAAAAATCAGAATTGAGTCACTTGAACAGTGCTGTGTAAATGCGGCCTTAAAGGCAAAAACAGACTAGACTGGGCTGGACTGGCAGGGAAGAGCTAGGCCGGACACAACAGGACAAGGCAATAATCGATGATAAACTGGACAGCAGACACGAGGAGACTATAAGCAGAAAGAATTAACAAAAAAACAGGTGAACTGAATAAACTAATACTGGCATAACAAGAAGTGTGGGACTAGACAATAGACAGAAACCCATGACACAAAAGCAACACAAGCCATGTGTTCTGAAAACAAGACTAGAACACGCAGCCAATGAGAGAACTCATTAACCACGTGTTCACAAGACAACACTCAGCATGCGGCCACAATGTAATCACCAGGCCATGTGCATTAACAACACCAACACAAACGGAACGCAAGACATGAGTACACAATGAATAAAAACACTCACCGTGCACTCACACATGCAACGTGCATGTTTCATCCCAGTGCCTACTAAAACCAACTAGACTGAGACGCTGAAAATGAAACCACACACTGCAGACCTAACAAACAAAAGCGCTAGCAAGCACGTGCGAACTAAGCCTCCACTGGCGCGTGTGCACTCACTACAAAGACAAGAGCGCACGGCTCACTCGAGACCGCACATTCACAACAACGACTAGAGACACAGACCAAGACAGTATGAGTGCCCACATACATACAAGACAGAACTGGTGTCTGGACTCTGCCATCAAAACAAGAATTAACAAGACTGAAGTGGCAGAATCCTGACAAACATTGCTTGTGCTGCTTTTGCCCCAAATTAGTTTCTAATTTTTGCTTTGTCCTGTTGGTGTAATTCCAGACTCCACTCACAGATTGCATTGTTTACATGTTTTGATTCAAATTGTTTCCCAGTAATGGGTTGCATCCACTGCGTAAAACATGTGCTGGATAAGTTGGCGGTTCTTTTCGCTGTGGCGACCCCAGATTAATAAAGGGACTAAGCCGACAAGAAATTGAATGAATGATTCAAATTGATGCTTTCTTAAATTTTCGACACTTCTGTCAATTTGTGATTTTCAAGTGTTTTAATAATCAACTAGCTGGTTGAGAATGTGCACCTCATTTGTCGACTGCTTGCGCACATCACTAGTTTCAATCACAAAAGCCAAAAGAGAACTACTGAACTGAAGTGCATGTTTAATGACATTAACTTGCAGGCACACCAATATTGTGTAAATACACACTTTTTTACAAATTGCAAAATACATAAAATTACAATTTTTAAATTATGGCATTTGGTTAATTACAGTCAAATATTGATACAGTTGCCTTATGGGCTGCTTAATGTTATTAAAAAAAATGGAATTGGTGCATGGGTCAGACACCAACAATATCAGTGTAAAAGAGTTACTGTATGTGTCATGTCCTTATTATCATAAGACTTTAAGGATCACAGTGCAGCAAACTCAAAATCATTAGTCTTTGAAATATTTATACTTTATACTATCCTTAAAACAACAAGGCTTTATTTATGTCATAGTGGTAACAGCTGAATAACACAGTAAAATTTGCGGAAGGAAGGAGGAGGTTCATTTTACTGTGGCAACCCCTGATTAAGGGACTAAGCCGAAAAAAAAAAAAAAAAAATATATATATATATATATATATATATATATATATATATATATATATATATATATATATATATATATATATATATATATATATATATGCGGAAGGAAGTAAAAAGATAATATATTTAAAGAGATAGTTCACCCAAAAAAATATATATTTTCTTACTATTTACTCTACCTCAAACCAAAACCTTGAGTTTCTTTTTTCTGAAGATATTTAGCTGTAAGCTGAATCCTGTCCCCATTGACTTACATAGTAGGAAAAACTAATTCTAAGAACTAAAATTCGATTAAGCTAAACAATAGTGGGAAATAGAATTTTATTCTAACTAAACTTTAGTATGGCTATTTTCTTTTATATCAAATTTAGTGTGTTATTGATTGAAGACATCATTGAATCATTAATGTAAACACTTTAAACTTTTTGCTGCCCTTTTTATTTGTGCAGTTTCTGTTTTCCTCATTGTTTTTGTGAATGTAAAAGAACCATTTAGGAATGTCTACATGCATCAAAGAAGCTACATTTGTTACAGATCATTTTTCATTATTGTGTTCTGCTCAGCAAACACCGAATCAATTGTTAGATCTAAAATACATCTTCTTGATCTGTTAAATGTATTGTTAGATTTAGTAAGAGATGATAACTGAAATTACTGTCAGTGAGTTTTTTTCTTTGCGTTTAAGTAACTGCTCAGTTCTCATTGTGTGTTTGCAGTTCCTACAGGTGATTTTAAATCACTGATCATAGAGGAGGAGGGGGCTTTAGTCACGCTGCAGACTGGTACTAAAATACAGGTCAATGATTTAATACAGTGGAGGTTTGAAGACACTGACTTGACTCCTGGTGGGAATTTGAAAGATGGACTGAATATGGACATGAAAACTGGATCTCTGACCATCATAAATCCCAGAAGAACAGACTCTGGATTTTATGATCTGAAGATCATAAGAAGCAGATACTCCATACACAAGAAATTCACTGTTGCTGTTTATGGCGGTGAGTAGAACAAATCTGTGATAAGAGTTTAAAAAATCTTGACAATTTACTCACTCTCTTGTTATTTTATTGAATTCTTCAATTAAGAAATAAAATGAAGGTTTCAGAGGAAGCTCTTCCTACTAGTGATCACACTAACACTTTCTCTTGGTAAAAAATACTTTTCAAAATGCTTGTTTGTAAAATAAGATTAGCTTATTTGTTGGAGGACAATTGTTTTTTATTTGATGTATTATCTGTGAACATGCCTATACCCCTAACATGGCTGTCATGTGTCAGTGAATGCAAGTTAATTGTAAAGGTCCATCTATTATTTCTATGACAGTAGTAACAGTATTAGTGAAGGTTAAATGCGTGTAAGCCAGGGGTGTCCAAACTTTTTGGGCCGAGGGCCAGATGCAAAAAAACAAGTGTTGTCGCGGGCCAAATTTTACACATCACACAGACACGCATATATATATATATATATATATATATATATATATATATATATATATATATATATATATATAAATATAAATATAAATACAGTTGAAGTCAGAATTTTTAGCCCCCCTAAATTATTAGCCCCCGTTTATTTTTTCCCCAATTTCTGTTTAACGGAGAGAAGATTTTTTCCACACATTTCTAAACATATTAGTTTTAGTAACTCATTTCTAATAACTGATTTATTTTATCTTTGCCATGATGACAGTAAATAATATTTGACTAGATATTTTTAAGACACTTCTATACAGCTTAAAGTGACATTTAAAGGCTTAACTAGGTTAATCAAGTTAACTAGTCAAGTTAAGGTAATTAGGCAAGTTATATTATAACAATGGTTTGTTCTGAAGACTTAAGGGGCTAATAATTTTGACCTTAAAATGGTTCATAAAAAATTTAAACCGCTTTTTATTCTAGCCGAAATAAAACAAAAGTCTTTATCCAAAAGAAAAAATATTATCAGACATACTGTAAAATGTCCTTGCTCTGTTAAACATAATTTAGGAAATATTTAAAAAAGAAGAAATAAATCAAAGAGGGGCTAATAATTCAGACTTCAACTGTGTGTAGATAGACAGACAGACAGACAGATAGATAGATAGATAGATAGATAGATAGATAGATAGATAGATAGATAGATAGATCATAACAAGAACTGCTGCTTAATTGAATGCATGTAATAGCGACACCCGGTGGTTATTTATTGAATTACGTTCATTTTTGTATAGCGGGCCAGATTCTATTGATATTATTAAAATCCTCGCGGGCCACCACAAAACCGATTGCGGGCCGCAGATGGCCCGCGGGCCGTAGTTTGGACACGCCTGGTGTAAGCCTTTTTAGCACGTGTGAAAAAAAAATTATTTGTTGAAATGTATTTAAAATTGTTTTCAACTCCGAATTTAATTTGACTCCAATTTATAATAATTCAAATTTAGACTAATCTAATTCAAACTGATCACCTTATAGGTTGTGATTTGGTCTGATTTAGATCGATTACCTAATAAATCCTTATTTTCAGTTAATGGTTCATCGTTTACCCGAAGTCACAGAGGGGCTCTATTTTGACGGTTCATGCGCAGAGCGCAAAACGCAGGGCGCAAACGCTTTCAGGGCGTGTCAGAACGCATTTTTGCTAATTTAAGGACGGGAAAATCCGCTTTGCGCATCGGCGCATGGTCTAAAAGTGTTGAGTTTATTTTTTTAATGAGTTATAGGTGTGTTTTGAGAATAAACCAATTAGAGTCTCATCTCCCATTACCTTTAAGAGCCAGCTGTGTCTCGCCATAAGCGCATTTGCTATTTACAGGACGCAAAGTAAGTCTAAGTGGAAAAACTGAGCATTTCACAAGCAAACAGTTAACGGTTGACAGTTTTTTTAAACAGAAAATTGTTAAACAGAGCATCTACTGCGTGAGCATGAGAGATAATGGATCACTTTCACTTTCTCTCTTGGATAAGGAAACCTTTACGCACAGACATCAGTCTATAAATAATTAATTTTGTTTGTTAAACGCAAATATTCATTTCAAAACAGTTTCATTTTCTAAATTAGTTCTAATTTCCAGCAAATGGATAAATGAAAAATAACAAAATGTGCTCAAAAACCTGAGTGATATCCTAAAACACATGCTGTGCCCCATATGGTCTAAAACCTGACAGGTGGGCAAATCTAAGCTTGTTTTTAATAAAACAAATATAAATATGGATATAATAAATAATACTGCTAATAATAATAACATTATACAAAAGCAAATTGTTCTGAATGAACTGAAAAAGCCTCCCGAGATGAAGAAGACATAAAAGCAGTGGTTTTTCATATTTATGTAGGCTAGAAAATAATATGTTTTGTAATATTTTCATCCTTTATATTTATGTCCTATATCTATTCTTATTATATCCTATATATATCCTTAATATTTACATTTTTTCATATGTAAAGATATTTGCCTATTGCTCTCTTGTGTGTATTAAGCAGTGTGTAAGTGAGGTGTAACTCTGCGCTGGAGTTTAGACCGGGTTAGTTTTGGTCTAATGAAAAATCTATTATAGTTTCTCAAAATAGCAACGTGCCAGCGGTTCGCCTCAGAACGCCTTCCTTTTTAGACCAGAACGCCTATGGGTGCAAAAACGAGCACTAATGCATTTGCTATTTAAACAGCGTAGCGCAACGCCTCAAAACGACTCTTGCGCCAAGCTGAAACTACCAAAAGACTACTGTGCCGCCCCTTGCGCCACATTGGGCCGGGTGTATGATAGGGCCCTTAGACTCAGTATGCTGGCCAGTTACATCAGCTCACGGACACATCCTCGCCAGTTCTGGTTCTTAGATAGGGAATATAACTGTAAGCTAATTTCCGTTAAATAATAATAGGCCGCCCCATGCTTGCTCGCACATAAACAATGTTTGATCTAGCCCCTAGATTATATCATACTAAGTCAGTAATTGTCAGAAATCAACAGGTCACTATGCTGGATCCATTGAGCCTGAATCCATGACTAATCCTGGTTGTAGGCTGCGGAAACATCAGCTGAAACAATCTACTAGATTTAAGTGATTTCAGTGGATATTAGAGTTGAACAAGAATTTTACATTTATTTTTCAGGCAAAGATTTTCCATTCCAGTTCACATAATTAAACAAAATCAGCCAATTCAGAAACGTACAACATTAGTTACCCAAAGATTAATTTAAGAGTTAGAGATGAATACCTGACCATGTAGAAATATGTTGCAGCATATATGACTTAATGCAGAGCTCAAAGACTCAACACTGCAACAGGGTATCCTGTCTACAGGATCCCACAGACACGTCTGCACATTTCCCTTAAATACTCAAATCATCATAAATTCAAGACAGTAAAAGCTTCACCAAGCCATTGCCTGGTCATGACTTGATGTGAAGACCTTTTTCCCTGGAGTGGAACAGCTGGCAAAGATCTTTTCAAAGCTGAAACCCAAATTAACTGATAAAAGGGAAATAGTAAAATATTTCAGTGAAATTAAAACCACTTTACCGATCACACAGAGACATTTAAAATGACACCAAACATAATTATAGACCCACAAGATACACCGTATTAAAAACTTAGACATTCTGTGTAGAGCTGCTCTGGTGGAGAAGGTAAAGCTGAGAGCAGAGAATGCATGATCGAAACTGGTTTCCTACAGTAGCTGATCTTCTTCTCAGATTAGAAAGTATATTGTTTTAGTGCCTGACAATTCTCGTGGTTTTGTGTTGTGTGATGTTCCTAATGTGAGTATAATTCCTAATTGGCATTGGACAATAACCGTGTTCAAAGGTATACCGCAGTTTGGAAAAGTCAAGGTTTTAAAACTGTAAAAATTTTCTGTAATACTATTCCTAAGGTATAAGTAAGTTTTTTTTTTGGTTTAATTTTTTTGTTTGTTTTTTAGGACAGCAGTATCTCTGGCAGAAACAAATATCCAAAGATGCTGTTTTAAATTTAAAAAAAAAAAATCTGTGTAGCATTCCCAGCTGAACAGATGCACTTTACTCTCAGGGACTGATGTTTATAAAGTTTTTAATCTTCAAAATAAATCATCGTAAGAGCTGAATAAAAGAAACAAAGAAACAAATAATATTCATTACACATATCCTTGAAATGACGTTAAACAAATGCTCATAACTAGCCAATAAACTGATAAATACACATTTACAGTCTCAAATTCACTGTACAGGCATAAAATATAAATGTAATTAACTTTATAGGGATAAGTCTAAATAATTTGAATTGCTATAACACTAACAATGGCAATATTTAATGCAGATAAAGCATTTATGACCTTATAAATTACAATTAGACTCCAATATAAACAGCTTTAACGATTAATTAATTTTAGCTCAATTAGTGATGTTAATTTTAGAAAGATAAATCTAAAACACATAAAATGACCAAAATAAAGACCTTAATGGCTGTTAATGTCCCATTTGTAGAGCAAATTATAATAAAAAATAAATGACATGGCTTTTCTAAAAAACTAACAAATAATATCGATAACACTGAAACTCAAAATCCTTTTATATGTGCTAACAACAATTAAATGCTAACCAAAAGACCATTAACAACTATAAACTTTCACAATAAACAGTCTTTTTAAATTTCTCTGATTAACATATCAACAATACCTTGTGCCCTTCATCAGCCAGGAGCTAAAAGTCAGAAAAAAACTTTTTAACTGCCTTTACGATAGTCTTAACAGAGAGCACTCCAAAGTCCTTTCCTTTTTAACGCTAAACACTTCACCTATAACTTCTTCAATGTGCACACTACGGTCTGATTTAAGACAACAGCACCCTCTACTGGATGGAGGCAGAAGTGTCCGTGATTTAACTGTGTTATTGAAACAAATGAAGACAGCAGAAGTCTATAATTAATTAGATTTTTTTAGCCTGACATGTTTACTGCTCCAAAATACCTTAAATGTTCCCCAAATTTAAATATATTGTGTACAAAGGGAAAAAAGTTTTAGTTTTTTACCCAGACACTTTAAAAATAATATATATTTTAGAGCAGTAATCTCAATGCCGTAATACCGTGAAACTGTGAAATTTATATCCAAGGTTATCATACTGTCAGAATCTTATACCGGCCCATGCCTAGTTCCTAATCATATCAGCCTAGAAAATAGCAACTTTTCATTTTCCGTCAGTGTTAGTAGATGATAACCACTGAAGAGTCAAGCTTCAAATTGGAAATTGTTTTTGAGCGAGATGATGCTAATCGTCTAATCCGATTCAATAATCTATGCTAAGCTAAAAGTAGAGATCAGAGATCAGCTGAATTGATTCAAAGAGGGTACAACTCAACTGTTTAACTTTGGGGCACCTGTAAAATGAGCACATTTTCAAAAAAAATTGTTCTGTGTTTATATTCAGATCAGATTCATCGTCATATACACAGCTTCACTCAAATGTCTGAAGATTTATGGTGTTTTTTAGCAATCAACTCAATCACTTGTTATTACAGCTTTATAATATTGACAGTCTCTCTTTCTTTCAGCTCCAGGTTCTCCTATATGTGGGCCCTCGGGTTGGTCTTCAGGTGCTGTAGCAGGGATTTGTGCATTTCTTGTGGCTGCAATTGTAGCTTTGGTCATTTACTTTTACCGCAGGATCGCTAATCTACAAGCTCAATTATGTGAGTATGGCAGCTGATACAACAACAGATACATTTTTTTTTTTACTTTTCTCATGTTATTAAATTATGGTATGTTAGTTTGTATGACTAATGAAAGTTGGAAACATGTTACAAAACATAAAAAAGCCCGCTTCTGTTTTCCGTTAAAAAGCACGAATAAGATGATAATTTATTTTTCATCCACAGTGGTACGAGTAGATGTTTAATTGCAACTTTTTTTTTAATCTGACACACATACACACAGTGAGTACATACAGAGTTAGGTAATAACATCAGATTATGAAAACAGATTTCAGAAATCAAGTACAGTACTTGTAATTAGTAAACTACTTTTTAAAATATTAAGCTCGTCCACTCGTCCAGCCTCTTCACCCTTCACCCTTGTGTATTACACCGCCCACATACAGCAACAAGCAGAGGACGCTCTACGGTTTGACAAATATTGCTGTTGTTGGGCAACATAATGTACTTTTGAGGCTTTTTTAGTCAAGAATGTAGTTGTTTAGATTGCAACTATGCAGTTTATTTATAAGGATAGTGCCCATTTTAAAATATTTACAATTCCTGAGAGACAGCGCATCAGTGGCCATTAGCCTGTCATTGAGCAAAACAAAGACAGTTGATGTTGTCCATCCACAAGATAGCGACAGAGACCGCATAATAAGCCCTTAGAGAAAAAACACAGCGTAATTTTAAACTACAGCTGATCAAATCATTATTAAACAGGCAAGTGAATTTCTAAGTTGATCTTTCATGTTTGTATGTTGTAGTGCTGCATTTATACCATAGTAATTGTAGTGTATTGAGTTTGAGATGGGGCTCATCCTAAAGTCTTAAAACCGAAGATGACGATCTGTTTCTAATGACTCTCCTGTTTTCGCTACTGCAGAACGAAGTTGTGCACGTGTTATCCCAAACACAACAGTAATCTGGTAGTGTTTGCTTTGCTTAGGCTTTTTCGGGGTTAATTATTGTGATCTCCCAATTGCAACAGGCAAATACTTAAAAATCTCTGTAGACTGATGGCATTTAATGCTGTTTAGCCTTATAATCCTAAAATGTGAGCAAATCACCTGTTTTGTCATCACTTTAGACATTACGCTAGAAAATCATTCAAACACTAGCTCTAAAGTGGCGGTTTTGAAGTAGCAACATTTTCTGCTGTTCTGGTATCAGCTGCAGATGTGAATGAATGGCGGAAGAAAGTAGTTCCTCATACAAAAGGGTTGTGAGATTCTCCTTGTTTGATTTTCTTTTTTTATATACACATATTATGCCTTTGAACTGTTGTATAAATGCAAGATCACATGAGTAGCAGTGCAATGTGACTGGCTGTATATCGCCTCAAGCCAACGCATGCCTCCCACCAGTGCCGATATACAGCCAGCCACATTGCACTGCTACTCGTGTGATAGTCAAAACTATTAGCCCCCACCTTTTTTCTCTTTTTTTTTCTTCCAAATGATGAGCTAAGAAATTTTCACAGTATGTCTGATAATATTTTTTCTTCTGGAGAAAGACTTATTTATTTTATTTCGGCAAGAATAAAAGCAGTTTTTAATTTTTTTAAACAAACCATCGTTGTACAATAACTTGCCTAATTACCCTAACCTGCCTAGTTAACTTAATTAACCTAGTTAAGCCTTTAAATGTCTCTTTAAGCTGTATAGAAGTGTCTTAAAAAATATCTAGTCAAATTTTATTTACTGTCATCAAGGCAAAGATAAAATAAATCAGTTATTAAAGATGAGTTATTAATACTATTATGATTAGAAACGTGCTGAAAAAAATCTGCTCTTTGTTAAACAGAAATTAGAGGAAAAAATAAACAGGGGGCTAATAATTCTCACTTCAACTGTATGTATATATATATATATATATGTGTGTGTGTGTGTGTGTGTGTGTGTGTGTGTGTGTGTGTGTGTGTCCGCGTGCGTGCGTCTGTAATTTCCAAGTTAATTAAGTTCTCACACTAAGAGCAGCACAGTTAATTTGATTGTTAATATTTTTAATTTTTTTTCCCCCAGATGACAAAAAAGATACCTTGATGTCTACCATGAGTACCCTTTCAGACAAAAATGAATGAAACCAATCAAAAGGTATGGTCATGAAAAATAAATCAATATGCTGTCATGCAGATAGCAACCATAAAACAAGTTGAATGTTTATTTGATGTAAAGCTAATCTAAGAAGAAAATTGTACCTGTTGCTCTTTGCATGTGATGCATTCATGCTAAGCTAAGCTGTTCCCACAATAACTGGTCATTTATTCATGTGTAGTTGTTGATTTTGAGTCAGATCAGAGTGACGTGGCACTTTCTTCATTTTTTCAGAAAGACGTGAATTTGTGTTTAATTCAAAAACCATCCAATGTGCCACTGACTGACTGACCACACTTGTTTAACGCATTTATAAGACTTCAGTGTTATTTAGCTGCTGTGCTTAATTTTATTATTAAATGTGTTATTGTTTTGTGGTACATTGCAAGACTTCATTTTATTGTATCTGTCTATATTATGTATCTGAATATTTTCTAATTATCTGTTGCTCTGAATGTGAGATCTGTTTTGACTATTTTACTTTTGTTTGTACTATAAAGTGTTAATATGCTGTCCTACATGACTGCCTTAGCGTCTTTTCAATCTGTATTTTGTTATTGTAGCTCTCAAGCTTCCGTTAGGACATGTTTGTCCAAAAAGTTTTTTACAAGAGTTACCTTAATCTAAGCTGTTCATGCCTTGGCTTCTTTTTCAAAGTTTACACCATGAGATAAAAAAGAACAGGACTCAATTTAACAATGTAAAGTGGTCGGAAAATAACCCTTTTTAATCTTTACCTTTGGACAAAAATGTCCACCCATAGCAAAGGAATGGGAAATACTAAAATCTATATAACATTTGTCCAATAAAAATCAATAAATCCAAGGCAATGCAGAAAAAACATAAACCAAAATAAAAGTTTTAGTCTATGCAACATGCTTTGTGTTAAACACACACACACTCTCACACACACACACACACACACACACACACACACACACACACACACACACACACACACAAACACCCCCCAAAAAACACCTTTGAAATCTATTGCCTTTTACTTTCTATTGCTATTATTGATATTATTAGATTTTTATACAACCTTAAGCCAAAATATTTCACCAAAGTTAACCAGTTTTTAGAATTTGGATGTCTGAACTTGCTAGAATATTGTTTTTGATTTGCACACACACATACACACAAACCACCAAACAGCGCCTCCCAAAGAGCCAATGACTACTACAGTCAAAACAAAATCTGAGTGGTTCAACTTGAACACATACACAAAAAAAAAGGACTTGATTCAACTTGATTCCTCTTTGAGTCCAACTCCATAATTTGTACCATTGGAATTTAATAACTGAATAATTAAATATATTTATAAAGTCAATATATCATAAAAATGCAAAAATAGACAGATTTTATATGATTATAGACAGTGATATGGGATATTTGTTAAAAAGACAAAAAAAAAAAAACTCAATTGGAATCACAATCAAGATTTTGTGGACAGAAATGTCCATGAGGGAAAGATTAAGGGCTGCAACACAACGGATGCTTGAGACTTGTGAATGTAAAAGTGGGATTTTTTATATTCTGTTGATGATTAATCACTTTGATCTTCGCTTTACATGAAGGGTGTGTTAATGAGACTCTTATTACACCTTTATAATGTGCCATGTCAATAATATGACTGAGATAGTCATTAACTGTCATTAAGTATTATTTGCTCGGTTATATCATTTGAAATGCTAATATGACATTGGTTGAGATGTCTTTGTCATGAAAACATAAACAAGACAACATAACTTGTCATAAATCTGTCATAAACATGATTGTTGTGAGGCATAATAGTTGTGTCATGAATATTAACTTTTATAAGTGGAGCAATCAATTTGAATGAATGTTTTTCAGTAAAATTGACAATAATCTGTCAAATAATTGTATACCAGCGTCATTAATTAGCATTTAATGACATTTTAACAACAAATTAAATTTGTACCATTTTAATAGAGGACAATATAAACAATTAATGATGCTATGCTAAAACTGCTAATGATATAAAATTCATTCATTGATTTTCCTTCGGCTCCGTCCCATTTTTCATCAAGTGTCACCACAGCAGATTGAACCACCAACTTATCCAGCATATTTGTTACACAGAGGATGCCCTTTCAGTCTGCAACCGGGTACTGGGAAACATCCATACACACTCACATTCAGACACATACACTAAGGCCAATTTAGCTTATCCAATTGACCTATAGCACACGTCTTTGGATTGTGGGGGAAACCGGAGCACCCCTGAGGAAACCCACTTAAACACAGGGAGAACATCCACACTGCTAAATGCCAACTGAAACAGCCGGGACTCGAAGCAGTCACCTTCTTGCTGTGAGGCATCAATGCTAAGCACTGAGCCACTGATATAAAATGCATGACACAATTAAAACAGCCTCATAACAGTCATGTTTATGACAGATTTATGACAAGACATGTTGTCTTGATAATGTTGTCATGACAAGGCCAAAGACAGGTTATGATGCATTTGAAAATGTCAGGTTGGCAAAACAAGACATGTAAAATAATGTAATCTTTGCATTTAAAATGATATTACTAAGCAAAATACACTTAATGACTGTTGTATGCATGAATCTCATTCATAATCTTGACACATATTGTCACGATTATGAAGGTTTCATGATAGTCTTATGAACACCCCCTTCAAGTAAAGGGTTACCATTCTTTTGTGTGGCCTTACTAATGACTGTTATTGCATTTTATTCAAGCTGAATCAATGATATGTGCTGTTTTGAGCTGAGTGCATATTACTGTTCACATTGTGCTGTTACTGGAAAAAAAAAAACAATAAAACAATCAAAAGACAAATTGTTTTAGCCATTGTCTGTTTTCTGTTAATCTCATACAGGACAAATAAAAGACACACAAATAAACATTCTGCTTTTTCAGAAAGTCTTACTGTATACAAAGTAATGATGAAGTCAGAATAAAACTAATTTATACTTATGTAAGATTTGAGATATTACAAATATTTTGATGTCCTTGACAATTCAAACATGAGCCGAAAATAGAGACAATTTACTCCACAACCCAGCAGGTGAGAATGCGGGGGGAAAACAGCTCCCCCTACATTTACATTTGAAACCCTTGTTCTATCACCCCAACTCACACAATATGGTCATTTCAAAGTTTGAATGTTCTATATCAACCCAAGTGACTTTATCATGTTTGATGTCATTTAAAATGTCTGGTACAATGGTCTCAATCCCTCAGAAATAGACATAATCAAAACAATAAATATATTACTTCAGGCATCTTTTGTACCACTGTGAAGGCTGTGCCTTTCCTACAGGCAGCACTAAATGCAAATGCCTTTTGTTATTCACACACCCCTTTCCTTGAAGGGATTCTTGGATTACCTAAGGCAGGGGTGTCCACACTCGGTCCTGGAGGGCCGGTGTCCTGGAGAGTTTAGCTCCAACCCTAATCAAACACACTTGAACAAGCTAATCAAGCTCTTACTTGGTATACTAGAAACTTCCAGGCAGGTGTGATGAAGCAAGTTGGAGCTAAGATCAGCAGGAAACCGGCCCTTCAGGACCGACTTTGGACACCCCCGACTTAAGGGAAGGTTTGAAAAATGTTTGGGGCGAATCTGCTTACTCAGATCAGTGTAAGCTCCATGTTATGTATTTTGAAGTCAGGTGTGCATCTTTTAATATTGGATTTATCTTTGATAATTTGATGTCTTGTATTAATCGTTCATGAATTGACTGATTGAATTGGCATAATACACATTTACCTGACTAATAAATTGTAATGTTTGAACATATTTTGCTCTGTAATTATTAGTTCTAGTAGATTACTCTGTATCTTTGTTTCCGCACGTCTTGCGTCAGGTCAGTAGACGGACTAGAATCCAGTTGAGATGGAGCATTGGGCACACTAATAGTGTTTTAGGGATCCGACTGACTATTGATATTGATTCAAGTGTACTTGGGTGGAAAGGGCGTTAACTTCCGTCTAGGTCAACAAGGTATTGCATGACTAACCTAGATTGGGTACCCGACTTTTGTTTGAAAGTAATTCAAACAGCAATCTTCTTGTTGTGAGGCGACAGCACTACCTACTGCGCCACTGCTTCACTTATTCATATTAATTGAATAATTGCTGTTTGTGAATTGGCAGCCATCACTGCTCACTGGGAAATTTTATTTTACTTAAAACAGACCCTTAACAAGCAGGTAAGAGTTGCTGTCGCCACTGGCTTGCATGGTTTAGGATTTGTAGAGCTAACCATCGATGAATTTGCTCTTCAGTGTTTGGACTCTCAGTAATGATTTTAAATCACACTGAACTGAGCTAAACTGAACTGAACTTGAACACTAAAATCTGAACTACCCTGATCCAGTTACTATGACCATTTATGTGAAGCTGCTTTGACACAATCTACATTGTAAAAGCGCTATACAAATAAAGCTGAATTGAATTGAAAATTTTAAACAGAATGCATAATTATCACTCATTAAAACTACATGTGTGCTTTCAGTGCATATACAAACCCGTAGCCAGCCTGGTGGAAGGGGTGGTTCTCTTTTCTCAAAAAGCCCTTTTTGCAGTTATACACCTCCATTTTTTTATTTAACTATGAGATTTTAACACTGCGTTTTAAGCAGTATTTAAGCAGTACTTGTTTGTTGTTTTGCTTGAATAGCTAGTCAGATGTCATCATAATCACACTTTTTGATGTACTAAAAATATTTCCTAAAAATTTGCAGAAAAGAAAAATTAAAACAAGACTAATTTTTAAAATACAAATTTCTGACATCATAGATCATTAGGAAAAACTGTAGCCTACTGTCATTTATTAGACTAAAAACAAACTGGCCAGCACATTCAACTGTCCTCAGTCACAGTTTGGCCATTTCAATAAAAAACAATATTTAAAACATAATAATAATAATAACAATAATAATAATAATACAATAATAATGAATTCTTCAGAATTTTTCTAGTCTCTTTTAGCCTTACCCTGTTTGGCAGTCTTTTTGAACATGTTCAATAGTTTGCCATAATGACGCCGCTGCCTTTCTGCCTCTCTTGCTCTTTTCGACCCATAGCCGCTACTCAGTATGGATGTTGCATCAAAGATTCAAAAGTTACCTCATTATTGTGGCTTTGAGGCTCCATGGGAGGTCGAATTACTGGCCAGAGTTATTTAAAAATTACACTTTATTACAATAAATATTAAATAAATTATATGTATAATAATTATGTATAATATTGTAGTGGCAATTTTCTTGAGGCTCTCTCTGTGGTCAAGAAACAAAGTCTTACTCGGAATGTCTTTTTAAAGTTTTATTCTTTGCAAAGAAGGTCACAGTCATACAGCAACAACAGTTTCTGCAGAGTGAGACACAGAAGTCAAGTGTGTTCACCCTTTTATCTGGTTTTTACTGCTTACAAGGTCAAACCCTAATAATGCCCATTCTGACGACAGTTTCTACAGAATGAGACACTGAAGCAAAGTGTGTTCACTGTTCTATCTAGTTTGTACTGCTTGCAAGGTCAAATCCTAATAAGGCCCATTCTGTACGTGCATCAGGTGCTCCGCTGTTTCTGCTGTAAGTTTCCACTACACATGTTTATCTAAAAATGAATTTCCATTACAATATTAAATTACATAAATTAATTAAACGGACAAATTCTGAACCACCCGAACCCCCGCCATATATATATATATATATATATATATATATATATATATATATATATATATATATATATATATATATATATATATATATATATATATATATATATATATATAATTTAACTGAAACAAGAGTATCAGCAGTGCCACTAAAGCTTTCAAACAAAAGTCCAAAAAAGTAACGAAAGATTTGACTTTCTACGGTGACGGCTGACATCACAACACATGCCGTAACCGTCCTTCAGATGGTATATAGCCGGTGTAGCAGTCTCTGTTGTCTTCTGGAATTCCAGTTCCCCCTCTACGGAGAGTGTACACTGAGTCTAGAACTAAGAAAAAACATGGTTTGAGCCACTGATGAAGCATCGTTTAGTCACAGAGAGCTATTCTATCAGCGGGAGAGTTTGTAGAAACACGTTAACGCGAGTACATGTAACTAAACAACATGTAAACATGTTAATATCGGAAACATATTAACACGGGTCCACAACCACAGCAAGGCATGTTTTAACTGAGAAAGATATTAAAACAGAGCATGAAATGTGTAGTTCTGAGTAGCTCAGTCAGATAAAACGCTTGATTCGCGTGCGAAACCCTTTTCTCTACACGGGTTCGAAGCCTGTGGAAGACTCATTCTAATTTTTCTTTTTAGATTTATTTTGGTTATATACTGTTCTGCTACACAGATATTAAAATCAATAATGCACACAATGACACTGACACCAAGTAATAAGAATCTTTATTTGGTATGGACATGATTTGTTGCTGTGAAAAAATGACGAATCTGCCAATCTGCAAACGTGACTAGCTAACATCTGGAATGGGACACCAGTTAACACGGTCACCAGTTAAACCGTAACACCGTTTCGACACACCCAAAAATAACGTTGCAGCGGAGTGGATCTTTACAAATAATACCTACTGGTCATCATCGGAAACCTTGTTTTATATCTACTGCAGTATGAAGAACATTTTATTGTTCTTTCTATGCTTTCAGGTCATGAATGGTAAGGTTTAGGATTTTTCTTGAGAACTTTCGGCTTCACTTTTGCCATTTTCCGCATTTTTATTTTATTGTCATATTTCATGTCCTAATCATTAATACAGTTGTAATTTACTTTGTTATTCAACAACACTTTATTCGTATATTTACATTAAGGTCATGTTCATTTTTTGGGTATGTGTCATAAATATGGTGTTTTTGTTTTTATGACTATTCATACCATTATTTTATAGTGGTAAAGTAAAGGTTTTATATTGGGATATTCAGACTTTCTCCTTAATAATATAGTTTCAGAACAGTATTCTTTGCAAATTCTAAATAGTAAAATCATATTTGCAGGCAATGACTGTTAAAGTACTGTACAATGTTCACAGTCAATTACATAGTGCTAATGTTGTTTTGAAGTCACAATTCAGATCGAATAGTTAAATTAGCTTGGTAAACAATATGAGACAGTTAAATGAGTGAATGTGCGAATATAAAACCAACTTTATCTTCATCTGTGCTAATTGGTCCACGTAATGTTTGTTGTAACCTAATAATGAAGGTTTTATATTACATTTTTAAGCCTTATTCCTTTTATGAAATATGCTGCCATTCGAATAACAAACATGTCTTTCACAGCAAATAACCTTGCTTTATTAGTGTGAAAATGAATATGCATCTGCATAATTCTAATAAAATAATTTTGTCCAAGTGAATCAAAAAAGATAGTAATTCTGTTTTATATAATCCATGATTCATGTCCCTGATGCTTACTTGTTGGTATTTGTTTTACTTACATTTTGATGTCGACTCTCAATTAATGTTTATTGTTTAAATTAATTTTATTTAGCGATTGTTGTTTTTATAATAATTGTACTTAGTTACTTGTAACTGTTTCTCTCTCCATTTGCAAGGTGTGTTTGGTGATTCAGTATCAGTGAAGGAGGGAGATTGTGTCTCTCTTCACACCGGTCTTGCTGAAATAGAGAAGGAAGATGTAATACAATGGAGGTTTGAAACCATTGTCATTGCTCAAATCATTAGAACGATTAATTCGATCTCTATAAAGGAGGATGTCCTCAATGGGAAATTCAAAGACAGACTGAAGTTGGACAATCAAACTGGAGATCTCACTATCAAAAACATCAGATCTGAACATAGTGGAAATTATGACGTAAACGACTTCAATACCTTAAACAAGAGCTTTAATGTAACTGGTGAGTATATAATGCATTCCAGTGTTACATTTAGCTTATTTACATTTTTTTGGTCCGTGAAGTTTATCGTAAAAATACAAACATAATTGTTAAACATGCAACATATACAAAGAATCCATGTGTTTTGGTAAAACTAGAAATGTGTGAATTAGATTTATAGACACAGGAATTATTTGCCTCTAAGCTTATGACGATATAACATTTTCATGTTGTAAATAATTGCTAAAGCTTTTTAATCAAGATATATACAATGGCTTCAAAATATTGACATAAGCTGCTAAATAAAGTTGTTCAGCAGGTACTGTATTAAAACAAAAAACTATTTTGTGCATTACATTATTGTATGCACATGTTTAGTGTATTTAATCAAATTAAATGGCAAAAGAGTGTACAATAGGCAGCACTTTACAATTAAGTCTCATTAGCAAATGCTTGTTAATGCATTCAAATCAACAGTGGGAAATAACCATATACAGTGTGTTAAGGTAATTTAAAAATGATTTACGTTCAGTTAACTGAATTGAATTAGTTATTTACTACTTAACGTTTATTAATGCAATAATGACTTTTTAAATGCATTATTATGCATAAAAATAAGAAATCAACATTACCAAAACATAAATGCATTGTAGTTGTCATTATATTGACTTTTTACTGATGTTAAGTGTAGCCTACTGTACAGAGTTAGCAAACAAAACTCCTATAAACAGTCAAAGAATTTTCAACAGCATAGGCCAGATTATAAACATATTCATGTTTGAAAATAAACAGCTGTGCTGTAATGAACAACCACTGCCAATACAAAAATCTGAATATTCTTAGAAGACACTCAGAAAGTTTAAATAAAAATTATTCAGTGTACAATATAAATATCATGCATGTTCATTATCATGATATGTTGAATCGGTTTATGTCTACCTGCCATTTTGGATGTTTTTGGATGTTTCAGTTTGCTTTTGTTGTTTACTAGTTGTACAATACAACATATTTTATCCTAAAATTTACATTGCAACAATGATGGGACAAAAATATTAGGACAAACCCCTTAACCCTGCTATATTTTTTTTTTTCAGTTGATCCAAGTAATAAAAACCAAATTTTTGACAGCTCTTTACCTACACCTACACCAATATGGAACAACATCAATGCCAAAAGTATTGAATTAAAAAGCTTGTTGAATAGATCAACAAAAGATCATTCAACAAACTGAAAAAAATAATGCACCGAATTAACAAGATCTTGCATTTTAATGTCTTGAATTCCAGGGTTTGTATTTTTAGATCCTGAAAATAAACAAAACTGTTTATTTAAGCTGTGAATATTTCAACTAAAAATATTTCAAACACGTTTTCGTACTTTTACGAAAACGTATACAATATATGATAGTATTCAAAAGGCAATTTTCTGTTCATTTTATTTTAGTTTAAATATTCGCTTCCAAAAATTCAGTGGTTCAAATTCAACTGTTAAAATTTGACATTACATCCGGGAACTGCAGGAAAAGCAATGGATTGAAAATCGCCTGCTGCTCTTTCACCAGCAGGTGGAAATGCAAAAATGTACGATTTTTAACCCTGTAAATAGGCAAGAAAAAAAACTAATAAAGGCACAAAAGTAGCATTAAATATTAATAGCAATGTCTTGGGCAATATAAGTAATAAAGTGAATATCAGTAAAATGAGTAAATAATGTTTTGGACATTTATATTTGGCCTTAACGGAAGCCAGCTGGTGATCACGTAAGCCGTAAACCTTACTCCTCAGATCTCAAGAGGTGATCCAGCGACAGACGTGTTCTGAAATCTTTAGCCTCCTCTTTAGAGCATTTGTCTCCCATGGTGGTATCGCTGGCTTTTGCTCTGCTCGGACTGGTGGGGTTACATGCACATAAACCGTTTTTTGACAAATATGATATTACACATTCTCTATCTTTATTAACTTTTTTATATCGACTGCTAAAGTATAATTAGTGTAATAAAAACGTATAATATAAACAATATAAACAAGATAGATAAACATAAGTACCAGGGCTAAGGACAATTAAGAACAAAGATATTAGTTTCAAAACCAGAGAGATTTTATGAGAATGTCACAAAACAGTTTACTTTGGAACTGTTAGACAGAGTTGTCACATGTCCATGTATTTATTCATTCATTCATTTTCTCGTCGACTTAGTCTCTTTATTAATCCGGGGTCGCCACAGCGGAATGAACCACCAACTAATCCAGCAAGTTTTTTATGCAGCTGATGCCCTTCCAGCCGCAACCCATCTCTGGGAAACATCCACATACATTCACACACACACTCATACACTACAGACAATTTAGCCTACCCAATTCACCATACCGCATGTCTTTGGGGGAAACCGGAGCACCCGGAGGAAACCCACGCGAAGGCAGGGAGAACATGCAAACTACACACAGGAACGTCAACTGTGCCAAGGTTCGAACCAGCAACCTTCTTGCTGTGAGGCGACAGCACTACCTACTGCACCACTGCCTTGCCTTCCATGTATTTATTATTTATTTATTTATGTTACTTTGTCGCCCTCTAGTGTTTTGTTGCTGTTTTGATTTCAAATTGATTTTGCCGCACCTGCAGACCATTGACTGGCGATTTAAGAGCTCGCGCTGCAGTGTTTCAGTGACGGAGATTTAAACGGTCGTCAAGGCGTGGAGTTGTGCTCCTTTTGTTTTCAGCCTTTGTTTTTTTGTATTTTCTCCCCACACTTTGTTAATTTTTGGTTATTTAGTTAATAAAGAAACCGATCCGTTTGTCTCATCCCTTATATGATGTGATGTCTGTGGTCGTATCAAGAGTGTTTAGGTATATTTAATGTTGGGTATGGATGGGACGTGTAATTTCAGTTATTCATGTAGAACCGTCTAATATATGGCATAACCATTAATGGTTTATTAGACTAGGAAGTGTTTGCGCTGTTTAAACGCAGCTATGTCAGGATTGGGAAAGGCTATATATTTTCATTATTTAAATTAAAGTTGTTATTATTATGCAATTTATTGCTTTTCCTACAGTTCCCGGATGTAATGTCGGAATTTTAACAGTCGAATTTGAACCACTAAATTTCATGGAAGCGAATATTTTAACTGAAATAAAATAAACTGAAAATTGCTTTTTCAATATTATGCATATTTTTAAAGGTTATTGAACATTTTGTAAGTGAAATCTGGAAATGGAATATGAATTATTGAATTTATAATTATGAAAACGTGTTTGAAATATATTTAGTTGAAATATTCACAGCTTAAATAAACAGATATGTTAAATTTCAGGATCTAAAAATACAAATCCTGGAATTCAAGTCATTAAAATGCAAGATCTTTATTTTTTTGTATTATTTTTTTCAGTTTGTGCTATTCAACAAGCTTTTTAATTCAATTCTTTTGTCATTGATGTTGTTCCATACACCTATACAGTAAAACTTTTTCTAATTCCTGTAACTGCATGGAAATCTTAATGAGCTGCATGAACTTTAATGTTCTTTTTTACTTTTTAAACTATGAAAATATTTGTAAAAATATGATTAGGTAAGAACATGAGAGCCTGTTGCATTTGCAAATGAAGTGCATTAATGTTGCATGTATTAACAGTTTTCAGTGTGTAAAGGCAATTTGTACAAATAATAGTTGACAAATAGGTTGGTGATGTGGTTTTATTCACTTGAGTTTCCATTTAACAAATGCCAAAATGACTTGCATGTAATAATAAATGAAGCTAGTTAAAATGAAGAAGATTAAAATTAACACCAATATATTCTCACTAGTCACAGATGTCATGCCACATAATGCTAACTGAATTTTAATAATATGTTCTTCTCAAGATGTTGTTCATTTACCCTGAAAATGTTTCTCTGGTCCAACTTAAATTTCAGCAACTGTTTTTTTTTTTTGTTCATTCTCTAGCTGTTGTAGAGGAAAAACAATCATTGATAGTGATGGAGGGAGATTCTGTCAATCTGCAACCTGATGTTCCTGAAATACTGAAATACGATGTGATCCAATGGAGGTTTGGACAACCTGTTGTAGCTAAAATCAACAGAGTGAATAGAAGTGTCTCCACACCTGATGTAAGATTTCGATACAGACTAGAGGCAAATTATTTGACTGGATCTCTAAAGATAAGTAACATCGCAACCAATTGCTCGGGACTTTATGAAGTAGACATCCGCAGCAGCAACAAACACACTATACACAAGTCATTCTATGTGACTGTCACCGGTGAGTCCATACATCTATTAATGAATTCAAATAGAGCAAAACTTTGTGAATAGTTTAGAAGACAATTGCACCAAATTACATGTTGAAAACCACAAAGTAACATGCCTGTGGTACCGTTTAGTGCCAGTTTTCCTGGCATTGATGACTACGCTAAATCCATAGTGTGATTTATATGCTTAAAGTTGCAATAAAATGGAACTAATTCTTGAGTATATATTATTGTACATCAGAGCATAACAGATAGTCTAGTAAAGACAGTAAAGCCTTCATTTTATGTATTGGTTGAGGTAGCATGCTAAATTGGATGTAGATTAATGCATTTGTAGGAACAGGTTTAAATATTATTATTTATTTATTTAAATATTTTTGTATGAATGTATTGAAAATCTGATTAGCTGTTCATTAGTGTTCTGCATGTGTTTGTTTAAACAGGTGAAAAAAAAACTGAGTCTGTATTGGCTGGAAAATCTGTCACTCTGAAGACTAATAGTACTAAAATACTGAAAGATGAGTTGATAGTGTGGATGTTTGGAGGCACTATCATAGCTGAACTGTCCAAAGTAGACCAGCGATTCTTTTTGCATGATGATGATGAAGCATTCAACGGCAGATTGAAGTTGGACAATCAGACTGCAGCTCTGACCATCACAAAGACCAGTACTACAGACTCTGGACTCTATCAGCTAATGATCAGCAGCAAGGGATATACCGTCCATGAGAGATTTGTTGTCAGTGTTACTAGTGAGTAGATCAAACCTGTTTAATAATGATCTTATAGGTGTGATGATCAGATGTGCTTCAACATTAGGCACATTCAAATCAAGACTGAAAACACGTCTGTTTAGCTGTGCCTTTACCAAATGAGCACTGTGCTATGTCCGACAGATCGCACTATTTGCGTCTTTTTTTAATCCTATTTAAACCTGTTTTTTAACCACTTTGAATTGTTTTATTTATCAAACTTGTTTGTTTATTTATTTTTTATTTTTTAATCTTGTCACAACAACAATCATGGCTGAGTGTAAAAAAAAAAAATCTGGCAACCAGTCTTCTCTACAAGACAGACACCAAATGGCGCGTGCCAGTGTGCACAAACTCGTAGAAAAGATGTGTCACGAGGAGGTGGACTTTTCGTACAGTGTGTGACTAGTCTTTAAAATCTCTGTGAGCCATCGTACAAGTGCAGATACATCTGTACCACCTCTGTTGCTCTACTCCTCAGTGGATTTATGTGTATTTTATTAGGAGACAATACAAACTCCCCAAAAAAGTTCGCTTTGGTGAGCTATTTCCAACTGCAGAAACAATATCAATAGAAACTCGGTTTTTGTTCAGAATGACATCACTTCAGTTCATTCTTCGATTTAGCTTGAGGTATACTGGGGCTTTAAGTCTGGTACTAGGTTTAAGTCTTGAAAGCATTAATTATTAATCTGTGAAAATATCTAAAAACATTTGCAATAGTAAAAACAAGTCAAGTCCTTTATTCGATATAAATATTTACCAACAGTAATCAACAGTGAATCAATAAAATGATCTATTCCGTTGCCGTTACATTAGCTAATTCATAAATAAATGTGAAAATCAGATTCATGCTCATATTCACGGTTTTTCCTTAAAAATTCTGAAGATCTATGGTGTTTTTAGCAATCTAAAATGTTCGTGTTGAAGCAAATGAAAGCTGATGATTTTCATGACACGTTGGTGATGCTTTTTAGTGTAACTTTACATTATTTACAGTTTCTCTTTATCATTTCAGATTCAGTTTTGGCTTCATGTGCGGCTCCAGGTTGGTCTTCACGTACTGTCACATGGATTGTTTTTGGTCTTCTTCTTCTTCCGGCAGTTGTAGTTATAGGCTTGGTCAAATACTATCGCAACAAGATTGCTGATCTAAAAAAATCTTGTGAGTATCACAACTAATTAATTCAATATCAGATAATCATTTTTACAGCTCTTTTCATGTTATTAAATGATTTGTTGTTAGTTTGAATGACTAATGAAAGTTTTAAACATGCTACAAAAGAATAGGTTCTTGTTTTCTGTTAGAAGCATGAATAGAGGATCATATATTTTTTTATCAACATAGTGATTTCATAATCACTTGCAGTTATTATTTTTTAAACTTAAAATAAACTCTGTCACACACACTGCGATATATATATATCAAGATATGACACTATATTGTTTAAAATCTACGAAAGTGGGCACGTAACTTGATCAAATTTATGTCTTTCTGTTGTATTTATATTGTGTATTATCTCAATATCTGCCCACTCGCGGCATAACAGAGCTGTGAAGGGAGCGCTCTTGCCCTCACACACAAATACAGGCATTTAAACGCGCACAAACACACCTTTTAAACTTAACAAAAACTCTTGAAAACCTTTATTGTCTGCTGTGTTTTAATATGGTGTAATGATTATTATGCGTTATTGAAACATAAAGGAGGATGCAGCAAAGAACATCACTATAAATTAAAACTACTTTATTGTTTTATGCAGCAGCCTTACATTTAAAAGGGAAACATAAGGGTGATCATACGCAAAAAGACCCCAGAGGTTAGGCTAAGCCTAGATGTTTTCTTTCCCTTATTTATTTATTTGTTTGGCGCATGTACTCATGTGCGATCAGAAAACTGCCCGCCTCTCCTTTCACTCCGCCCCGAAGCCCCAGCTGGCCCTCCTTGGCCCAAGGTATTCGGCGGGCCGAAAAAGGCCGGCCGCTGGCCCCAAGAAAGCCCCGCTTTGGCCCGATTAGGCCCCGGAAGTGACTGTGGAAACGCGACTGGCCTTGGCTCGCCCTGGCTCGCTCGCTTTAGGCGCGATAGTGGAAACGCGGCTATTGACTTTATCCGGTCAACCTTAAAAAAGAAAATAGAAAATAGGCTCTATTCTTACAAATAAACTGCATAGTTGCAATCAAAATAACTACATTCTCACTATATTAGGGGTGTAACAGTTCAAAAAAATCACAGTTCGGTTCGATACGACACAGTGGTGTCACGGTTCGGTATGTTTTCGATACAGCAAAAAAAAGAAAAAAGCCAGAGGATTTCTCTGATTTAGATTTTTTTTTATGTATTAAAACTAACATAATAAAAGTATGATCCTATTTTTTTTGTTTTACTTTAAACAGTGAAAGAGCTGTAGGGCTCTGCTTAGCAGCAAATAAAACAAATCCTTCTTTATACTGAAAACCAAAAAGCTTCCTATAAAAAATAAATATATTGTAGTTAAACAAATTAAAAGGAAAGATCAATTTAGTTTGTATATGGAACTCAGTTTCAATCAATTTTTAAGTATTTTTTTATTTTCGGAAAGATTAGTTTACACCTTTTCTTCAGATAGCACAGATCTGCTTGATTTGACTGTCACCTGCCATTTCAGTGGATCTGAAAGCAGGAATTATCTGACTGAAATGGGCTTATCAAGAAATAATGTAACCAGGCTCTATAACATTTAACATTTTCTTAAAACCCGAAATTTCCACTACCGATTAAGGTCTCTCATATCCATAGCTATAAATGTGCTGATCGCCTCGGCCTTGTTTTGAACTAAAGTCATTAGAATCAACAGCAAATCAGCCAGCAAAGTATCAATAACAGATTTTTATTGGTAATTTTAGTAAACTGCATGACTTATACCTGTTAAGTTTCGTGCCATTGCTCTATAATGCAGTAAATTATTGCGTGCGTGTGTGTGTGTGTGTGCGCGCTGTGTGCGCGTGAGTGGGGGAAAACTGTATTTCTGGCAGACACGTGAACTAGGAGAAAGTTTTTCTCTCGTGCTTGAACTACATCTGACAGATTATAACGGCTTTAACACACACTTTTCAAAGTTGTGTGTCACAAAAACACTCCGTAATCCACTCAAAATGTTATTGAATCCCATTTTTGGAGCGCAAATTATCAGTTGAACGGAAGTTCTAAACATTCTATGTTCTACTGTTTAACATGAAAGCGGGGAAGGCAGCATGTTGTCTGCCACATCATTTAGGATGCCATGTTGAGCGTTGTTGCACTGAAAACAGTATATTTGCACTTCTTCTCTTTTATCTTTTTAGATATTAGTCTGAACCGAATCGTTCGGTTTGCAATCTGTACGAACGGTTCAATACTAATACACATATTGTTACACCCATATATATATATATATATATATATATATATATATATATATATATATATATATATATATAGCATATAACCTAATTGATTCCTTACAAGAAGAGTAGCACAGTTAATTTGATTATTCATATTTTTGTTTTGTTTTTTCCCTCCAGGTAACAAAGATGATCAGTTGGTGACTAACACTGAAAATAATTTATAAAACCAATCAAAAGGTATGGTCATTAAAAATAGCCATGTTTTTCTTATGTGAGCCCAAAATGAAGTAGCTGTACAGTATCAATATGAAGTAGCTGTACAGTATCAATATGAAGTAGCTGTACAGTATCAATATGAAGTAGCTGTACAGTATCAATATGAAGTAGCTGTACAGTATCAATATGAAGTAGCTGTACAGTATCAATATGCTGTCATGCAGATAGCTGAGCTTTTAAGCAACCACAAAACAAGTCAAAGGAAGGTAAATGATTATTTGATGTAAAGCTAATCTAGGAAGAAAATTGTACCTGTTACTCTCTGGATGTGATGCATTCATGCTAAGCTAAGCTGTTCCCACAATAACTGGTCATTTATTCATGTATAGTTGTTGTTTTTAAGTCAGATCAGAGTGACGTCACTCTTTCCTCACTTTTCCAGAAATACTTGAGTTTGTGTTTAATTCAAAAACCATCCAATGTGCCACTGACTGACTGACCACACTTGTTTAGCACATTTATAAGACTTTAGTGTTATTTAGCTTTTGTGTTTACCAATAGTAAAAAGTGTTATAGTTTTGTGCATCATTACATATTTTCCTTTTTATTTTATCTGTCTATATTTTGTTTTATCTTTGGGTTATCTGTTGCTCTGAATGTGAGATCTGTCACTCTGTGAATTATTTTGACTATTTTACACTTGTTTGTATTATAAAGTGTCTTTATGCTGTCCTACATGACTGCCTTAGGGTCTTTTCAATCTGTATTTTGTGTTATTGTAGCCCTCAAGCTTCCGTTAGGACAATTTTGTCCAAAATCATTTTATTTAGAGTTTTTTACAAATAGTTGCCTTAATCTAAGCAGTTCATGGTTTGGCTTCTTTTTCAAAGTTTACGCCATGAGATAAAAAAAGAGGACTCAATTCAACAATGTTAAGTGGTCGGAAAATAACTCTTCTTAATCTTTCCCTTTGGACAAAATTGTCCACCCATAGCAAAGGAATGGGAAATACTAAAATCTATATAATATTTGTCCAATAAAAATCAATTAATCCAAGGCATTGCAGATAAAACATAAACCAAAATGAAAGTCTGAGTCTGTGCAACATGCTCAATGTGTCAGGCACACACTCTCACACACACACAAACACCCCCCCCCCCCCCCCCCAAAAAAAAACACCTTTGAAAACTATTGCTATTTACTTTCTATTGCTATTATTGATATTTTTAGATTTTTATACAAACATAAGCTAAAAGAGTTCACCAAAGTCAACAAGTTTTTAGATGTCTGAACTTGTTAGAATTTATTTTTGATTTTATTTTTTTGCACACAAATACACACAAACCACCAAACACCAAAAAAAACAAAACTAAATCAGAAGGAATCACACTCAAGACTTTTGTGGACAGAAATGTTCATGAGGGAAAGATTAAGGGCTGCAATGCAATGGATGCTTGAGGCTTGTGAATATAAAAGTGGAAATTTTATATTCTGTTGATGATTAATCACTTGGTCTTCACCTTACTTGAAGGGTTTGTTAATGAGACTCTCATTACACCTTTATAATGTGCCATGTCAATAATATGACTGAGATAGTCATTAACTGTCATTAAGTATCATTTGCTCGGTTATATCATTTTAAATGCTAATATGACATTGGTTGAGATGTCTTTGTCATGAAAACTTAACATAAACAAGACAACATAACTTGTCATAAATCTGTCATAAACATGATTGAACATTTATCAGTGGAGCAATGAATTGGAATTAATATTTCTCAGTAAAATTGACGATAATCTGTCAAATAATTGTATAACAGCGTCATTAATTAGCATTTAATGACATTTTAATGACAAATTCAATCTGTACAATTTTAGTAGAGGCACTTCTTGCGTCAGGTCAGTAGACGGACTAGAATCCAGTTGAGATGGAGCATTGGGCACACTAATTGTGTTTTAGGGATCCGACTGACTCTTTATATTGATTTAAGTGTACTTGGGTGGAAAGGGCGTTAATTTCCGTCTAGGACAACAAGGTATTGCATGACTAACCTAGATTGGGTACCTGACTTTTGTTTGAAAGTAATTCAAACAGCAACCTTCTTGTTGTGAGGCGACAGCACTACCTACTGCGCCACTGCTTCACTTATTCATATTAATTGAATAATTGCTGTTTGTGAATTGGCAGCCATCACTGTTCACTGGGAAATTTTATTTTACTTAAAACAGACCCTTAACAAGCAGGTAAGAGTTGCTGTCGCCACTGGCTTGCATGGTTTAGGATTTGTAGAGCTAACCATCGATGAATTTGCTCTTCAGTGTTTGAACTCTCAGCAATGATTTTAAATCACACTGAACTGAGCTAAACTGAACTGAACTTGAACACTAAAATCTGAACTACCCTGATCCAGTTACTATGACCATTTATGTGAAGCTGCTTTGACACAATCTACATTGTAAAAGCGCTATACAAATAAAGCTGAATTGAATTGAAAATTTTAAACAGAATGCATAATTATCACTCATTAAAACTTCATGTGTGCTTTCAGTGCATATACAAACCCGTAGCCAGCCTGGTGGAAGGGGTGGTTCTCTTTTCTCAAAAAGCCCTTTTTGCAGTTATACACCTCCATTTTTTTATTTAACTATTAGATTTAAACACTGCATTTTAAGCAGTATTTAAGCAGTACTTTTTTGTTGTTTTGCTGGAATAGCTAGTCAGATGTCATCATAATCACACTTTTTGATGTACTAAAAATATTTCCTAAAAATTTGCAGAAAAGAAAAATTAAAACAAGACTCATTTTTAAAATACAAATTTATGACATCATATATCATTAGGAAAAACTGTAGCCTACTGTCATTTTTTTGACTAAAAACAAACTGGCTAGCACATTCAACTGTCCTCAGTCACAGTTTGGCCATTTCAATAAAAATAATAATTAAAACATAATAATAATAATAATAACAACAATAATAATAATAATACAATAATAATGAATTCTTCAGAATTTTTCTAGTCTCTTTTAGCCTTACCCTGTTTGGCAGTCTTTTTGAACATGTTGAATAGTTTGCCATAATGACGCCGCTGCCTTTCTGCCTCTCTTGCTCTTTTCGACCCATAGCCGTTACTCAGTATGGATGTCGCATCAAAGATTCAAAAGTTACCTCATTATTGTGGCTTTGAGGCTCCATGGGAGGTCGAATTACTGGCCAGAGTTATTTAAAAATTACACTTTATTACAATAAATATTAAATAAATTATATGTATAATAATTATGTATAATATTAAATTACATAAATTAATTAAACGGACAAATTCTGAACCACCCGAACCCCCGCCATATATATATATATATATATATATATATATATATATATATATATATATATATATATATATATATATATATATATATATAATTTAACTGAAACAAGAGTATCTTTGGCCATTGTGCCAAAACTATTTTTTAAATTATACATATTATTATACATATTAAACAAAATAAATACATATTTTTGGTTAAAAATGTTTATCCTGCATTTTATATAAATATACAATTTTATTTTATTGAATAAAAAAATTATACCACCCCTCCTTCGTCATTGACCATTTGATTGATCCGTTGCTCGGTTACAGTCACATGTTAAAAATGAAGAGAAGAGTAAAGGGAAGTGGAGCGCAAAATAGAAAACAAAAAGAGAACAAACAATGCCTTAAAATGAAAACTGCCATGACAAATTGGATAATAAGGAATTGGTAAGCTTAACCCACACTATTATTACCACACTTTTAAACAACTTCTAATGTTTTTGGGAGCAAGGGGCAGCCATATAATTAATTATTCATTATCGCCAGTCAGTCACTGCATGCATGGGCTTTTACTTAAGTAACGTTAAACATAAATGCAGACGAAGTGGTTTTGTCCAGGCAGGGGGACAGTGACGCACGGCCACACCTGAACTGTGTCCGAAATCGCATATTTGCATCCTATCCCTGCTAAAAAATCCAGCTTAAACCAACCAAGGCTGGTTGGCTGGTTTTAGCTGGTCGACCAGGCTGGTTTTAGAGGGGCTTTGGCCACATCCAGGCTGGTTTCCAGCCATTTCCAGCCTGGTCTTAGCTGGTCAGGCTGGAAAATGACCAGCTAAATCCAGCTAAAACCAGCTTGACCAGTCTGGTTTAAGCTGGACATAGCTGGTTTTGGCTGGATTCCCAGCCTGGCTAGGCTGGTGAAGCTGGTTTTAGCTGGTCATCTCCCAGCCTAACCAGCTAAGACCAGGCTGGAAATGGCTGGAAACCAGCCTGTAAGTGGCCAAAACCCCTCTAAAACCAGCCTGGTTGACCAGCTAAAACCAGCCAACCAGCCTAGGCTGGTTTAAGCTGGATTTTTCAACAGGGGTATAGTGTGCGAAAAGTTAACTTTATGGTAAACGCTTTTGATAGTAGTAAATTTATGGACTGTCAGCTTCAAAAGAGAACATTTTATTCACTGCATTTCAGGGCTGGACTGGGGCAAAAAAACAGCCCTGGCAGGCCAGGCCTGGTTTTCTTACAGGCAGAAAACACTACTTTACCAACTGTATTGTAAATAAATCATATCAACATTTTAATATTACTATTATTATATCACAATAATATTAGTAAAATGAATTTAAATTCTGAGTAAATATGAATGTACACAAATTTACACAAGTAAATAGATAGACTCAATGATGGGCTAAAAATCTGTAGAAAACTGCAGATGTCTGCGCATGTAGACTCCATGTGGGCCTACTGAATATATTTTAGACAAAAAAGAAAATAAGACTTGGATTTAAAAATTCCCCTATATAAATTTTAGATACCCAATTATTATGATTCTTAAACCTGTTAAAACTGACACGAAGAAATAGTCAGAATATAAATAATTTTGGAACTGTCATGTTTATTAATCCTATCACGATACATTTTTATACCATATACATGTTTTTTATAAATTAATTATGCATCATATTGATGCATCAGGCCTTTTGGTAACTTTTTCTGCTTAAAACTTGCTCAATTTAGTTCCCAAAAAGTTTGCCTATAACATTTTGATTAAATAAAACATTTCAGGCAGTTTGTCTCTATATTTGTTTTAACTAAACATGCAGTTATATTAGTCCTTTTCATTTTCAAGTTCGGAAAAGCAATACGTACTTTTAGAACCCCTTTGCTTTCCGTACACCCAGTTGTGTTTAGGTGTGTCTTATATAGGTGTCTGCATAAGCTGTCAGCGGACACACTTCGCAGAGGGGGAACTGGAATTCCAGAAGGGAGCAGAATCGACTGCTAACGTTACACCCGCAGTCTGTTGCTGTTCTGACACACCCGAAAAAACACTGGAGTGGATATTACCAATACAATCAACTAAGCTCGGATTCTAAAGTCCAAGGCATTATGGGAAATGTTGTATTGTTTTTCCTCTTCTCGCTGTTCTTGGAAGGTAATTTAAGACTTCGGTTTTTACTTTCACAGTTCGGCCTACTAATTTAAACCTTTATGAAATTGATTTTCACATCGATGTTTATAAAGTTAAAAGCATTCAGCAATGGTTTGTTGCCACATTAAATATTTTATTAAGAGGAATATGATCATATTAACAAAGTGAATTTTAATGAAATTGCTACATTGTACAACGAGCATATCACTAAACTCCCCCCCCCCCCCCCCCCCAAAAAATAAAATAAAATAAAAAACACAAAATACGTACACGAGAAAAAGAAGGGTGGAATTATAAACCAATTTCTGTTTCAATTCAATTTATTTTTAAAGCCCATTAAAACAACACAGTCGACCAAAGTGCTGACAACAGAGAGTAAAACAAACTTACAAATAAATAAACATAAAATGTCAACATCTCACGTTGTGCTAAAAGCCAAATTGAACAAGTGGGTTTTAAGACGAGATTTAAAACAGTAATGGAAGAGGCTTGTCTAATATACAACGGCAACTCATTACACAATTGCTCAGCCACAGCAAAAGCCCGATCCCCTCTGAGCTTTCCACTGGTCCTGGGCACAACCAGGAGGAGCTGCTCGGCTGACCTGAGCGAACGAGAAGGTGTGTAAGGCGAGAGGGTGCTCGCTGCAGAGCCATTTGAGGAGAGGTGAGCTCCAGAGAGGGGGAGCATGAGCTGTCGCTCCTCCTCCTGTAAGCTGTTTTAATGCGTACACCAACCCCACCCCTAACCCTACCCCCAGTGACATCACTCATAGAAGAAGTGCAAAAAAGGTGGAGCTCAAGCTTAAGCTCCCCCTCTCTGGAGCTCACCTCTCCTCAAATGGCTCTGCAGCGAGCACCACTTGGGTAAGGCCAGAGAAGCTCAGAGAGGTAAAGGGGTGCAGCACAATTCAGACACTTAAAAACAAACAAAAGTAACTTAAAAAGTTTCAAGACGTCTGTTACGTCAGGCTATTAACAAATGACTCATACCCGAAGAGTCAGGACCTTTACGTTTCCAGCACAGACTTCACTTTGAAGCATTTTCAGGAGCGTCTCTACATGGACACATGATATTTGACATTATTGTTGTTTCTTTAAAACCTGCAGCGTGCAATAAGAATTCAGCTTAAAAGCTAGACAGAATTAATTAATTATGCATGCATTGCAACGTGCACTGGAAACAAATATTGAAAGAGTAATACTTCAACTTAATCTATAGGTTTGCTTTGTATTGTCAGTAATGAACATTCGTATACCATGATATAGTGAGAAAGTTCATGTAAATGAACATGGGTATTACAAATATATCTCAGGAGAATCATCAAAATGATCCAGTTAGACAATTTTACAATCCACAAATCCACTACATACAGGTTTACTTAAACACCAATTGTGGCAATGGTTTTGTGTCAGAAATGTAGGATATTCATATTGTTACATAACTGTTACATAACATATTAAAAATATAGATGCTAAATATGTTACTTTAATACATTTTTGGTTAAAAAAAAAAACAATAAACAACAACAACAACAAAAAAACGATTGTTTTGGAATAGTATATGTACGCACACCTTCATCTCAACTGAGGGAAATTTTAAACTGCCTGCTGCTCTTCAGAAAATATTATCCTGCACTTTTTAGGGGTTGATGAATTACTTACATTTTATCCCAACAGTGCAGCAGTAAATGTGTGAGTTTGAGATTTATCTTACTACACTAAGTACAGCTGAAAGACTCGTACACAACTGTTACGAGGTGAAAACATTTGCTCAAAAAAAAAAAAAAGCAAAACTGATTTTGTTAATAATAAGCAGAGGAAAATCAAGTCCTGTGCTCAATGTCATTTTTCTTTGGAGGACATTTGTATTAATAATTTAGCAAAATATGTTACAAATGTCTTTTTTAAAGTATTTAGTAAACTGTAGTGGAATACATTTTAAAAGTTACCTTCCCAACCCAGGCTATGAGGGAATTGGATTGTTTGAAAAAACAACCACTGACTTCCGTAATATATTTTGTTCTTATTATAAATGTCAGTAGATTCTTTTTACCAACATTCTTTTAGTATATCTTTCTTTGTGTTCAAAAGAAAGTAATATATTTTTAAAGAGGTTTGGAACAAGTGAAGGGTGAGTAATGTGTGATTTTTGCATGTACTATCACTTTAATAACCATAATCCTAAGGTAAAATGCTTTTGAAGTTATAGCCATGCAAGTCCTTTTCTCATTTACAACAAGTCCAAAATACATCACTGTTATACAAAGTAATAACATTCAAAGTGCAAATAATAGATTAATACCTGAACTGTCATCTTTGTTTTTTAGGTGTGTCAGGTGATGCTCAGGTGGTATCAGTAAAGGTGGGAGATTCTGTCACTTTACAGACCGATTCTCAAATACAGAGCGGCGATGTGATATTCTGGAGGTTTCAACCTCAAAACATAATGATTGCTTCTATTAACAAGGTAAAAGCTAGTTTTGAATTAAACAAGGAGCTTGATGGTAATTTCAAAAGCAGACTGCAGCTGCGTGTTCAGTCTGGATATCTCACCATCAAAAACATCATGACAACAGACTCTGGTGATTATGAAGTATCCAATGACAATGGCATCAAAAAGAGTTTCAAAGTCAGTGGTGAGTATACGCATTTCAAATACAAGTATTTAATGGCACAAGATGTACAAATGTTCCTGCTGGCTAGTTGTATTTACAAGTTTTATGATGAAGATACAAATGCTTTTTACAATTCGAGACCTTATAATTGCATTAACTCTGGCATGGCATGAAATTCAGCCTTAATTCTGTGCACTCACAAATAGAAAATCATCAGCAACCAGTATTATACCTGATGAAAGTTCACTATAGCCAGTTTTTGTCAAAGAGTTGAAGAAAATATTGTTTGACCAGTAGGGGCCAGTCATAACAGAAAACAGGCACAGGGTCTCACTACCAAAGAGATTTTTAAGAACAAATAAATTAATATTTACAATAATGTACAAATAGACTTTAGGGGAAGACTATGCCAAAATAACAAACAGAAAGTTACATTTTAAAACCTTCATACATCCTAAAAATGAAATAAAACAAAATGATTTACTTACCTAACTCTCTAAACCACAGGTCTCAAACATGCACACATACACAATCTCACTTTATACAAATAAAGTGGCACAACACTCTCAACCCTGATAACGAACAATTGTAACAATTTTGGCGAAATATAATGAAGAATCAATCGATCAATGGCACAATAGTGCAGCGGGTCTGTGGGTTCTTAGAAAGTCTTAAATTGTCCTAAATTTCAAAAACAAAATTTTAGGCCTCAAAAAGTCTTAAATTCACTTTAATATTGCCTTTTAGGTCTTAATTTTTCTATGTCCATGCAAAGGCCATACATAGTTTAACTTTACGTTAGGGTTGGGCGATGTTGACCAATTTGGCATCGTACGATTTCTAATGTGAAACATCGCGATGGACGATGCCATCATCGTCGTAGGCGGGGGGTGGAAGTGGATGTAAAATATCAATTAATTTATAACGAATTTATTAGTTGTAGCCTACCATTTTCAGTACCTGACCCACATGGTCTTTGCTTTACCCATAACTAGATCATAAATAAATAAAGTTACAAACAAATGACCACCTGTCAATCGCTTTTTTCCGCGGGACTCTGGCATGAATAGGCAGTGATCTGTGTCATTATAATGGCTTTTCCCACAGCTGGTGGAGGAGACGAGAGTTGGGTTGAAGTTCACTGTAGTCCATAAATTTTCATTGTTTCATTGTTCATCCTCACGGCATGCGCGGATTTAGGGGACAATTATGCAGAATCCATCTTTCCACCTATAAACGCCAAACGCAGCACTCAGGAACAGATTAAAACAGTTGTTATGTGAACTTGCTGAAGTAAAAAAGCCCGCAATGCTTGCCCCGCCCTTCTTATCGGCTCACTGCTCTAAAACTGAACGCGAATGATTGGTTAATATCAGCTGTCAATCACTCAGTCACATATTTCATCTAAAGCCTTGTGCTGTGTTTTGATGTGATTTTTGACTGCAGTAGCTGTAAAATAACTGAAAGCATTAAACGTAGGGATATGGAGCTGTATTACGCTCAAAACCTGCCGGAACTACTTTAACTGCATGTAATAATGGCACACCTCACATAAAGTCAATATTTATCAATTCATAAATATTGGGACATCGACACAATTCTAAAAATTTTAGCTCTTTACAACAACACAGGATTTGAAATGAAGCAAACAAGATGTGCTTTAACTGCAGACTGTCAGCTTTAATTTGAGGGTATTTACATTCAAATCAGGTGAACAGTGTAGGAATTACAACAGTTTGCATATTTGCCTCGCACTTGTTAAAGGACCAAACGTAATGGGACAGTTGGCTTCTCAGCTGTTTCATGGACAGGTGTGTTATCCACTCAAAATCCTAATTACAATGAGCAAATAAAAAGTCCCGACATTTATGGACCTGACTGTATTGAGCCCATATTAACTCATATTCATATCATCACCTTGGAATTATAAGGTTCTATCTGCATTCTGAATGATTTTGAGATAATGAGCTTTAAAGTTTGTGCATTCCATATAGCAGACAGTATGTGTAAATAAAAAGTCTTAAAATGTAAACAACTTATAAAAAATCATCCCTTAATGTAAATAAGTTGTCGTTTTATAAGAAAATGTCAATAACTCAATTTTGAATAAAACGTCTGATAGAACCGTATAATTCTAAAGGCCCGTGCACACCTCGAGACTATAAAAAGGGCGACAATGTGATCGTGCACACCAATGTGCAAAACACCAGACACAAAAGCGTCATTTTAAAAGAAACACCTCATGCTTGTTTTTTGTTTTTGTTTTGGCGCACTGCGTCTAAATCTTCTCCACCAATCAGATCGGCACTTTTGTTCACGTGCACGGAGCTACTGAAGTTACTGTAAACAGCACTTTGAGGAGCTCAAGCGCAAAACTGTCAATGGGAGCGCACATTAAAGAAGACACCCAGAGGCGATATGAACATGGAGCTGCTTATTGCTCTGGTGAACAATAATCATTTCTTCATCGCTAGGGCTGGAGCTGCTGCTTGAACCATCAATGCTTGTTCGAGTCACCAGTAACTTAAACAACAAGCAAGTGAACTTCCTCTCTTCCTCTTCTTCTGTGTTACAAGCGGGTGTCGGAATAGATGTGAATGAACCCAAACACAGATGTCATGCTAAAGTTAATTTACTTGATCATATACTTTCCAGGAGTTGTTTGTTGCATTGTCCAGCAAATCTCATCTAGTCTTAATATAGTTTTTGTCAGAGATCTGAATTATAGCGTTCATCTTAATAACTGTTCTCGTTTCTTTTTCAGTTGTGTCTGTTGACTTCACGAAGACCGTTTCTGTGCTGGAGGGAGATTTAGTCACTTTACACACTGATGTTCCTGATATAAAGATATATGATGCAATAGAGTGGAGGTTTGAATATCAGAAATCTCCTGTAGCTGAAATAAAAGCTGGAAATGTCCCTAAATATGATGAAACTGATACGAGGTTCAAAGACAGACTACAGCTGGATCCTCAGACTGCATCTCTGACCATCAAGAACATCAGAACTGAACTGGCTGGACTTTATAAAGCTGACATTATCAGCAGTGGACACACTGTACACAAGTCATACAACGTCATCGTCATTGGTGAGTCTGTCAATTTAATAAAGAATTTATTCCATCACATCATTAATTTTACATTTGGTAAATGAAATAAAAGGTAAAGTTACAATAATTTTCTTAGTCCTTCCAGCCAGAAGTTTGAAGTACTTGTTTGAGATCAGTCTATGGGCTCTATCATACACCTGGCACAATACAGTGCCAGGTACCCCGCAAGTGCTTTTTGCTAGTTTCAGCTCGGCACAGGTATCATTTTCACGTTCTGTGCCGTGTTGGTTAAATAGCAAATGCATTTGACTGTACAGTTGACCAACTGAAAGCTTCTTTAAAGTCAATAAAGCAGGTTTTTTGTTGTTGTTTTCAGAAGCACGAGAGTGATATGCTCTAATAGGCCCCGTTTACACTGCCAGTGACCCAATTCCGATTTTTTTGCTCATATGTGACACAGATCTGATCTGTTCTATGAGTGCGTAAACACGAAAAAAACGCATGCAACCAGATATTCAGAGATCGGTTTCAGATCTCCTTCATATGTGGAAATAAATCATATATAGATCGGATATGTATGTGACAATGCGACTGTCATGTAAACAGGCAGATCGGATTTATTGAGGTATTTTGTTCTGTACATCATATACAATGTATATACACACACACATACATACATACTGTATATCATATCAATCATACATAATTTTTCATGTCAGTTCTCAAATTGCATTTGACATATTCATAAATGATGTGTGTAAATCAGATTCATGCTCATCCACAGTTTTACTGAAATGTCTAAAGATTTTAGGTGTTGTTAGCTATCTAAAAGTGTTAAAGCAAATGAAAGTTGATAATTTTCATGACACAGAAGTTACATTAATGACAGTCTCTCTTTATCTTTTCAGCTCCACGGGTACCTGTATGCGGACCTTCAGGTTGGTCTTCAGGTGCTGTCGCAGGGATTGTTGTTTGTCTTCTTCTTCTGGTGGCTGTAGCTGTAGCTTTGGTCATTTACTATCGCCGCAAGATTGCTGTTCTAGAAAAATCGCGTAAGTCTCACAACTGATAGACAATTATCAGCTCTTTTCATGTTATTAAATGATTTGTTGTTAGTTTGTATGACTAATGAAAGCTGGAAACATATTACAGAAATCACCAGAAATGCATGAATATGATCATTTATTTTCAGTTGTTGTTTTTTAACTTAAAGGGCTCTGTTTTGATGATCCAGGTGTAAACGCATTAAGGGCATGTCAGAATCCACTTTTGCTATTTTAAGGATAGAAAAATCCACTTTGCGCAGCGGCACATGGTCTAACAGGGTTGAGCTTATTCTCTTAATGAGTTATAGGTGTGTTTTGAGAATAAACCAATCAGAGTCTCATCTCCTATTCCCTTTAAGAGCCAGCTGCATCGCGCCATAAGCGCATTTGCTATTTACATGGCGGCCTTTGTAAGTGGAAAAACTGAGCATTTCACCAGAGAGAAAAAAGTTAAACAGAGCATCTACAGTACCAGAATGAGAGATAAGCCTCCTTATATTTACTTTCACTTTCACTCTCGTGGATAGAGAAACGTGTTGTACGCACACACATCCATTAGCCTACATAATTAATTTGGTTTGTTAAGCGCAAAGATTTGTTTTAAAACTATTTCTAAATTCAGTTCTAATTTCCAGCAAACGAATAAACGAAGAGTAACAACGAAGTGTGTAACTCAAAGAGTTATATCCTAATATACATGCTGTGCCCCATATGGTCTAAAACATGACAGGTGGATCTAAGCTTGTTTTTAATAAAACAAATCTAAATATGCATATAATAAATAATAAGCTTATAATAAATAGTACTGATATTAATAATATTATACAAAAACAAATTGTTATAAATAAACTGAAAAAGACCAACTTAATGAAACATTTGAGGGCGCATGATCAACTTAAAGGTAGAGGAATGCACTTTGACAGCTTGCCACATCAACTGACACTTTCACTGAGTACATTTACATCGACACCAATACTCAGATTTTAATATGATTAAGACAAACTGTCCAAGAGTCTACCATGTAAACAGAGATTTTTTGATTCCCTTAAAAGGACCACAGACACCCGCGTCAAAAAATGCAGAGGGTTTTTCTTACAATTCAACGTTTGGTATCAAATTCCATTAAAACATCACTCTCCTTACCTGTCCTTACTTCATATTCTCATCCAATAATTGTCACGGGGCATGCACAATATGTTGCTGAATGAAAGTGAAACAGTTAAGTCTAAAAAGTCCGAAAGTGCAGTTAAAGTCGAAAAATTAACGCTCAAAATTACATGAAACACTAGATAGTTAATCTTTTTATACTGAATCTTTCCACCAAATAGTCCTTCCTCGGTCTTATCCATATTTCTTTGCACGTTGAACACACGTCGGCCACAACAGGAAATAAAAACTGCAACCACATTAATTGCGTAATTTTTTTACACGTTAAATATTTCTAATTAATAATGCTCTAATTTTGACAGCACTAATATATGTTTTTTCAAGTTAATTGATTCCTCACACATAGAGCAGCACAGTTCATTTGATTATTAATAATATTGTTTTTTTTTTTTCCTGCAGTTAACAGAGACAATGTCTTGGTGCCTAAACCCATTCATACCAACAATGAATGAAACCAATCAAAAGGTATGGTCATGAAAAATAATCATATGTTTCTTATGTGAGCCCAAAATGAAGAAGCTGTACAATATTAATATGCTGTGATGCATATAGCTGAGCTTTAAAGCAACCACAAAACAAGTTGAATCATTATTTGATGTAAAGCTAATCTAAGAAGAAAATTGTACCTGTTACTCTTTGCATGTGATGCATTCATGCTAAGCTAAGCTGTTCCCACAATAACTGGTCATTTATTCATGTATAGTTGTTGTTTTTGAGTCAGATCAGAGTGACGGGGCACTTTCTTCCCTTTCCCAGAAAGACCTGTGTTTGTGTTTAATTCAAAAACCATCCAATGTGCCACTGACAAACTGACCACACTTGTTTAACGCATTTATAAGACTTTAGTGTTATTTAGCTTTTGTGTTTACCTATAGTAAAAGTGTTATAGTTTAGTGCTACATTACATATCTTCATTTTATTTTATCTGTCTATATTTTGTATCTGAATATTTTCTAATTATCTTTGGATTATCTGTTGCTCTGAATGTGAGATCTGTCACTCTGGGAATTATTTTGACTATTTTAATTTTGTTTGTATTATAAAGTGTCTTTATGCTGTCCTACATGACTGCCTTAGTGTCTTTTCCATCTATATTTTGTGTTATTCTCGCTCTCAAGCTTCCGTTAGGACAATTTTGTCATAAATCTTTCATAAACATGATTGTCTTGAGGCCATTATAATTGTGTCATGAATATTCCCTTTTTCCAGAGGAGCAATGAACTTGAATGTATATTTCTCAGTAAAAGGGTCCATAATCTGTCAAATAATTGTAAAACAGCATCATTAATTGGCATTTAATAACATTTTAACAACAATTTTAATTTGTAACACTTTAGTTGAGGTCAGTAAAACTATTATTGATGCTATGCTAAAGCTGCTAATGATATAAAAGTCATTCATTCATTAATTTTCCTTCAGCTTAGTCCCTTTTTCATGAAAAGGTTGCAAAATGCCAACTGACCCAGCCGTTACTCAAACCAGCGACCTTCTTGCTGTGAGGTGACAGTGCTAACCACTGAGCCACCATGCCACCCTGATATAAAATTAATGGCACAATTATAATAACCTCAAAACAATCATGTTTATGACAGATTTATGACAAGATATGTTCTCTTGATGTTTTCATGGCAAAGCCAAAAGGTTGTGATGCACTTGGTTATGTCAAGTTGTCATAACAAAGACATGTTAAACAATGTCATCTATGTATTTAAAATTATATTACTGACAGCTGTCTCATGAATAAATCTCATTCATATTCATGACACACATCATGTCACGATTATAAAGGTTTCATGATAGTCTTATGAACACCCCCTTCAAGTAAAGGGTTACCATCACTTTTGTGTGGCCTTACTAATAAGACTGTTATTGCATTTTATACAAGTAGAATCATTGACATGTGTTGTTCTGAGCTGAGTGTATATTAATGTTCACATTGTGCTGTTACTGGAAGAAGAAAAAAAAAACAATAAAACAATCAAATGACGAATTGTTTTAGCCATTGTCTGTTTTCTGTTCATCTCATACAGTACAACCTAAAACACACACAAATAAACATTCTGTTTTTTCAGAAAGTCTTACTGTAAATAAAGTAATGATGAAGTCAGAATAAAACAAATTTATATTTATTATAAATAGTAAATATAAAACAAATGACAATCCAAATATAAAACATCTTGAAGAATAATATGTTCAGAAAGCATATATTACAATCGCACAATCAAATACTGTTCTGTTGTTTGGAGGAGAAGGCCAATACATTTTATTTCAGTTTGTAAATTAAGTGTGAATGTCAATTAATTTTAAGCACTAATCTGCAGAAAGAGTCAATGCTCCTCCACTAGGTGGCGCTCCAGAAGCACATATCTTCATTTTTTTCTGTCCTTTGAGTGGATTTAAAGCATTAAATGAGAAAGCTAATAATAGTAATGTGAACAATTTTAAATGTAATCCATTAACTTAGTTGGGAACATAAACATTCGTAAGGTAAGTGCCAAGCTTTTTCCTATTAATTCTATCTATTAGAGAATTCCAAAGGAATTTCCCCCTCTTTTTTTTACTGAAACACGTTTCTTATATTTTAGTACTACATTTTAGGTCGTAAATGCATTTGTCTTCAACTAAAAACTTTTATTCTTTTTTTTAACAATCACTTTAAATGACAAGTGGCATTTCATTAAATGAGCAAGGCCTTTGGGTATGTTAAATCTCACCCCTGTTGCTCTGCTCTGTCGTGCAACTGACGTCAGTTCCATTGTCATATTATGCTCATGAAAAAATAATATGTGTGATCTGACGTGTGAAGCCCCGCCCCGACTCAATATTCCGTTTCAGTTGAAAATAAGAGTCTGCAGCAACTTCCGGTTGACGTAGACTTTAGTTTAAAGCATCTCTGAGGTAAGTTTTGAGTTACTTTTCATAATGTTTGGGTCCACATTTCGACGACATGTTGTCATAGTTTTCTGTTCTACTGTGAAATTGATTCATAGTCCCCTGTATTTGTAAAATAGCCTACCGAATTCTTGCAGAAATTCACCTTTAATTCTGGGTTTGAACACTAGAGAGCGGTAGCGTCCAACAATTTAATCTGTGGTCTTCAGTGCTCTTGTTTGCCACAATAATGTAATTAAACCTTTTTGTCTTGCTACCAAAGAACATATTTTGCTATTAACAGCCATTTATTTGAGCTAATGTTATTTTTGTATGCTCACAAGTTTGTGCTTGTCTTTAAATTGAGTGCTTGTTCAGGTAATATTATGCCAGTCATGTTATGCCTGTCAGATACCAATACTAATATACTAATATCAGATTATTAGAAATGAAATTAGCAGTGACATCATACATGCTGCATTTTACAATTTGTAGTGAACAATCACTCGATTTTAAAACAAAAACCTGTGATTTATGTATAAAGTCATATATTTATGAAATTATGATTGTTTTAAACATTGATGGACATTATTAGACTGTAATAATAACAACATATAGGGGGCAGTAGATAATGTGGAACCTGAAAGTTTTATTATAACTTGTAAGTTAAAAAAATTAATAAATTTGACTAAAATTGTAGCAGAATATTACTGAAAGTAGCAAAGCTTAGCAGGCCAAATCAAGAGTGTGTAGGGTAGGCTTGAGTGTGAAAGCATGGATGTAGCTTGAAATATTATATATTTAGACTAGGATCAGTGCATTGATTTTACAATCACATTTACACTGTGCAATCTAAAAATTATATATACAAAAATTTTAATTTTCTTTTTTTCCTGTCATGTATGAGCATTCTGAACATTCTTTAAGTTTCATAGCATGCATTTTTAAAGCAATCAATATTTGGACTTTCATTCACACTTAACACACACACACACACACACTTGAAGACATACACAAACAAACAGAGAACTAGAGGTAACAAAATTTCTTGGTTAAGCTGTTTGTCCAGCAAACATTACAAACCACATTTTTCCAGATCTACAGAAATCAAACCCCAGCAGGTTTCAGGTTCACTCAGTCTGAGCTGCTCGACTGTTGCTTGCATTCAGCCAATTACATACAACAATTCTTCAATTAAAAAGTATTGTATTATTTATTTTATTAACAAAATAATGACCACTATTTAGTTAAGTAATGGCAGAATAATGCACAGCTAGGGGTTTTGTAAAAGTGTCATTTTGGTCACTGGACGAAATAAATGTTAATAAAATGATTTTTATATACAAAGAGAACATGCTAAGAGCAAGTAAATGCAACACAAGTCTCTTTTAAAGACTAGAATAACATTTGAAATGTGTCTAAAATAATGGTCCAAACTTCAAACTTGTCATTTAGTGCAGGGGTCCCCAAACTTTTTAGCCCACGACCCCTAAAATAACAATGCAGTCCTATAGTTTCAAAAAATAATTTAACTTTTGAAAATCACCAAGCGACCCCCTTGTCATTGTCCCGTGTCCCCCACGTTGGGAATCATTGATTGAGTGTAATGATGATCCAGACAAATTTTTAAATAGTCATAAAATGCCAAGTTAAGAATGTATAAATATTTATTATTGCCATGTCCAAATAAGTGTTGGGGGTTTTGTATTAAAAAGACCATACCACACCATACCACATACCACAGGTGTGACATTTATCAATACATTTATATTGTCGATATATAATTTTTTTCAATACATATTATTGCTGTTGAAAACCTGCAATTATAATTACAAGCTATATATAGTAATATATAAATAAAAAAAAACATAAAAAGACTGAATAAAATCATCAAACCTGAAGACAGTTTGGTGCAAAGGAAAGTTTATTCATATAATTTTAAAAATCATTTTAGGGTGTGGTCAATTGCCTAAAACACACACACAAACACACACACACACACATACACACATACACACACACACACATACATACACACACACACACACACACATACACACACACACACACACACACACACACACACACAAACACACAAAACCTTTTATTTTGAACAATGACATAGTGTATAACTGTGAACTGTATAACTGCCCCCTGAGCAGTGCTGTTCCACATGTGGAATTTAGAATGTTTAGAATTTAGAATGTGACTGTCAGAATTCCAAATCAAAATTTCAAATCTGCCACTCTTAGTTTAAGCTTCCATGGTCGTCATGGAAACTAAAATGGAATACAGTGTAATGTTTAAAAAAGCTGTTCAAAAACTCATTCCAGAGAGACAGTTGAGATATTCTAGACTATGATATAGGTGTCTGATTGATAGCTGGAGAAAAGTAAAGCAAATGCTTCATTTGTCAGAATAAGGATTAAAGTATAATTCAGTGTGACAAATCATTTTTCAAGTAATCAAGTAAATCAAGTAAAAAATAAAACATCACACGGTTATACACAGTTTTATATTGTGATGATTTTTAATGATTAAAACACATTAATGTCAACCATAAATGTATGTAAAACTTAGCAGTTTGAAGGATGATTTAAAGCAGGGATGTCAAACTCAATTCCTGGAGGGCCGAAGCCCTGCACAGTTTAGTTCCAACCCTGCTCCAACACACTTACCTGTAGGTTTCAAACAAGCCTGAAGGACTCAATTAGTTTGATCAGATGTGTTTAATTAGGGTTGGAACTAAACTGTGCAGAGCTGCGGCGCTCTTGGAACTGAGTTTGACACCTGTGATTTAAAGTGACAATTAAGGCCACATTTTGATTCTTAAAAGAGAAGGTTATGCTTTTTAATACTATTTGTATATATTGTTACATAGAATGAACATAACAAATCAGAAAAAAATACATATTCTTATGTACAAAAAACAATTCAAAGATGTATTATGCTGGTATTATTGATCTGATGCCCAAATGTAACGATTTTGCCATCAAGCACAGTTGTGTCATCTTTCTAGCTTGCATGTAAAATGAACTGTGAAATATTTTTTCATCAAAATCATCAATGATGAAGCTGATCAGTGTTTCAATGCAGCGCCAGCAAACACAGCCTCCTGTTTGACTCCCTGATGACAAAAGAAAGTGCAATCAAAATAACATTTCTGTCATGTCCTGAGTTTCATTCATGCTTTTTTTTTCTTACCGATTCCAGTGCTTCTCTTTTAAAAAACATCGGTTCAGCATAAACGACTTCTTTTTCTCCTTCATGACACTGACCTTTTCCTATAAAAATAGATAAAAAAAAAAAAAATGTCTTAAATTATTTTATTTTATTAAAATGTTTTATTGTTTTACATGTATTGTTAATAGGTTTGGGTAGTGTTTGTTTTATTATTATTTTAACCGAAACATGTCATATCGACTTTTAAAATGGTTACAGTTCTTGAGCCGATACTATATAAAAAAAGAGTCACATAAAAAATGTAAAACTAGATTATCAATGTCAACGAAGTTACCATATATGGTTCCTCAGCTTTTTAACCCTATAAAGGGTTAAAGAAGTGCCGTGTTTGTTGAAAAGATTCTTTAGATTTGACAATATATTAAATATATTAAAAGTTTACATTAACATTAGTAGACATTATATCAAAATAAAACCTCAGCCACCTTTCAAAATTTCAATACAAAATGTCAATAAGTTAACAATAGTTGCAGCATTAATAGAACAAAGTTGTCTTTATTTTTCTATTTTCAGCAATTCTTTTGATAAAATATAACCATATTTGCCTTTTTTGATTAAAAAAAAAAAAAAAAAAACTCTCCTGGAGAGGTTTGAACTGCATGTCCAGATCTATTGTTAGATCCTTTCAAAAAGTTGAATACACAATATATTATATGATAAATATTATATTTTGATAGAAAAGGTATGAGGCCGATCTTGTATCTTCTAAGTCACAGTCTATCATGTTATACTTTTCCTGTTGTCTCCTTTATGAATGGGATGTATGCACAAAACAGGGACAGAAATGTGTGTATGTCTCAGCTGTAAGTAAACTCTAAGTAAACATATTCAGCTGAAATATATTGACTTAGTTGAACCACTTTAAATCATTATACAATCATTAATAAAATTGTTTATTTACTTATTTATTTTGGTGTACATTCACTTTTAGGTTGAAGGAAGGTTTCTACATATTTTATAAATCTGACCTCTGGTCTGTACTTTTTAAAACTCCTGTTTTTCCGGCTCTGTTTTATTTCCAACTCAAACAAATTAAGTTGTACAAAAACGATTCAGAGCACGTGTGTGAGCTGCTTATATATTGTACATTCGTTAGATAAATGAATCTCCATCTCTGCAGATTAGCAGTGATTACTGGTATATTACTTACACTTCAGTCCTCAATATCAGTTACATCTGTTTTAATACCAACCCTAATTGTTAAAATGTATTAATATTTATTTAAACCTTAAATTTTATAGAATATTAGGTAACGCTTGCCTTCTTGATGTGTTTTTCTGTGTTTCCTGCAGATGCAGAAAATCCCAATCGCAACTACCAGAAACAACAGAGATCCAGCAGCAGCAGAAATCAGCATGATCAGAGAGTCTGGAGGATGAAAATGAGAATGTGGGTCAAAAGTGAAAATAAAAGAGAAAATGAATGTAATAGTGGCAGTCATAATAATGGAGGATGAGAATGTGGGTAAAAAAAGTTTAAATTATTGACCATTTAAAGCAATCAAAAGTGAAAGTGAAAGTAAAATAGTGCAATCTCCCATTAAAAACAGCACAGCTGGGTTCAGGCTTGTTACCTGCTGCTGTTGTGTGAAGCTGTAAATATTAATGGTTTGTATTTTACATTTGACATACTTGTGCATGCTTGACAGAGTTCAGGGTTGGTGAGATGTGTAGTCCGACTGGTGAATGAATAAGCCACCACACAGCTGTAAGAACCATTTATACAGTCCAGTGGTAAAAGCAGACCGATTCTGTGGCTCGACACTCTCATGCTGGACAATAAACCGTTTCCTTTGTACCAGGAGAGACTCACAGAGTCAAAAGACAGTTCAGCGCTCACATTCACCACTGAACACAGCAACACACAAGTGGATGCTGATGAGGATGATGAAGGATTTAATGAAGAGTCTTTGCTGATGACAGGAACAGGCAGACGAGCTGAAATGAAGGATAATTTTAGAAAATAGGCAATAAATGAGAATGAGAGTGGTCAATGTATTGTACATAGTAAATGCACAGCCTGACCTGAAGTGGAAACGTTGACAAACAAAATTCAGGATGTTTTAATATACAAAAGTGTTATTTCAGCTTTGTATGATTACAGTTGAACCTCTGAATATGCATGAAATGTTTTGACTATGTTTTTGGTTACTTTTCTGGACTTTGAATGTCTCAGGACCGCAGGTCTTGGGATTGAAACAGCATGAGTTGAGTAATTAATAGCTGAACATTAATTTTTGGGTGAACTAACCTTTTAATAATTTACTTATCTCACAAGCATGTAAACAGATCAAGTAGCTCTAAGTAAAATAAGTAAAACTGAAATGCAAACTTAAATCCAGAAATCCAGTCTAGAAAGGCAGCAAAAAAAAAAAAAAGAAAAACTTTTGGTATAAAAAAAAGCATCTATTAGTCAAAAAAAGACGTTTGTTTATATATATATATAGTCTATATAAATGGATTATAAATATGGTCTTTCTCCTCCACATCGTGCATCAAAATCTGTTAACCCACGGTAAGCCATTATCCCTTACATACAGTTGAAGTCAGAATTATTAGCCCCCCTGTTTATTTTTTTCCCCAATTTCTGTTTAATGGAGATTTTGCAACACATTTCTAAACATATTAGTTTTAATAACTCATCTCTAATAACTGATTTATTTTATCTTTGCCATGATGACAGTAAATAATATTTGACTAGATATTTTTCAAGACACTTCTATACAGCTTAAAGTGACATTTAAAGGCTTAACTAGGTTAATTAGGTTAACTATGCAGGTTAGGGTAATTAGGCAAGTTATTGTATAACGATGATTTGTTCTGTAGACTATCGAAAAAATATAGCTTATAGGGGCTAATTATTTCGTCCTTAAAAAAGGTTTTTAAAAAATTAATAACTGCTTTTATTCTAGCCGAAATGAAACAAGACTTTCTCCAGAAGAAAAAAATATTATCAGACACACTGTGAAAATTTCCTTGCGCTGTTAAACATCATTTTGGGAATTTTTTAAAAGAAAAGAAAATTCAAAGGGAGACTGATAATTCTGACTTCAGCTGTATCTATTACTACTACTACTATTACAAATAAGCAAGCCCAGCCTAGACAAAAATAATGCATTACTTTCCTTTAGTAGTAATGACCACATTTAGTTGTTTTTTAAAAGTAGAGCAAGGCTGTAATGCGTTACTTTGAAAACTCACTTTTCCCAGCTCTCCCAAAGGTTTGCAGATATATAATGATAAACATCCAAAATACTAATACCAAAGTGTTCATAAACTATAATAGTCAAAATTTGTACAGCTGTAAACACGGAAAATGGCAATCAAATCATTGACTCACCATAAACAGAGATATTGAATCTGCAGATGTTTCTTCTTCTTAACTCATAAACTCCAGCGTCTGTATTTCTGATATTTGTGATTGTAAGTGATCCAGTTTTATTGCTCAGCTTCAACCTGTCTCTGAATCCCTCCAAAATATCATGTGTGGAGAAGCTTACAGTCCCATTTTTTATTTCAGCTATGATACATTTATTAGGTCCAAATCGCCAGTTAATATCTTCATCTGCCTGAAGTTGAGTATCGGTGTGTAAAGTGACCGAATCTCCCTCCATCACTGGCACTGACTTCACTGCATCACCAAACACACCTGCAGAACAGAGACATTGTGAAAGCATTAATGCATTTGCACCTATATTTTGAATTGCATTATATAATGCATTTTCGAAATAATTCAATGTTCAAAGCCTCTGGATTTATCATTGATGTGTGACTCAGATCCTTATTAGACTCTAGTTTGATAAACAATTGAAACAGGATTTATAAAAACTATAACTTACCCACCAGATGATTAAAGAGCAAACTGTAAAAAAGAACCAAGTTTAACATTTTCTAAAGCAGTTCAGGGGTCTGTAATCATTAGATTGCATACATCACCAGCCGAAAATACTGCAGTCTGAGTTACAGAGTAGTGTGGGTGTGTGTGAGAGGGGGTGAGAGAGAGATACGCTTTGTGTACAATTACACATGTTAATCTTGGGTAAAACCCACAATAAATCTTAATTTCAATCTAATACAGTTTAAAGCAAACCAAATCTGTTTCAACTCAGTTAGAGTTCAACTTAACAAATTTGAAATTTGAGTTCATGCAACTTTTTTTTAAGTTGAGTAAAAGTAACTTAAGGTTCTGATTTAGGGGAATAGTTCAGCCAAAATGTACATTTTTACTCACTGTTTACTATTTCTCAAGTGGTTTTGAACATTTTTGAGTTTTTTTTACCTCTGATAAACAAACAAAATAAGATATTCTGAAGAAGGCTGAAAACCTGTAACCATTGACTTTCATAGCAAATACTATGGAAGTCAATAGTTGCAGGTTTCCAACATCTTAACAAAATATCTCATTTTGTGTTCAAAATAGAAACTCAAACAAGTAAAGGGTTAATAAAACATGACAGAATTGTATTTTTAGGCACATCATTATAATTTATAAACATGTAAAACATCAAAAAGTAATGAGCAGATGTTATAATTCAGCACATGATCATACAAAAGACTTTAGACACGAGTAAAACTATTGAAGTGGGTCACTGATGCTTTATTTTGATATGCAGCATAAAGCATCCGTTGCTTTGTTTGTTTGACATTAAGATAAGTGAAGTGGTTAGTTGAGGGCGAGCGACAATAAAACCACAGAAAGGATGTAGAAGAGAGAGTGGAAATACAGCTAAATGAGACTAGTCAATGCTGACAGAGAACACATTAGTCATGTTTCCATCCACATGTTTTTGTGTTCATTTTGGAATTATCGCATAAAAAATGCTTAATAGAAATGCGAAGATGCGCATACGTTTTGACTATAAAACTATTCCTCAATGTCTTATTTTGAGTTCAACATAAAAAAATAATTTAAACAGATTTGAAACAAACAACTAGTGCATAAATAGAGAATACATTTTCATTTTTCAATACATTTTCAAGTTTAACATTTTCTAAAGCAGTTCAGGGGTCTGTAATCATTAGATTGTAATCATCACCAGACAAAACTACTGCAGTCTGAGTTACAGTAGTGTGGGTGTGTGTGTGAGGGGGTGAGAGAGTGATACGCTTTGTGTACAATTACACGTTAATCTTGCATAAATTTTTAATCTTGCGTTCACATTTTCATTTTTGGGTGAACTTTAACTTTAGTTTAGAAACTTTGTTTTACTTTATGAGAGGAATCTATCATTTAAAAACACCCTTGTAGCATTTTATAAAATATATATATATATATATATATATATATATATATATATATATATATATATATATATATATATATATATATTCCTCAACTACGGCATAATCTCAAATGTAGAAAAGTTCATTTATGTGTTAATGATCTCAGAGTGAGACGAATGTAACTCATTAGTAGTTTTAGCAGACGGCAAATGTAAGAGTTGACCTTTTCAGAAAGAGGCCTTTGCATTCGCAAAGTCATTTCTTTGTTTAGACCTTCTCGGAGGAAAGATGCGCAAGCTGAGCTTTGCACTGTGGTTTAAAGTCTCATTTTCTGGGTCAGGAGCACAAGTGCTGTGACCAACTTTAAAATTCATGATCTGAAATGTACACTATGTGCTTCCATTTTTGCCATCCAATATGATCTAGAGCAGTGGTTCTCAAACGTTTTTCATCAAGTGCCACCTCAGGAAAAAAGTGGTCTTTGCAAGTACCACCATAATGAGCAGTTTTAAAATACAGTAGCGTATTAGATCTAGTAAAACAGCTTAAGCTCTGTACAGTTAAAAAACGAAGCATATTAGTTCCTATTATTAAGTACATTTAAATGAAAATGTGCTTTTAAAAGTAAAAAATGGTAGGTTACTGTTCTTAAAAAGTAAAAAAAATTATAATAAAATAACTCCTGGTTTATTAGCACCTAAAAAAGTTGCCTGGACCGCATAAATATAGGCGTAATGTCATCATATTCATATATAAATCATTTTTGATAATTTATTTAAATATATGTAGCATGTACATATTACATATTTGATTCATCCGCGTACCACTAGAAGGAAGCCTGCGTACCACTAGTGGTACACGTACCACAGTTTGAGAACCACTGATCTAAAGCACTGAACAGCCTGTGTAGTTTTCTTAAAGCCATCATACCATGTATGTTTATTTTCTGTATTTGCAAATGCTCTAACTATAGTAATTGAGTAGTTTTTCTCAGGAATTGTATTTTAAAAGTATACTTTTACTTTAATGTATTTGTATTCAATTCATGTTTATTTATATAGCGCTTTTCACAATGTAGATTGTGTCAACGCAGCTTAACATAGTTCTAGTAATCTATTACTATTAGTATAAAGGTCTTTAATCGATTTTGGAACTAAGAGAGTGTGGCTGAGCCTCGGACGTTATCAGGAAGGCTGTTCCAGAGTTTAGGAGCCATAAATGAAAAGGCTCGACCTCCTTTTGTAGACTTTGCTATTCTAGGTACTACCAGAAGCTCTGAGTTTTGAGATCTTAAAGAGCGGGTTGGATTAAAGCGAGACAGAAGGTTTGTTAGTTAAACAGGAGCTAGATTATTTAGAGCTTTATAGGTGAGAAGCAATATTTAAATTCAATACGAAACTGAACATACAGCCAGGGTAAGGAGGATAAGATTGGGGTGATATTATCATATTTTATAGATCTGGTAAGAACTTTGGCAGCTGCATTTTGTACTAGCTGAAGTTTGTTAATAGAGGATGCTGGACAGCCAGAGAACAGAGCATTACAGTAATCCAGCCTAGAAGTCATAAAAGCATTGACTAGCTTTTCTGCATCAGAGATGGATAGCATACTTCATAACTTAGCGACATTTCTCAGCTAAAAGAAGGTGTTTTTTGTGACATGTGAAATATTTTTAGTGCTGTGTCAGTACTTTTGTTGCACTACTTGATCCTGCAGTCACTATTTGGTTTATTTTATTACTTTTAAGGATTAAAAGTGTCCAAAAAGATGAAAAAAGATTCAAACAATGAGCAAGAGACTGTTTAGATCAGGGGTGCGCAACCCTGATCCTGTAGATCGTCCTTGCTGCAGAGTTCAGCTCCAAACCTGGTCAAACACCTGAACCAAGTAATTAGAACTTAAACAGCACTTGATAATTACAGGCAGGTGTGCTTGGTCTGGGTTGCAACTGAAATCTGCAGGAAGGTAGATCTCCAGGCACAGGATTAGTCACTGGTTTAGACAACCCAGGCTCATTCTGGAAACGTAGCCACGTGGTAGTTTCTGGAGACCGCGAAATACATCCCAGTAAGTACGTATTTGTGCAGTTTTTGTTTTCTCCAGAAATGTCCGTGGGGCTACGTTTTCAGAATGAGCTTAGGTTGGGTTTAGATGATGATGATGACGATGTCTACTGTATTTCGACTGAAACCACCAAATGGCCTTAAACTATAACTTAATACACTACAGAATTTTACGTTTTCAAACACACACAGATTGCATGTATTAGATCAGTGCTGTAGGAACTTGGTTTGTGGCGCCACCTGCTGCACACAAGCCACAAGTTTTTAAGGCTTAGCCAGGGTTGAAAGGTCATAAGCTGTGTTAACATATCATATCTAGGTTTTGTCCCTTACATTACACTGGTTTTGCTAGGCATGTAAATGTCGAAAGTTCAAGCTTGGTGGACTGTGAATGGCAAAAACGCATCACATGTTTTCATGAGCCCAATAGAAGATCAAAGCATGATCTCTCTGTACAGATATTTAAAATACATAGCAATCAGTCTCGTTATCGATATCTAATCATCTTGTTTTATCCCGCCCCTTTTTGCAGTGCCATATGACAGAATTTTGCAAGCTTGAACTGTGTGTGACCGCAGCTTAATAGTTTTAATTCATATGGCAAATCATTTGACTTAGGAACACCCTTAAAGAAAACGACACTGATTTAATCTACATTCTTAATATGGTGGATTAATTTTCACAGCATTTAAGAAGGACTACTTTATTACTCATACTTTGAGTAGTAAGATATTTTTACTCGTACTGATGTGTCAAGTACTTTTGCTTGGATAGGATTTTTTAGTTCTCTTCACAGCAGTGATTATCATGCTAAACAAAATAACATTTGAACTTAATAAGCTTATTGTTGGTGCTTATATACAGTATTATCTTCTGTGAAACACAATAATGCTGGCATTGAATTAATTGATCAATATGGTTGCCTGATACTGAATTAAACTAGTTTTCAAACGGATGTAAAACTCTGTAATTGATATTAACCAATTCAGCACCGAACAGACTTGAGCTGACACTGTTTTGTTTTACAGCTGTACGCTCTCAGAAATAAAGGTATGAGAACTGTCAGTAGGGTGGTTCCTTTACATTTACATTTACAAATTTGTACCTAAAAGGTCAACATTAACACCTCAGAGATACATACTAGTACCTAAAAAGTACAAAATTGTACGTCTTAAATGTTTTAGCTACTAATATATACTTTTGAGGCACCAAAACAGACCCTTTAAGTACAAATGTGTTGCTTTTGAAAAAGTACCACCCTGGTGACAGCTCTTGTACCTTTATTTCTGAGAGTGTACTGTACAAAACACATAAATAAAGGTGACTAAAATGTCTCTTTTATGTATAGTCTTTGATGTACTCGACCTTTTCACATAAATACCACCGCAGTCTTCAAACATCTACCCTTTTCAGCGTGTTCTTTAAGATGATCATGTCACATGATTTATCAGCAAAGAGCAACTAAACCATGTTTGCGAGTTCACAGTACCTATAGTAGTTAAATATCACAAAAATCCAAATGAAATGTGTATAGTGAGCCAAGTTTGTAGTGGAAAAAGCAAGATGAGTCAGAAACATGAAATCCATACTTGTGTTGTATATATATATATATATATATATATATATATATATATATATATATATATTTTTTTGTCTTTAAGGTGCAGTATAGAGGTCTGCATTCCTGTGGGTGTATTACAAGACCCGACCAAATTTCCGGAAAAATGCGGTATCAGTCGGTAACTGTGGTGTAATTTGAATGAGAGCGGGCCGTCTAACAATATAACGCTCCCAATTAATAATAAAAAAAAAAAAAAAAATATATATATATATATATATATATATATATATATATATATATATATATATATATATATATATATATATATATATATTATTATTATTATTATTATTATTTAAAGTTTTACAGTAGATTGCTCCTTACTAATCTGGGATTGGAACTCTCCAGTAACTTCAAACGTGTTGCGAGCTAGGTGATATGGGCTATTACCAAAACTCATTAAACACACAAATACGTGATTAAATTATCGTAGCCAACTATAACTGATTAAAAATGTCAAACCTTTTACAACTAGTGCCAAGTAGTTAAAACATCTAGGCTGTATTCCCACCAGGGGGCAGTGTTTTTCGCTTTTTTTATATTCAGAATATTTTTTTCTTCCAGTAATATTACAAATCTCTGTTTATATGGAGCAAACGGGTTCGATGACATGAGTTTAAGTATGTATGCTCATTATTGAAAGATAAAGAACAAAACTGGTGCAAAATAAACACAGTGCGTTGAATATAAGTGTTCGTTTTCTTTCCATGTTCTATTTTGAATACCAGTCTACGTACATTCCACAAAGTGTGATGTCATTTTTGGAAGGAAAACGCTAATATTTTTCAGAATGATCATTCTAATGTCTCATCTTCTTTGTAAAATCAACGCAGGTGAGGATGATTACAAAGCGCTGCAACTCCCGGAAATGCATGTGTGAAATGTGTTAGATTGTGGAATGTGTTTGTTGTTGTTTTTAAACCGGTTTCTCAGCCTCGATGTTGAATGTAACATATTGTTGCGTTTCATCAACGGTGGAGATTAGCTTCATATGAAACACATTGATCATTTTAAGAAACTCAAACCTTGTCTAAACTCTACAGCGTAATGAAGAACATTGTATCACTGCTTCTGCTGTTTTTGTTTACTGACAGTAAGTAATTTTCGGTTTCGGTTTGGAATTCTCGGGGAATTCTCATTTCTTGCCCTTTGTAATCTTTTATATACTTGTCATAAAGACTGTAAAATACACATAAAATGTTAATGCACACATTTTGTAGTATTGGCTGGTTTAATTTTATCGTTTGAGATTTGTATCTCATTTTTTGTGCATCTAACATGTTGTTAAATGTGTGCATTTGGGATTTTGAGGATGTACTAAATCATTATAATAATCATTACCATATTATAATAATCATGATTATTACTTACATTTTTTCAGGTATTCATTCAAATAGTTTCTTTTAATAAGCTACTTTTGGGGATAGTTACATGTTTGTTAAGCCAGATATACCTGTTATTAATATATAGTAATAAACTGCTGGTGGTACAACAAAAAAAAAGATATTATTTAATAAAAGAAAAATCCAAATGATTTAAAAACATTGCTAAATGGTTGAGTTTATTCATGTTTTATTATTTTAGAGCTAATTGGTAAATATTTAACTGTATGAATTAATCCCAAAGCAACTCTTTTAAGACTTTTGACTTGAATTTACATTTTTTTTCTTGCATTACGTTTTAAATGTTTGTAATATGAAATAATAACAAAGAAGATTATATATCACACCACCTACTATTACACAGAGTATGGGGGAAAACCCAACAACTGGGTTTAATTTAATTAAAATATTTTCTTCATGTTTTATGCAACGCTGAGTTAAAGCAACCTACACTGTAAAAATCTGCTGTGTACCACATTATTCCTTCATGCTGTCTCAACACCAATTGATTAAGTTAACTTAATTAAATTACGACAGTGGCAGGTGAGTGTATTTTTTTCTATGCAACATTTCTGCTTGTTTTTTTTTATTAGGTGTGTTTGGTGAATTCTTTTTAGTGAAGGAGGGAGATTCTGTTACTCTACACACTAATCTAACTGAAATTTGGAAAGATGATGATATCGAGTGGAGGTATGGAGAGAAAGGAAACCTCATAGCTAAATATGTTGGGGGACAAAACAGAATCTACACATATGACGTTGATCTTGATGGGAAGTTCAAAGGCAGACTGCAGCTGGACCCTCAAACTGGAGATCTGACCCTCAGAAACATCAGAACCACAGACTCTGGACCTTATGAAGTGACCAACAGGTTCAGCTTAAACAAGATGTTCAGCCTCGAAGGTGAGTTTGATTTGTAATTCAGTGATTTACTGCTTATCTACACATCATTTTAAATTATGTAGACCCTCGAAAATGGCATTATTAACTCCGCTTATGATCTTTGTCTTTGCTGTTTGTTGTTATTTCATTCATTAAATCTTGTATTACATCATATAGACTAGTAAAGATCTGAATAGCTGAGTTTTACTAACTCTTCCTTCTTGCTGTTCAGGTGTGTCTGCAGAGGAAATACAGATTGTATCAGCGATGGTGGGAGATTCGGTCTTTCTACACACTGATGTTATCGAAATGCTGAATTACGATGTGATACGATGGAAGTTTGGACCTCAGAATGCTCTTATAGCTGAAATCAATAAACTCGAGAGATCCTTCCGTACGCTGGATGGTGATGACGGGAGATTCCGACACAGACTGCAGCTGGATCAGACTGGATCTCTGATCATCAAGAACACTGGGATTAAACACTCTGGGTTATATGAGGTTGACATCAGCAGCGGCAAACACACCATACACAAGACGTTCAATGTGAACATCAGTGGTGAGTTGATCAAGGGTTTCTATGTAGTCATGAATTGAAAGGCATAGTTCATGCAAAAATGTGAATGCACTCACCCTCAGTAGTTTCTGTCTTCTGCTAGACACAAAAGAAGATAATCTGAACAATGTTGAAAATGTCAGCCAATGGCATTCATAATAGGAAAAACCAATATTATGGAATCAATGGCAACCAGTTTCCAAAATTCTCAAAAAGTGTCTTCTTCTTAAGCTTGGCTTTAATCAGTGGCAGGTCAGTGATTATATATGAAGCTCAGATAGGGACTTCAAAGTGCAAAAGAGCGAACCCCCCACTGTTTGTATTTTGACTTTGGGACTTCTAGCAGAAGTTGGCCTGCAGATCGCAAACCACTGCTGACAATGTGCCGTTCCATCTCTTGCACAAGCTTGGGATCCTTCCCTCCCAGTGAGGTGACATTCCATGTCCCAAGAGCCAGTTTCTGTGCCTGACGATCGGGTTGTCGTGGTCCTAACCTTCGACCACCACTCGTTCCACAATGCACCGGCCCCTTACGGCTCCCCCTTCAGGTGGTGGGCCTGCGGGAGGATGGTTCCACGCCGCTCCTCCCGGCCGGGTTCCGTGGGAAAAAAACCAACAACCAGGCGCTCGCATACAAGCCCCAACCCCAGGCCTGGCTCCAGGGTGGGGCCCTGGCTGCGCCATACCTGGCGACGTCACAGTCCTTGATGTTATAGAACTCATAAGGGTTTTTGAACCGCACTTAGTCAGACCTGTCACCTAAGACCTGTTTGCCTTGGGAGACCCTACCAGGGGCATTAGCCCCCGACAACATAGCTCTTAGGATCACTCAGGCACTCAAACCCCTCCACCACGATAAGGTGGTGGTTCAGGGAGGAGCATATGAACTGAATAAGCAGATAAAGCCATTTGAATAAAGTTGTTTGAATTGGATATTAGCTAAATGACCATATTTGTTACACTACCAGCATAATATGTAAGCCATGAAGAAGTGTTTGTGCAACTAAATAGAGGTGGTATAAAAATTATAATAATATAACAGCACTTGTATATTTACAAAAATAGAGCTTCAGTGAAAATAGAGCAGTTACGCACAAATATTTCAACATTTAAATCAGTCACAGAATTAAAACGCTTGTGTGCGACTCCCGACCGTACACTTAGAGAAAATGAAAGTAAAAATAATCTGAATGCAGTACTTTAAAGGTTGACTTGGTGGGTCAAAAACACAAGTGGCTAGATGCAACTGCAAAACAATGATAGAGATTCAAAAAGGTATGATTTGGCGGGCACAAGTTGCAAACGATGAAACCCTTGTTTAACTCCAAAATAAAGTGCATTGCAGTAGTCCTCGCAGTGGTGTACGTGTGCCCTGCACATATCTCCCCTTGGCCTGTTGCTCCTTGTGTTTTGACGGAGCGCTCTCTGTGCCTGCAGTTGGCAAAAGTCAACTCGGTGCTTAAAAAAAGTGCCTGAATATCAAGACCGTTGATACAGTGTGGCATCATAAAAGTGCCATAATTGTCTTTTCTTAATTCACAATTTGTCGTCTTTTTGCAGAAAACCTTTATAAGGAGCTGGTTTAGGTGTGTATCATGCAAATTACTAACCTTTTGCATGTGGACGCTAATTTAGAACAGAAATAAACATACCATATTCACTAACAGAAAAACTAAGTACGAACTGCGTACACACACACGTTGTAAAATAGGCAGAATTTTTTTGTGAGAAATTTAAATCTGCTATTAAATAAAAAAATGCAATTTTTAGTGAATGAGACACATTTTAATTCAGGTATTAGAATAATTTTTCAAATGATTTTGATTTGAACCGATGAAGTCGGTGGTTGTTGTCCGAGGTGATGCTTGCTAATTATTTATATTATTTATTAAATTACCAGTTAATTGTATTTTATTAATATCTACCCTTCCACAACCGTAAACCCACCCCTTACAGTAATGTAAAAATGGTCATTATTGTTGTACAACGACTGTATTTCTATAGTAATATAAATAATATTAGTTTTCCTACGACTGCAGCTGTATCCCTTCTAGACTTTCCCCATTTAGTCTGTAAACCCCTCCTTTCTTACAAACCATCTCTGCTCTGATTGGTCAGCGGGCCAATTCTGTTTTTAATTGGTCTTTCTGTATCTATTCTGTCTGAAATGAAACACCCATTTTAGTATTCATATGTCTTTTGCAGGCAGGGATTATGCAAATGTATAACTTTGATCATTCAAAAATACAACGACTCGTAGCATTAAAAGACACATACATTACAAATAAGATACGTTTTTCTCCTTAATATTTTAAAATGTAATCATGTTTTGCACATTTTATTAATTTCCAAATAGCTGTTTCTGAAGATTCCTACTGTGTTTGTTGTTTCAGGTGAAATAAAGGCAGTTTCAGTGAAGGAAGGAGTTTCAGTCACTCTACACACTGGTCTTACTGAAGTGCAGATGTCTGATTTCACTCTATGGATGTTTGGAGACACTGTCATAGCAGAACTCTTTAAAGAAGCCAGACGATTCTATACTTATGATGGAGAGGATGTAAGATTTAAGGGTATGCTAAACTTGGACAATCAGACTGGATCTCTGACCATCACAAACATCAGGATCCTCAATTCTGGACTTTATGATCTGAAGATCAGCAGCAGCCGACGCACCATAAACAAGAGAATCAGTCTTACTGTTATTAGTGAGTATGAAATCTGTCAGTGTATTCACATTTATACAGTATGTGTGTGTGCACAGTGGTCAAAAAATAACCACGTAGTTCATTTAAATGAAATCAATGTTAGTACAAACACGTGTTTTTAATTATTTGTGTTATTTTAGGGGATTTTTATGGTACTAAATTATATTTGTGCAATAGCTATCATTTATTTATTACTTGTTTACCATGTTTTGAGTGTAGAACTGAAAATTGAAACCGATAATAAAATACAATATCGGAATATCAGCAATTTATAGCTAGTGCTTTTTCGAAACAGTTTATACTAATTAATGTATTTACTAACAAGAACAAAGAACAAACAATACATTTATTAAAGTATTTATTCGTCTTTGTTAACTTCAGTTAAGCTATTATTTATTGTTTGTTCATGTTAGTAAATTTATTAACTAACATTAACAACTCCAGCACATGCAGCTGGCTGATAAACACGTAGAATGCTTAGAACTACAAATCCATCATTACATGGACTACAAGCAATGGTCAACACTGGAACAAACAGATGTAAATGGGCAGTCGTGGTCGATAAAAAGGCAGATGGTCAAAAGGCAGGCAGCATACAACGTAAATATGCAAACAAAACAAAACGAGGGTCAAACACGGGAAGGCAAGGCAAGGTAAACATGTTGTAATGCTTACAAATAAACAAGACTCAGCCCTGAAGTGTGTGTGTGTGTGTGTTAATTATGATATTGAATTCCATTTATTGATGAGTATTATTTGACAAAAATATCATTCAACAAAACATAGGATTTGTTTGGCGGAGGCCCCGTCCGTAGCTTGGTTTAAAAAGCTTTTAGATCCAGCTATGACTGCCAAAGACAAAGGCAGGGGTGGAGCCTTCCCCCCATGGACAGGGCCAATCTGGTGGTGGTGGTGGGGAGGATGGTGGGTGAACCTCTGCGTCAGTACCTGCATTGAACCTGTGATTGAAGTGAGATAAAAAGAAAGCGAGAAGCTTGCAATAACTGTCTGTCTGTGTTTTCAGATTCATTTCTGTCTTCGGGTGTTGTCGCAGGAATAGCTGTAGTTGTTCTGCTGGTTCCTGCAGCTGCAGCTGTTTGTGTTACTTACTATCGCTTCAGGATCTCTATACTTCAAAAGCAACTTGGTAAGCATTATAGCTGATACAGCACACTTGTATGCATTTTTGTTTTGGTTTTATTTGCATTATTCTTAATCAAGCTATATTAGAATATAACAATTAAACCTGACTAATCGCGGACAAAATAAAAGTTTGTATTTGTGTTTGTGTGTGTGCACTGTGGATATTTAGTATGGTGAATCCCATCCCTATAATGAGAAAATGGAGTGTCAGATGCAAAGCATGCAGTGCTGCTTTTGGGTATCTCTGCTATTCTATGTCATTTCTTTTCTGCATTTCTCTGTTTTGTATGCTTAACAGGTGAAAGAAAGTCAGTCCTGGAAGTGGAGGGAGCTTCTGTCACGCTAAAAACCGATGTTGCTGCCATCCGGAGTCATGACGTGGTTCTGTGGCAGTTTGGGAATAAATCCGTTTTCTTAGCTCAGGTCACTGAAGGAAACATTGAGAACACTAGAAATGAGGAGATTTGTGAGAGATTTAAAGACAGGCTGGAGCTGAGTGATCAGACTGGAGATCTGACCATTACAGACACCAGAGCTACAGACTCCGGACTTTATAAAGCATTGATCATAACAAATAGAAGATTCTCCTCAAAGTCATTCACTGTTTCTGTCTCTGGTAAGTGTCTTCAATTAATCTTCATGTTGTAAGAATGGTATTTTTAACTCCAGCGGTTCAAACTAAAGTTCTGCCAAATGACTAAAAAGTTATCAGTTTGATGGTGAAACACTGTACATTTCTAGACAACATCCTTCTGCAATCTTATACCGAAATAAGGGCGGTTATATTAGCTTAAAATGAGGGAGAGTGTCACTCTTGTGTGATCTGTATTGCATTGCAATATGGAGCAATTAAGTGATGTTAAATCAAAAGTAAATCACAGAATGTATGATAATGAAATGATTTAATGGCTGTAATTCTCTATGGTTACAACTGAATTCGTTGCAAAAAACTGTAAAACATGAAATGATTAAAACATATGAGTACCCAGCTTAAATGTAAAATAAAGTTACCTGAGAGAGAGAGAAAGTGAGAGAGAGAGCCCCAAAGATAGCCTGATAGCATTAGAGAAGATCCAGAGCAGAGTTTACCGGCTATTTTGTCTCTTTTTTTGACCATGTGACCAAAGTCCAAATACTGAGACATACAAACTGACCAATCAATGTGTGACCACATCCCAAAACCTCCAAAGTCCACATATTAACCAGTCCTTGATCTAATCACTATCTGCCTTTGAAATCTGTATGGACCTTCTTGCTAAAAAAAAAAACATGTTTCGCTATTTAAACAAATGCATATGATAATACACATAATCAAACACAACTATGTAGATTGTAGGAATGTATATGAGAGAAATAAGAATGTGTTTTCAAGAAAAAATAAGCATGCTGCGCATTTTATGTTACTAGGCAACCATTGAATCAATTCATAAAGTCATGCAGCTCCAGATACAGTTGAAGTTGAATTATTATACCCCTTTTGATTTCTTTTTTTTTTTATATATATATTTTCCAAATGATCTTTAACAGAGCAAGGGAATTTTCTCAGTATGTCTGATAATATTTTTCTTCTGGAGAAAGTCTTATTTATTTTATTTGGGCTAGAATAAAAGCTATTTTTATTTTTTAAAAACATTTTAAGGACAAAATTATTAGCCCCTTAAAACAAATTTTTTTTTTGATAGTCTAAAGAAAAAAAACATCATTATTAAATAACTTGCCTAATTACCCTAAACTGCCTAGTCACCCTAATTAACCTAGTTAAGCCTTTAAATGTCACTTTAAGCTGTATAGAAGTGTCTAAAATGAATTACCCATGGCCAATTTATTGTAAAATAGTTTGGTATATTTATTTTCGGCCCACAGTTATATATATATATATATATATATATATATATATATATATATATATATATATATATATATATATATATATATACAGTTGAAGTCGGATTTATTAGCCCCCTTTTGATTTTTTTTTTTTCTCTTTTTAGTTTTCCCAAATGATGTTTAACAGAGCAAGGAAATTTTCACAGTATGTCTGATAATATTTTTTCTTCTGGAGGAAGTCTTATTTGTTTTATTTCGGTTAGAATAAAAGCAGTTTAATTTTTTTTTAAAAAACAATTTTGGGACAAAATTATTAGCCCCTTTAAGCTAATTTTTTTTTCCGATAGTCTACAGAACAAACCATCGTTTTTCAATTACTTGCCTTATTACCCTAACCTGCCTAGTTCACCTTATTAACCTAGTTAAGCCTTTAAATGTCACTTTAAACTGTACAGAAGTGTCTTGAAAAATATCAAGTAAAATATTATTTACTGTCATCATGACAAACATAAAATATATCAGTTATTAGAAATAGGTTTCTAAAACTATTATGCTTAGAAATGTGCTGAAACAATCTTCCCTCTATTAAACAGAAATTTGGGAAAAAAATAAACAGGGGCGCTAATAAGTCAGGGGGGCTAATAATTCTGACTTCAACTGTATATATATATATATATATATATATATATATATATATATATATATATATATATATATATTTTTTTTTTTTTTTTTTTATTATTATTTTTTTTTATTATTATTTTTTTAATGATGTTTAACAGAGCATTAAAAATTTCTCAGTATGACTGATAACATTTTATTTCTGGGGAAAGTCTCATTTGTTTTATTTTGGCTAGAATAAAATCAGTTTAATTTTTTTTAAAGCCTTTTAAGGACAAGATTATTAGCCCCTTTAAGCTATATATATTTTTTTCGATAGTCTCCAGGACAGGACAAACCACTGATATACTTACGTTATTACCCTAACCTGCCTAATTAACCTAGTTAAGCCTTTAAATGTCACTTTAAGTTGTATAGAAGTGTCTTGAAAATATCTAGTCAAATATGTAGTCTTCTGTGTCTTATAATTTGTATTTGTATTTATTCTTTATTTTTAATCTGATGTTTTATCAGGTCCCTCTGCAAGCAAAAGAAATACGACAGAGGACATGGGAATACTTTTAACAGAATTACATTAAACAGCTCATACATCATAACTCAGAATGAAACAAACTCGTATTTCTCATGTGAGCAACTAAAACCTCCAGGAGCTGCTGGGTTTAAAATGTAGAATATTGTTGTTGTATGATATAATGTAAAATAATGTTGTTGTAAATATATTGTAAAATAACATTGCTGTAATGTTGTTGTGTATAAAATATAACTGAGAAGAGTAAAATTGGGATCTATGTAACTGTTGCATGACATTTTCATTGCTTTGATCATCTTTTACTGCAAGAATATCAAAGTTGTGCCTTTACATTTTGTATAATCTGAATCTTATCAATCTGTCTCTTAAATCAGGTGTAATTAATACTTAATACTGATTATTAATCTCTGTTTTGACATTATTATTATGCATTTATTTATTCATTTTATTATTAAAGCGTCCTCTAGAGTCTTTTTTTATTTGCTGTCTGGAGCTGTAATCGTCTGATACTGTTAAAGACATCAATGAAAACAATAAAAAGTCAGTTTTTATACAAAGAGCTTGTATAAATGTAACACTGTGTTTAAACTCATAATAAGTCAATCTCAATTAACCTAAAAATAATAATTTTATAATAATAAATAAATAAAATTATGTACATTAAAAAGAGGGAGGACAATATACAGTATATATATATATATATATATATATGTATATATATATATATATATATATATATATATATATATATATATATATATATATATATATATATATATATATATATATATATATATATATAACAATTGTATATATATATCATACAATTGACTTAAGAAGTAAACCTTAAAAAAATCTGAAAACGTTTAAAATCTCTAGTACTTACCGAATTTCATTCTTATCAGGAGTCAAAATGTAATAATGATTAATTTTCCGCCTGTGAATTTAGTATGAATATGAATATTCAGAAATTTTTTAAGCATCAGATTTTAAGATTTCAGGGAGAGTTGTTTTGACACTCGTCCTCAAGGTGGCGCTCCAACACCAGCATCTTCAGTTCTCCAGGCGCGTCACCTGCTGGTATTATAAGTTTCCATTGATCTCTCCTGTTGCAGCTAAATGTTTTTTTAAAAACAGAAAAAACAGAAATGTTTTTTTTTTTTATTTGTCTTATATATAAACAAATGTTTTAAATTAAAAGTGTTAACTTTTTTATTTGTTTGTTTGTTTACAGTGACAAGCCATTTAACAGAACGTGAAGCCATCGGCATTGTGAGTAATAAGCAATCAAATGTCTAGGAACAGAAAACATGTTTATCCTTTTCCAAGACATAAGCTTGATATATATATATATATATATATATATATATATATATATATATATATATATATATATATATATATATATATATATATATATATATATATATACGTTTATATATATACATATATATAAAAAAAATTTCAACGTACTGAATCCTAAGCAAAAATGTTATTAGGTATATGATATAAAATATATGATGTAATATATTAACCAATCATCGGATAACATCATATTGTCATGTTTACAAATTAGCTTGATGTTTATCATAAACATTTTTTTTTAATCTTACTTATTTAGAAAAGAAGAAATATACGAAAACAAATTCAGGATTGAATCTGTAAAGAACAGCGATGCAGTTATATGCAAGTACAGTCTGAAATACTTGTACAGAGGATGACAAAAATAATGAAAAAATAAAATAAGGGGAAGTTTTTTTTTTCTTTTAGGTTACTGTAGATCTGGCGTCACTAATTAGAAGAACGACAGCAGCCGCAGCAGCCACGCCCACAAGAGCAGTGACGACCAATCAGATCACATCAACTTCTAGAGGTATGTGCTCTAGTCAGAGGTGTACATTATTGAACATACAGTAGTCATCATTTAAAATGGACCAAAAAGGTAAAGTCTTAAGACAAGAGTGACTGTTCAATAGTTGTAGGATGAAAGGTTTTGGTCCACTTGACCACTTTAGATGCTTGTTTTCTATAAACTCTTTCTCTGAAGAAAAACTTTGTACTTTTGAGTGTGACTGTCACTGTTAACATCCTCTACAATTCATTTGGTTTAATATTTTTCTTTTTTGGAGATGAAGTAGCACATCCCAACTACCCCAAACAGTTTTGGTTCCCTAAACGTTCTGATAACGTTCACAAGTTTTCAAATTTTTACAATGTAAATAGACCATTCCCTTTGTTTTGATTTGTTTTTAACCCTGGTATTTACAGGAATAAAGACTAATTTTATTTAGTAAAATTATGTTCTTTTTAGCAAAATTGATATAGAAGACTATATCAAGTTCAACTGTGCGGTTATTAAAACTGTTTATCTATCAGTAAATCCTATGCACTATGTTCTTACACTCTTACACACTCAACAGCATACTATATGAATTTAGTAATGTCCCAAATGTACCATTCATTTATTTTATTTTCGGCTTAGTCCCTTTATTAATCTGGGGTCACCACAGCGGAATGAACCGCCAACTTATCCAATTTGTTGGATGGGGATGATTGGGAGGCCATGATGAGTAAGGGCCAATGGACATAATTTGGCTAGGACACCAAGGTTACACCCCTACTCTTTACGAGAAGTGCCATGGGATTTTTAATGACCACAGAGAGCCAGGTTTAATTTATCATTCGAAAGACGGTGCTCACCGACAATATAGTGTCCCCTTCTCTTTTTTTGGACATAAATTACTGCTAGATAAATAGCTACATTTGTGAAACCATTGGGAGGCAGGATAATCAGTCATGTAGGAGAATGTTGCTGCTTGCATAATCCAAAATAAATTAATCCACCGTAATTGTCCGATAGCTCTGCCCCTTATCCTTCGTTGAGTGTGTAAAGTGCTGTGTCATCGTTCTAGCTTGCATCTAAAATTGATTTACTGTGAAATATATATTTTAAAAAACGTCAATGATGAAGCTGCTCAGTGTTTCACAGCAGCAAACACAGCCTCCTGTTTGACTCCCTGATGGAAAAAGCAAAAAAAAGTGCAATCAAAATAATTTGTCATGTCCTGAGTTTCATTTACACACATATTTTTTACACCCAAGTCCATGTTTTTGGATCCTTATTTTTTGATCCCCCATTTTAAAGTCGAGACTATAAAATTTTCTTACCTATTCCAGTGCTTCTCTTTTGAAGAACATCGGTTCATCATAAATGACTTCATTTTCTTCTTCATGAGACTGAACTTTTCCTGTAATAATTGATTAAAAACATGTCTTATATTAGTTTCAGGGTTTGCACGGGTGCTGGAAATCCTGGAAAATGCTTAGTGGTTTCAAGGTCAGAAAAGTGCTTGGATTTAAGTGCTTGAACCTGCTTGAATTTGAAATTGCATGGCTCGAAATTGCGACCGTTTAGGTTGCATATGCGCCCGAAATTGTATCTATGCAAGCTCAAAATATATTTGGAGGCGTTTATGCGAGTGCATAAAATTATCGCCGTGCGACCAGTTTTCACTGCTGCAGTTTAAGTTGAAAAATTGTGTTTATATTGTGTTTTTTTAAATGGCGCAATGGATTTAAATGCGAAAAAGTGCATACAGCATATACTGTATAAACGTAATTTGTCATGGTTGTTAGGTGCTGGAAAAGCATAAAATGCACCATGAAAGTGCTTGAAAAGTTTTGGAAATTGAAGTTGGAAAAGGTGTAAGATCCCTGTAGTGTGTGTGTATGTATGTATATATATATATATATATATATATATATATATATATATATGTATGTATGTATGTATGTATGTATGTGCTTTATTGTTTTAAGTGTATTGTTAATAGGGTTGGGTACAGTTTGTTTGTTTTTATTTTACCCTACGTGTCATATCGATACTTTTTAAACAGTTCCATTGCCAATATTTTGTTCTCCATAATGGTTAAATATGTTTCAATACCCAACCCTTATTGTTAAAAAGTGTTAGTATCTAATGCTTGCCTTTGTGGTGTGTTTTTCTGTGTTTCCTGCAGATGCAGAAAATCCCAATCGCAACTACCAGAAACAACAGCGATCCAGCAGCAGCAGAAATCAGCATGATCAGAGAGTCTGGAGGATGAAAATGAGAATGTAGGTATAACGAGAGTCTTAATTATCAACCATTTAAAGCAATTAAAAATGCAAGTGAAAGTAAAAGAAAAAGTGAATGTAATAATGGAAATATGTGGGTCAAAAGTGTTAATTATCAATCATTTACAGTGGTTGAAAGTGAAAGTGGAAGTAAAAGAGAAAATGTGAATGTAATAGTGGTAATAGTAATACCAGAGGATTATAACGTGGGTCAAAAGTTTTAATTATCAATCATTTAAAGTGATTGAAAGTGACAGTAAAAGAGAAAAATTATTGTAATAGGAGTAATAGTAATGTGGGTCAAAAGTTTTAATTATCAATCATTTAAAGTGAATCAAAAGTGAAATTGAAAGTAAAAGAGAAAGTGGATATTACAGTGAAAGTGAAAGTAAAAGTGTGCGATCTCCAATGAATAACAGTGCAGTTGAATTCAAGCTCTGTACCTCCTCAAGTTCTGTTACAATTCATTGAGATATTCAGCAGAAATGCAATATTAGTTCAAAATCTGACATTTAACACGTACTTGGGCACACTTGACAGAGTTCGGGGTTGGTGAGATGTGTAGTCCGGTTGGTGAATGAATAAGCCACCACACAGCTGTAAGAACCGTTTAGACAGTCCAGTTGTAAAAAGAGACTGATTTTGTGCCCCGACACTCTGATTCTGGACAATAAACTGTTTCCTTTGTACCAGGAGAGACTCACAGCGCTCACATTCACCACTGAACACAGCAACATGCATGTGGATGCTGATGAGGATGATGAAGGGTTTAATGGAGAGTCTTTGCTGATGACAGGAACAGGCAGACGAGCTGAAATGAAGGATCATTAAAAAAATAGGCAATAAATGAGAGTAAAGTGGTCCCTTTTAATGTACATAGTAAACACACACTCTGACCTAATGTGGCAAAATTGGCAAACACATTTTTTTTCAGAAATCTTTTCAAACAAAATGTTTTTGGAGCTTCATATGATTACAGTTGAACCACTGAATATGCATGAAATGTTTTTGGTTTCTTTTCTGGACATTGAATGTCTCGTGTCCTCATATCTCAGGGGTTTGAAATGACATGAGGTAAGTAATAAATAGCTGATTATTAATTTTTGGGTGAACTTATACAGATCCAGTATCCTTTGATATGAATAAAACTGTGGAATGCAAACGCCAAACCAGAAATCCAGTCTAGAAAGGCAGCATTGCTAAAATGTTGGCATATTTTTTGCTAAAAAAATTGCAAGGCATTACTTTTAAAACTAACTTTTCTGATCACTCCCAAAGGTTTGCAGATATATCGCGATATGCATCTAAAATAATGAAGTCAAAATATTTGTGAACTATTATAGTCAAAATTTGTACAGCAGTAAACACGGAAAATGACAATCAAATCATTGACTCACCATAAACAGAGATATTGAGTTTGGGGATGGTTTTTCCGCTTAACTCATAAACTCCAGCATCTGTATTTCTGATGTTTGTGATCGTAAGTGATCCAGTTTTATTGCTCAGCTTCAGTCTGTCTCTGAATCCCTCAGAAACATCCTGTGTTGAGTAGCTTACAGTCCCATTGTTGATTTCAGCTATGAGAGATTTATTAGGTCCAAACCGCCAGTTTATATCTTCATCTGCCTGAAGTTGAGTATCGGTGTGTAAAGTGACCGAATCTCCCTCCATCACTGGAACTGACTTTATTGTATCACAAAACACACCTGCAGAGCAGAGACATTGGGATAGCATTAATGCGTTTGCACCTATATAATTTGAATAGCTTTATGTAATGCATTTTCTGAATAATTAATGTTCCAATGCTCTGGATGTATCATTGAGGTGAGACTCGAATCCTTATTAGACCCCAGTTTAATAAACAACAGAAATAGATTCATAAAATCATTAAGGACTTACCAACCAGATGATAAAAGAACAAACAGTTAAAGAGAACCAGGTTTAACATTTTCTTTAACAGTTCGGGGGTCTGCGATCATAAGATTACAATCATCTGTTGGCAGAAAGTACTTCAGTCTGAGTTAGTGTGGGTGGGTGTGTGTGAGAGAGAGAGAGAGAGAGACATTTTGTGCACAAAAAGAGTCTGAATTGTTTTATACACATTAATCTTGAACAAACAAACAATAAATCTCAACCTAATACAGTTTAAAGCAAAGCAAATCTGTTTCAACTCAATCAGTTTAAGTTCAATACAATCTAAATTTGAGTTCATGTAACTTGTTTCTTGTCTTTATTAATATTTGGGTGAAAGTATCTCGGATATCAGTTTTAAAGGGATAGTTTGTCCACTGTTTACTCTTCCTCAAGTGATTCAGGACCTTTATGAGCTTCTTTATTTTGTTAAACACAAACTAAGATATTTTGACGAATGCTGAAAAACTGCAAACATTGACTTCCATAGTAGGAAATACAATTACAATAAAAGTCAATGGTTGCAGGTTTCCAACATTTTTCAAAAGATCTTCTGTTGTGTTTAACAGAAGAAAATAACTTAAACAAGTAAAGGGTTAATAAATGATGAGAGAATTGTATTTTTTGGCACATCATTGTATTGTATGAACCTGGAAAAAATTTCAGTGTAATTGTATTTCAAACATTTGCTAAACAGTAGACGGCTTTAGTCACGACTTTTCCACCAGAGTATAGGGACTGATAAAATTTTTAAAGTGGGTCACAGATGCTTTATTTTGATAAAGCATCCGTTGCTTTGTTTGATATTAAGATAAGTGTAGTGGTTTGTTGAGGGCAAGAGACGATGAAACCACAGAAAGAATGTAGAAACAACAGAGAGAGAGAAAATAACAGCTAATAACAGCTAACCAGTCAGTGCTGAGCATGAAGTCAGGATGACAGAGTAAACACTAGCCATGTTTACATCCACATGTTTTTATGTCCAGTTAGGAATGCTGCATAAAAAATGCTAGACGGAAACCAAAATAAGCATAAATTCTTAAAATGTGCATAAAAACGTGCAAAATTAAGAAGAAAAAAACTTTCAACTTTTTGGTTGTATTATCTAATCTCCGATCGTATGTCTTGGACACTTGGGTAAAGAGAGGGGCGGAGTCAATTAATCACCACCACAATCTTCTAAAATCTCCCCTTTTCAGCATGCACTTGATCACGTCACATGATTTATCAGCAAAGAGCAACTAAACCAAGCTTGCGATTGTACAGTACTTGTTAGATACTACAAAAATCTAAAAAAATTGTGTAAAGCAAACCCGATATGTAATAGAAAAAGCTAGAGGATGACTTTTAAAATAAATTAACTTTGTTTTACACTACATGTGCTACACCTGTACTTACAGACAGTGTTGGGTAAAGTTACTTTTAAAAGTAATATATTACAATCTTAAGGTTATCTTGATCATTAAAAAAATGCAAAAATAACATACTTTCAGATAACTTTCCTTAAATCTGTAACACATTAACTTGTTTTTATAAAGGGATTTAAGCTTGTATTAGATTACTTTTAAAAGTAACTTTAACCAACACTGTTTACAGTACAGGAAGTTCTGGGTTATATAAGCAAACATGTGTTAAGGTTATAGTTTCAGGTGTAGTTAGAGTACCTACTCTTTCTTAGTTTATATGAGTACATATACAGTTTAAAACAGGTTTGTTCTAAAACAAATTTTGGGTCAGAATCAGACAAAATCGTTTTGTTAATATAAAAATTATTGTTTTTATTAAAAGAAAGTGCTATAAATCTACTTAAATTAAAGTGTATAGAGGCAGATTGGTGCCGTCTGGTGGAAATAACCAAATGAAATCATCTGCAAAACTAATAAATAGCCTTAAATTATTTATAAATAAACTGTGTTTATAAGCTCCACTCTGAACGCTGTATATTTATTTTATTTTATTTTATTTTATTTTTTTATTAAACAGTAAATTATTACAGCATAACGAAACATTAGGAACTATATAAGGAACATATAGATGCCAGGGGGATAAACCAGTAAAGAAGGGGGAAAAAATACAATAAATTGAATAAGAGATACATATAACGTAAAGCTTAAAATAAAAATACAATATTAGGACGCTGTATATTTTATAACGAAGATAAAGAATCAGTAATGATGTCACAAAGACGAACTCTGTGATTCTCTTCTCTGACCAGCAGAGGGCGCCCTCACCTGAACATTGACTGTCTCATCACTCACTCTTCACTACATTTCCCATCATTTCTGTACCTGCACTGATTACCGGTCCAGCTGAGAACTATCCACTGTCTATTTTGCATACTGTTTGTACTCACACGTTGCAAAGTCTTGCTCTTCTGTTGTTGACAATTCAGAGCCGTTATATTCTGTTTTGCCTTCCTGTTGTGAGCCTTCCCACTGTTTGTGATAGTTTGCTGCCGGCCTTTGGACTGTTTGTTTGAATTTTAGACATTGATTGTTTGACCATAGCCTGTTGTTTGAATACAATCTTGCTTATCCTGCTTCAGTTTACGCCGACCTCTGACCACGCCTGCAAATGAATCCCAATCCTTGTGGTGAGTCGTTACAAATAAGTAATACTTAAAAACAACTCATGTCTTATAAAACATTTTATATTACAAAGCTAATATAACTTCAGCCTCTTTACAGGGATTTCACTCAATTTAGACAAAATATTTACAAGTTTATATGCATTTTAAATTTCATTTTGAATCTGTAAAAAACTAGAATAGAGTTATATGCAAGTACAATTTGAAATATTTGTACAGAGGATGACAAAAATGATGACAAAATAAAATAAGGGGATTTTTTTTCCCTCTTTAAGGCTGGTGTAGATCTGACTTCACAAACCAGATAAACAACAGCAGCCACGCCCACCAGAGCAGTGTCCACCAATCAGATCACCACAGCTTCTAGAGGTAAGCACTCTGGTCAGAGTCATCAGAGACAGTAGTCGAAGTGGACCAAAAAAGGAAAGTCTTAAGACAAGAGTGGGTGTTGTTCAATAGTTTTAATACAACTTTAATGAAAGGTTTTGGTCCACTTGACCCCTGTAAACTCTTTCTCTGAAGAAAAACTTTGTACTTTTAAGTGTGAGTTCTCACCGTTAACATCCTCTATGTTTCATTTGGTTAAATATTTTCTGTTTTGGAGGTTAAATAGCACATCACAACTGTCTCAAACAGTTTTTGGTTCCCTGAACGTTCTGATAACGTTAGTTTATGGTTCTCTGATGTTTAGACAAGTTATTATATGTTTGCTTCATGTAAACAGAACATTGCCTTTAGCTTTTTTTAACCTTGGTACTTACAGAAACAAAGACACATTTATTTGGTAAAATTATGTTCTTTTAAGCAACATTTTAAGTTTTTTTTTATTAAAAGAAGATAAAATCAAGTTCAGTTGTGCGGCTGTTTAACTTTTAAGCTATCAGTAAATCCTTTAAATGTTACCAATCAAAACAGAACAAGACAACATTCACAAAATGTAACTAGCTTTGAATTTATAATGCAAAATTACATATACAATAATAACACACAAATTACTTACTATTACTTACTAGGCCAAAGGTAAACTGAAACATGCACATTACTTGCACACAAATGCAAATATTTTCATAATAGTTTAGCAATCAAATGTTACACAGGAATATTTCTGTTAAGACACACTTGAATCCAGTATCCATGTAAAGCATCGTCAAATGAAAGCTAAAACATAAGTTCACATATGAAAGTGAAAGTCAAATTAAAGCAGCACAAAAAAAAACAAAGTGTTGCCTCTTAGTGGAGAAACAAGGCACTTTATTAAACTGTGTAACATTCATTTAAAGGTCAAATATGTTTGTTTGTTTTTTTGTTTTTTTTTTGTGGCTCTTTTGGTTGCAAAGTTTGCAGACCCCTGCTCTAAAGAGTAAAAACATTAAGGAATTGTTGTTTTAAACACCAGATCAAATCATATCATATTTCATCACTTGGGGCTATGAATGATCAATCTAAAGTAACATTTCCTTCCATTAGTTATATTTCCATCTTAGCATAATAAAACTCTAACATGTGTCTTGATATTTATGATAAATCTCCCGTTTTGGTCATTGAAGCTCTTGTAGATCTGATGTCGTTGACCAGAAGAACAACAGCAGCCGCAGCAGCCACGCCCATCAGAGCAGTGACGAATAATCGGAGACCAACTTCAGCAGAACCCCAACCGCCGACGAGTTCTTAAAAACAATAATAAAATCAATTTAATTGCACTGCGTAAGGATAAAATAGCACCACAATTTTAAGCAGATGCTAATATCTGTCAGGAGCACATCAGCCTGAAAAATAATAATAATATTAATTCTAACCTGCATGTTTCTGGCAGAGTTCAGTGATATTAAGATGTTCACATTTTGAGGATTCTGTAGTAGGTAAAGGTGATGGTGAAGAATTAATAGTGGTGACTAAAAAACACAGATGTTTACAGTCAGTGTTGAGGGTGACAAATTACAAGTAATGCAAGTCACTTAAGTAATTATATTACTTTTCTAATGAAATGATTAATGCATTACCTACAAAAATTAAGTCATAATATTTGAGTTACTTTTTATTTTATTTAATTTTCAAAAACTCAAAAGTAATGTAGCACATTACTTACCATAAAAAGTAACTAAGTAACTTAACTACTTAATTATTTGGGGATTAACTCGATTTTGTAATGCTTTACTTTCTAAACTAACTTTCCCCGACACTGTTTAATGTCAGGGTTTCAACACACACATGATCAGGACAGATACTGACAGTCTTAGAAAACTGAGTGGTGCTTTATCAATTCAGAAATGAACATACTTTAAAGTTTTTGTTCACACAAATATGAAAATGATTAAATTTATTAACCTCATATCATTCCAAACCCCTGATATCTGTATTCATCTATAGGCAAATTAGAATATTTCAGGTGAAATCGGAGAGCTCCCTCATCCTCCATAGACAGCAGGATGTTCCAACTTATTTAAAGTCCAGAAAAATTCTCTTGTTAAGTAGTGATGTGCTATTGCGTTTTAACTTGTTTGGTCAATGATTGTTTTGAGTAATGTTTAATTTGTTTAGCATGTCTGCTGATGCTTATTGTAAGGCGACCTTGGGTGTCTAGAAAGGCGCCATTTATAAATAAAATTAAATTATTATAATTATTATGTATTGGTGATGTATGGAATGCTGCTCATTTGAATTGAGAAAATATTTGTTTATGACCACATTTTAGTCATATCACACATTAAAGTGAATTTTATATAAAATCATGGTGTACACAACAGATTCTGGACATGCTGCATCACAGACACCAATGATTTACCCATTTTTAAAAAAATTAATCCTTTCCTGGCCATTGGATTATGGGCATGGATATATATACTGTTTATTGCGATCATGATTTTTGTAAGTGTTTGTTATTACCATTTGTCAAATCTCCTCATACAGAGGACGTCACACTTAAGGGGATACCAAAAATAAAAAAAAACGAGCTTATCCCTATAATATTATCAAGCTATTGAAATACTTTTGTGCACACACAAACACAAATAACCACTTTATTCAGCAGTTTCTTCTCCTCAGTGTCAGTATTTAGGGTTTTGCACTTCTTCATTTTTGCACTTCCTTTAATTGCGCTCTTCTTTTCAGTGTATATACAGGCATTAACTGCACGATTTGTACTATTCTGAAACTGTACATTGGCTTTTTTTTCTTTCACTGATTACTTTTAATCATAATGTAGAAACATGCATTTTTTGTAAAGCTAATCTGAGGAGACATTTATAATGAAAAGGTGAAAGATTATTATTTCTGATTATCTTGACATTTAAATGACAACCACGCATAACATGAGCAATACAATCTGCAGTACTGTACACACAACTTTTATTATATATATCAGAAAACAGATGTTTTAATGTGTTATTTTAGTGTTGAACAGGCCCACACAAGGCCTCGTTTGTAGATCTAGAAGGAAATGTGCTTTGACTGCATGCTTGAAGGACAAACAGATAGAGGTAGTGGCTTTTACTGGCCTGTTTGTTGTTAAAAGTGTGAACACTGACTGTGTGTTTCAGCGAGTGTGTTGAAATTACTTCCACAATTTGACTTTGGACTTGAGAAACAGTTTGACTAAAAACACACAAACAGAATTTTATGATTGTTGTTTGTCAAAAAGAAGGTGTGAAATCTCAAGTATATTCACATACTGCATTATTTATCTGTAGTTTGATGTTCAGCTGAATATTGTCTGCTTCTCTCATGTCCACAGTTTGCATGCTAATGAAGTGACTCTGCTGAAGTGTTAGTTTCACCTAGGATAAAAGTATGTGTGAGAGGTTTCCGCTGATAATAACAACACTCTTTGGGCAGTCTGTCTTTCATTTTTTAAAGAAACAAATGAAGTTGGTTTGTGAAGATCAAAACAAGTAAATCATTTAACTCTTAAACATCTTTATGAACATTGTTGTCTTTTACCCTTTGTTAGTTTAAAATAAAATGATTTTCATGCAAACAATAAACTTTGTGAGTGTGAAAAACACCCTTTTGAGTCTCATGCACTACGGCCAGTTTGGATGTCTTTGGGCTGTGGGTGTTATGATCACCAGCGATATAGTGTTTATAGGTCACCAAAGGGCTACCCATCTGCCACTTAACCAAACTACATATCCCATCATGCACCTTGCTCACACACCATTCCTAGATCACTCCATGATTACACTAACACAGCTTAAGCTTGTGAGGACTAATGACTTATATACAATATATACAACACACTCATCTTTTGCTGAGTGTCTTTTCCCACATGAGCATTAAGCATCATCAGTGTCATTCCTTACTGTGTTTTTGACCTGTTTTGTTGTTCTTGTTGTTTTCCCACCTGTCCTGACCATTCATTCATTCATTAATTTTCTTGTCGGCTTAGTCCCTTTTTATTAATCCGCGGTCGCCACAGTGGAATGAACCGCCAACTTATCCAGCAAGTTTTTTACCTTCCAGTCGCAACCCATCTCTGGGAAACATCCACACACACACACTCATACACTACGGACAATCTAGCCTACCCAATTCACCTGTACCACATGTCTTTGGACTGTGGGGGAAACCGGAGCACCCGGTTTCATGCAAACTCCACACAGAAACAGCCGAGGTTCGAACCAGCAACCTTCTTGCTGTGAGGCGGCAGAACTACCTACTGCGCCACTGCCTCGCCCTGTCCTGACCATTTGTCTGTTCTAGCCACTCTCTTGGGTTGTCTGTATGCTCGGGTGTATTCCTGTATCAACCTTGGTTGTCTGACCATCCCTAAAAAAAGCTGTGTTTGGTCCTCGCCTCCGTTGTCTACTTTGTTACAAGATGTTGTAGAAGACTCAGCCACAAAATGAATCCAGCAGGACGTCTTGTCAGACTATCGCAAGGTTTTAATTCCCTTCGAGGACACGCAAGCAATTTTTTTTGGACATTGCAAATAACGCAACTCTCCTGGACTGTATATCCATTGATTTTTTTACATTTATTTTTTTATCACAGACTTCATGAAGACGGGGGAAGCCCACATGAGCATGGGGAGAACATGTGAACTCTGCACAGAAACATTGACTGGCCTAGTAAGGATTATAATCAGTGATGTTCTTGCTGTGACGCAACAGTGCTAATTACTGGGCCGCCGTGCCACCCAATCTAGGAAACAAGTCGATTCTTCAAGACGAAGATGACTGAGGTATGAAACTTTGGTTATTTATATTGAGTTAGGAATCATCTGATTGGTGACTCATGTGTTAGCTAATGCAGGACCAGCTGCGATCAATCATAAGCACCAATAATCCTCTCAAGAAGTTTATATATAAAGTTCACTTAGTACCACTATCACAGTAATGATCAGTCACGACGGGTGGATTTAAGTCTGATACTCTAATAATCCATATTATTTGCAAATATTTGAGAAATGTAGTGAAATTACAGACAGCTTCATTCTGTTCCTTGAGTTTAATTGTTTACGTGCTACTATACTTATACTTTAGCTTTTGTCCTTGTGCTGTCATTTGTTGCTAAATAACCAGTCAGATTGATTGCTCTCTTTAGCAACACAGATTCTACATGCTCATTCGAGCCAACAAGCTTCAATTTTAACCCAACAAGAGGCGACGTGTAGAAAACACCATTTAACACCAGAGTTTCTGAACTGACTAACATTTTACATACCTGGACATGGTTGACAGATTTCAGTGTTGGTGAGATGTGTGGTCTGTTTGGTATTTGAAATGTTCACCACACAACTATAGGAATCATCCAGACACTTCAGATCTAGATGCAGACTGCTACTGAGATCAGACACACTGATGCTGGAGAATACACTGTTTCCTTTGTACCAGGAGAGACTCACAGCGCTCACATTCACCACTGAACACAGCACTGAACAAGAGTTTGAGGATTCACTGGTGATGACAGGAACAGGCAGATGATCTGAAATGAAGTCAGATAAATTAGATATTAGGTCATTCCTAATTCTGGTTCCTTAAAAATAAAACAGAATATATATGCAATTTAGCTGAAATTCATTTAGGAATATTATTATTTAAACACAATGACCTCTTCGTCATTTGTGAAAAGTTAATTTGAGAACACCAGTTTGATTGAGTCTGTACACCCACACATTTTACAGCGCTGTATTTGCATTTGTTCCTGTTAGCTGGGACTGCGTCCATCAGGTTCTGTTTAAAACTGTGGCCTTGATGATCTCAGTCACTTGTAAGAGGATTATCTTTTGGTTTATTAACATGCTGTTAGACATTTTGAACAAATCTATAATCATGACTCACTGTATACATTAACACTGAATGTGCATTTGATCGCTGTCTGGCCACTGATGATTAGTTGATAAAGTCCAGAGTCTGCTGTTCTGGTGTTCATGATGGTCAGAGATCCAGTCTGATGATCCAGCTTCAGTCGGTCTCTGAATCCCACAGCATCACCATCAGATGTGGAGGAGATTCCAGCCTCTTTATTGATCCGAGCTATAGTTTTCTTTTCATGTCCAAAATTCCACTTTAACGCATCTTTTGCCTGTAGTCCAGTAACACCAGACTCCAGAGTGACTGGATCTCCCTCCATCACTGACTTCACTACACCTGAATCAGCAAACACACCTGAACAACACACAGCGTATATCAGTCACACTCTGACTTTCTGCATGAAGTAAAAAACAATTATAGTATAAAATTTACTGAGAATCAGTCATGATGTTCTAATTCACATACAGAGATTAAAGTAGTATAACTTTAATGTTAGTGTAGAAGTACTGACTGTGATTTTTATTTTTTATTTTTGTTTATCAATTTTCATAACAATAATTATATATGTATTTTGGGAAATGTTACTGTAAATATAGAGCTAGATTTTTGGCGCAAAAGGTAGTGCTGTCGCCTTACAACAAGAAGGTTGCTGGGTCGCTGGTTCGAGGCTTGGCTGGATCAGTTGTCGCTTCTGTGTGGAGTTTGCATGTTCTCCCTGCATTCGCGTGGGTTTCCTCCGAGTGCTCCGGTTTCCCCCACAGTCCAAAGACATGCGGTACAGATGAATTGGGTAGGCTAAATTGTCCGTTTTGTGTGTGTGTGTGTGTGTGTGTGTGTGTGTGTGTGTGTGTGTGTGTGTGTGTGTGTGTGTGTGTGTGTGTGTGTGTGTGTGTGTGTGTGTGTGTGTGTGAATGAGTGTGTGTGAATGTGTGTGGATGTTTCCCAGAGATGGGTTGCAGCTGGAAGGGCATCTGCTGCATAAAAACATGCTGGATAAGTTGGCGGTTTATTCTGCTGTGGCGACCCCGGATTAAAAAAAATAATAATCAAATAATTATATAGAAGGTCATTAGGATGTAAATATATGTTGACTTAACTTTAAAAAATTGATTTTATTTTTTTCATGGAAAAGTTTGAGCTTTACTTACTTATTTAGAAAAGTTCAACTTTTTTAACCATCAAATAAGTTCAGCTAACTTAATTCTTGAAGCTGAATTCGTGTAGATAAGTTCACTAAACTGCTAGCGAACTAAAGTGATTTTATTTATTTTTTACTAAACTTGTTGGTTTAGTTAGCTGAAATTTTCTAAATAAGTAAAACTCAAAAAATATTTTTTTTTACTGTGTATGCTTTTCTATACAAAACAAATCGTCAGTTTGTGCGACTGACTAAGAAAGTTAGTGGCACGTGCACAATCATAAAGTGTGAGTCTGGAGCCCTGGGGTCCGTTCTTCGTACCTCACTTAAATGGTCTAATGGTCTTTATTAAAACCTGAACTCGGAGATAATTGAGCCCAGGGCTCCCGCCTTGTCAATGAGCATGTAAGGGGTACGAGATCAGGTAGGTCTCGAGAGCTCTCCCTGGTAAAACAGGAAAGGGGGAGGTGGGGTGGAAGGGGGGATTCTTCAAAAAAAAAAAAGATGACGGAGTAATGCTAGACAGGCTATTAATAGTGAGTTTGGAATGATCCGATTGGCTCACAAATGATTAGCGATAAGAGACCAGTCAGCAATCATTCGTATCACCTGCTCCTCTCGAAATTAGTTTATAAAACTTCACTATGTCAGCCATCTTACACACCTCATTCAGACATTCAGCTTTTATTAAAAATGTTAACCTTGGTTGATTTATGCCCTTTCTTATCTGATTATGACCCTTGATTTATAAAGAATTAAACCGAAAGAAAATAAATTAATGAATAACCCAATTATAGACAGTATTAGTTTACACACATCTTTACACTGTTGAATCGAGAATGAGGAACAACTGTACGTGTTGCTCCATATACATCATATAAAACAGCCGGCCAACACTAAATTTTATCTAACCAAAAAGATAATCGAAAATTAAAGCTGTAAACATGAGACCATGTCCAAAAGCAGACTACATCTCTCTATAAGCTAAATAGATATACAGAATTATTTTACACGCATCTTTACACAGTTGACAACATGTAAACAAAAACTACATTTTAACTGACCAAATAGATATTTTAAATAAATTAGAGCTGTAAACATGAGCTCACATCTGAAACTATAGTACATCTCTCAAAATATTATAGTAGCATTCAATATATGTGTGTAAAACTTACCAACCAGGCAGGAAAAGCACAAACAGATGAAAACAAATGAGCAAAACATTTTCTTCCGCTGTCTGAAATAGTTTCCCTGAAGATGCTTGCAAAGACGATCTGAAAGTGCTGTAGAAAGTGGAGTGCATTTGAGAGAGAGAGAGAGAGAGAGATTCACTCTGTACAGTTCTGTATTTCCTTTTTTCACCATGGCTGCTGTAAACATTCTGTTAACCATGATTTTTTTTTTTCATTTAAATATATATATTTTAATGAAATGGTCATTAATCATATAAATGAAGAAAATAAAAATAAGATTTTAGGGGGATACATATGGCAGATCTGTGCAACAATAGGAAGTAAAAAAAAAGTAGAAAATCATTCTATTTCTTTACTATTTAAATGGTGAAACCAGCCTTCTCATTTGACTTTGTGTTGTGGGAAGTTGCCCCCTTCTTATAATTTCTTCTGCCTTATTACAAAAATCAGACCAATGTCTTAATCATGTGGCAAGAACACAGAGTAAACAAGCTGAGAAAACCAAGGATATTAATATAAGTCTGATTCAGTTCCTTTGAAAGAAGAAGAGCATCTAGGATGTGTTTACAGTAAATTAAGAAATCATTTGCATTTTTTTTTTTTTTTTGGAGTAAACTAATTATTTAACGTTCACAAAACCAAACTATTTACAGTATATTATATTTGTATTTGTTTCAACAAGTTTAGATATTTCTCTATATTTATGTAACAGTTATTTGTTAGGTTTACGATGATGGAAACTCTGAGGACAGTCAGCATTACTGCATTTGCATTTCTTATATATGATGACTAATCAGATCACAGCAGCTTCTAGAGGGATGCGCTTAGGCAGAGGTATACATTACTCAACGTACAGTAGTCAACATTTGAAGTGGACCAAAAAATAGTAAAGTCTTAAGACAAGAGTGGGTGTTCAATAGTTTTACTACAACTTTTATGAAAGGTTTTGGTCCCCTTGACCTCTGTAGATGCTTGTTTTCTAAACTCTTTCTCCGAAGAAAAACATTGTACTTTTAATTGTGAGTTGTCACTGTTAACATCCTCCACATTTTATTTAGTTAAATATTTTTCTATTTTGTAGAAGTAGCAGCACATCGCAACTGAACAGTTTTTGGTTCCCTGAATGTTTTGATAACGTTAGTTTATGTTGTTGTACTGTTGTTTAGACAAAACGTCACCTTAGAATTATCAGGTTCTATCTGACATTTTTTGTCAAAATTGAGTTATTGACATATTCTTATTAAATGACAATTTACATTATGGGATGTTGTTATACAAGTTGTTTACATTTTAAGACTTTTTATTTAAAAAACAAATGTTACACACACACTGTTTGCTATGGAATGCAAAAACTTTGAAGCTCAATATCTCAAAATGATTCAGAACACAGATAAAACCTTATAATTCAAAGGTGACGAAAAGTTATTACGAGTTTTCTTCATGTAAACAGAACATTCCCTTTTATTTTGTCTTGTTTTTCACCCTGGTGCTTACAGAAAAAAATACATTTATTTGTTAAAATGATGTTCTTTTGAGCAACATTTAAGCTTTTTGTTTTAGAGAAGATCAAATCAAGTTCAACTGTGCAACTTTTAAGCTCAGTAAATTCTTTAAATGTTTCCAATCAAAACAGAACAAGAAAACATTCACAAAATGTAACTAGCTATGAATTTATTACAAGTATTACAAGTATTAAATACCACACAATTTCCTTCTGTATACTAGGTATATAAAAATCAAGCCATTACTCCTTTATTTAAGCCAAAACTGAAACACATCTCTTTCCACACAAATACAAATATTTTTATCATAGTTTAACAGTCAAATGTTACACAGGAATATCTCTGTTAAGACATACTTGAGTCCAGTATCCATGTAAAACATCACCTCTTGTACATTATCGATGTCTGCCAAAATAAAGCTGGATCCTTTGTTATGAAATAAGAAACCAATATGTAACGTTGACACAAAACTTTACAAAGTATACTTTCCTTAAAATTCAAAAACAAGCCAAAGCACGAGGTCACACATAAAAGTGAAAGTCAAATGAAAACAAAACAAAAAACAGCAATGCTTCTGTAATAGTGACGCTTGCATCAAAATACAATATATGGCACACTAGTGCCAGTGGTGAAAGTAGGCATTTAATTAAACTGTTATATTTATTTAAAGGATATATTTTCATTTTGGCTTAATAAGACTCTAATGTGCATCTTGATATTTATGATAAATCTCCTGTTTTCATCATTGAAGCTCTTGTAGATCTGATGTCATTGACCAGGAGAACAACAGCAGCCGCAGCAGCCACGCCCATCACTATAGTGACGACCAATCGGAGCACAGCTTCAGTAGACTCACAACCACCGACGTGTACTTTAAAACAAAATAAAACATTTTATTGCATTGCATAAAAGTAAAATAGAACTGCATTTGTAAGCAGATTCAAATTTCTGTCAGGAGCGTATTAGCTTAAAAAAAATAATAATAATATAATTACTAACCTGCATGTGTCTGGCAGAGTTCAGTGATATTGAGTTGTTCACATTTTGATGGTCCTGTAGAAAGTGAAGGTAGTGGCAGAGTGACTTTTAAAAAACACAGATGTTTATAGTCATTGTTGGCAAAGAGCTTAGAATGACCAAGAGGTGACACTCAATAGAACGTTCCATTGCAACAGCAGCGCCCAGCAACAGCCCCGGATTCCATCATTTTGGAGTGAAAGTGATCGGCTGTCCATTAGATCTCATTACTGTCACGATGGCAAGAAGCAACTGCTTTGTTTTTTTATTTATCTATTTAAAAAGCGCATTAAAGCTGAGATACAACCTGAAAGACGACAATACAACACTTATTATCACAATCATCAGCACTTTTAATAGTTTATTTTACAGACTTATAATATGCTGTTTTTCTATTGGCGTTTTCATTCCAAAATGGCCGCCGCGCCCTCTAGTGGCTATTTCCCAAATTACACTAGAATGTCGCCTCTTGGTCATTCTAAGCTCTTTGGTGTTGGGGCTGTTTTAGTAACAAGTAATGCATTACTTTTAAAAAATTAAGTAGTAATGCCGTAATTTAGTAGTAGTAATTAAGTAGTAATGTCGTGTGACAACATTACTTACCATAAAAAGTAACTAAGTAATGCAACTAGTTACTTTTTTTGAAGTAACTCAATATTGTAATGCATTACTTTCTAAAGTAACTTTCCCCAACACTGTTTATAGTCAATGTTTATACACACACAAGATCAGGACAGTCTTAGACAACTGAGTGGCGCTTTATCAATCCGAAATTGGTTTTAAAGTGTTTGCATATCTATATAATATTTTCAAGCTATGACAATACTTTTTTGCACACAGTATTTAGGGTTTGCACTTCTTCATTTTTGCACTTCCTTTAATTGCGCTCTTCTTTTTAGTGTAAATACGATCATTAACTGCATGATTTGTACTATTCTGAAACTGTACACTGACATTTTTTTGCCACTCATTACACTCATTAATCGTAATGTAGAAACATGCACTTTCTAAGCTACTCTGAAAAGATATTTATAATAAAAAGGTGAAAGATTATTATTTGAATGACAACCACGCGTAAAACATGAGCAATACAATCTGCACAACTTTGATAATATATATCAGAAAACAGATGTTTCTATGTGTTATTTTAGAGCTCAGGCCCACACAAGGCCTTGTTTGTAGATCCGGAAAGAAATGTGCTTTGACTGCATGCTTGGAGGACAAACAGACAGAGGTAGTGGATTTTACAGCTCTGTTTGTCATTAAAAGTGTCAACACTGACTGTGTTTCAGCGAGTGTGTTGAAATTACTTCCACAATTTCACTTTGGGCTTGAAAGACAGTTTAACTAAAAAAACACACAAACAGAATTTTATGAATGTTGTTTGTCAAAAAAAAAGTCTTAAGTGAAAGAAATCTTACATGAATTAACATACAGCACTATTGTTACTAATATTAGTATAATTACTAATATTGTCTGCTTCTCTCATGTTGCATACTGATGAAGTGACTCTGCTGAAGTGTTAGTTTCACCCAGGATTAGAGTATGTGTGAGAGGTATCCGCTGATAATAATAACACACTGTTCGGTCTGTCTTTAATTTTTAAACAAACAAATGAAGTTGGTTTGTAAAAGTCAAAACAAGTAAATCATTTAACCCTTGTTGAGCCTCTTTATGGACATTGTTGTGTTTTACTCTTTGTTAGTTTAAAATAATACGTTTTTCATGCAAACAGAATAAACTTTGTGTGTGTGTAAACACCCTTTTGACACTCATGAACTACAGCCAGTTTTGTTTACACAATTCATCTATACCGAACGTCTTTGGGCTTTGGGTGTTATGATCACCAGCGATATAGTGTTTGCAGATCACTGGAGAACTACACATCTGCCACTTAACCAAACTACATATCCCATCATGCACCTCTCTCGCACACCATTCACCCCATGATTAACACAGCTAAAGCTCATGAGGACTAATGACTTGGACGATATATACTACACACTTATCTTTTTGCTGTCGTTTCCCACATGAACATTATTAAGCATCATCTATGTCCTGCCTTACTGTGTATTTGACCTGTTTTGTTAATTCTTCTTGTTGTTTTGCCACCTGTCCTGACCATTTGTCTGTTATTCTAGCCACTCTCTTGGGTTGTCTGTATACTCGGGTGTATTCTTGTATCATCCTTGGTTGTCTGACCATCCCTAAAAAAAGCTGCAGTTGGATCCTCACCTCTGTTGTCTGCAAGATGTTATAAAAGCCACAAAATGGATCCAGCAGCAAGTCTTGTCAGACTAAAACAAGGTTTTAATTCCCTCAAGGACCACGCAAGCAATTTGTTTTTGGACATTGCAAATAATGGAACTCTCCTGGACTGTACCCATTGGACTCATTGATTTTTTTTTTATTTTTATCACAGACTTCATGAACCCGGAGGAAGCACACATGAGCATAGGGAGAAAATGTAAACTCTGCACAGAAATGTTAACAGGCCTAGTAAGGATTATAACCAGTGATGTTCTTGCTGTGACACAACAGTGCTAATCACAGGGGCCGCCGTGCCGCCCAATCTAGGAAACAAGGGGATTCTTCAAGACGAAGATGACTGAGGTATGAAACTTTGGTTATTTATAGTGAGTAAGGAATCATCTGATTGGTGAATCATGTGTTAGCTAATGCAGGACCAGCTGTGATCAATCATAAGCACCAATAATCCTCTCAAGAAGTTTATAAATAAAGTTCACTTAGTACCACTATCACAGTAATGATCAGTCACAACGGGTGGATATCAAGCTTTCGTGCCTGGCACGGCTTTTTCAATGTGTGTGCGCCGGTGTCAGACATTGCCAGGGATATAATGTCATTTTTGGCGAACAGGTGAGATATTCGAGAAAGCCAGACAAAAAAGCGCTGCAGTATGCATTACAGGAGTATATTCACGGCATAATAGGCAACCGATTAGAGAATAAATCAATCAAAATTGAAGCTAGCTTAGCCTAGCCGCCTCATAAGCTAACTATTCAACAGCTTAGCTCATGCTCAGCAGGAGAGGTGACAATAAAAAATAATCTAATAATAATGAAACCTTGAATTCTCTATTTTTAGCCAAAAAGCCTGATAGATTAATTGTTGTGCAATGAAATATAGCGTTACTAACCGACGAGGAAACATGCATGACAGTGCTTTTACATAATGTTAGTTCATTCATAGAAAGAACAGACAGAAAGGGTAAACTGATGGATTTGTGCGGAATATTAGCATCATTGACCCATAACTATGTACAGTAAGTTAACTATAACTGTCAGTGTGTTTTTGTGCTCTTTATAAAGTACTGAAAAACAGCTGCGGGTAAAGTATATTGATCGCAGCTGCTCAGTTTGTGATCATGTCTCGGTTTTGTTCTGGTGACTTATAATTCCAAATATTCGTAGCTTGAAATAAGATGTAAATATGAAGTTCAGTAAAGTTAGCATCAGATTCGCAGATTCGTTCCGCTCCTTTAGCTCCCCTCACACAGCTTGATCCATGCTGACTGTTCTCCTCTTGGGTTTTAGGATTTGAAAAGGGAAAAATTTCACCATCCCGTACAAACTTTAAGGACACCGGGTATCAGATTTGCACAATCCTTCCATATGCACTCGCTCGAAAGCTTGACAGAGCCCCTGCGTTTAGCCAGGGCCAGACGGAATCTGCGGATGTTTTTTGCTATTTTTGCAGGGAATTTTGGTAAAAATCTGCGAATTTCTGCTGAATTATTTTGGGAGTATCCAGCAGAGTATCATAACTAAGACCTTAATATATGAAATAAAGAGTAATAAATTACTGAATAAAACCTGAATAAATTCAGATTTACACATTTACTCAAGTAAATAAACAGAATTAATAATGGGCTAAAAATCTGCAGAAATCTGCGGAATTCTGCTGAAAATCTGCGGAATTCTGCGGAATTCTGCTGAAAATCTGTGGAATTCTGCGCGCTCAGATTCCGTGTGGGCCTACGTATAGCTACAGTTGCTAAGCCACGATTGGTGGGTGGCTGCTTTTGGGCGTGGCTTAGCGAAGGGTCAATTCAGATTCTACACACAGAATTGGGCCAACAAGCTTCAATTTTAACCCAACAAGAGGTGACATGTAGAAAACACCATTTAACACCAGAGTTTCTGAACTGACTAACATTTGATCTTTTACATACCTGGACATGGTTGACAGAGTTCAGTGTTGGTGAGATGTGTGGTCTGTTTGGTATTTGAAATGTTCACCACACAACTGTAGGAATCATCCAGACACTTCAGATCTAGATGCAGACTGTTGCTGAGATCAGACACACTGATTCTGGAGAATAAACGGTTTCCTTTGTACCAAGAGAGACTCACAGCGCTCATGTTCACAACTGAACACAACACTGAACAAGAGTTTAAGGATTTACTGGTGATGACAGGAACAGGCAGATGAGCTGAAATAAAGTCAGATAAATTAGATATTAAGTCATTCCTAATTTGATTAATTAAAAATAAAACAGAATGAAGAATATTTAAGTATATTCGGTGTAGCTGAAATTAATTTAAGTATAATTTTATTTAAACACATTGAACTCTTCATGGTTTGTGTAAAGATCATTTGAGAACAGCAGTTTGATTGAGTCTGTAAACCCACACATTTTACAGCGCTGTAATTGCATTTGTTCCTGTTAGCTGGGACTGCGTCCATCAGGTATTGTTTAAAACTGTGGCCTTGACAATCTTATCCATTTGTAAGAGGATTATCTTAATTTTAGCATTGCAAACTTGTAATCATGACTTACCGTATACATTGAGAGAGTATTTGGTCTTTGTGTAGCCGCTGATGACTGGTTTATAAAGTCCAGAGTGTGCTGTTGTGGTGTTCATGATGGTCAGAGATCCAGTTTGATGATCCAGCTTCAGTCGGTCTCTGAATTCCATATAAACATCAGATGTGGAGAAGTTTCCGGACAGTTTCTTTTGAGCTATAGTTTTATTTTTATTTCCAAACTGCCACTTTACCACATGTTCTTTCTTTATTTCAGCAACACCAGACTCCAGAGTGACTGAATCTCCCTCCATCACTGACATCACTACATCTGAATCAGCAAACACACCTGAACAACACACAGCGTATATCAGTTCCACTCCGACTTTCTGCATGAAGTTAAAAATATTATAACATAAAATATGACATGCTTTGTTGTCTCGTGAGAAATCCCTCATTATGTTCATATAGATTAAAGTAGTATAACTTTAATATTAGTGTAGAAATACTAACTAGGATTTTTATCTTTTTTTATTTTCAACTTTTATAACAAATAATACATATTCATTTAGGGAAATGTTACTGTAAATAGTGCTAGATTTTTGGATTTTAAGTTATACAGATTTCACTCCGCATGTAAACGCATCAACCGGCTTTCTGTCGCCTTAGAGGTGTATAACGTATTTTGATGTTTTCCCAAAATAATCAGTCTCAGTATTTAAAATACACAGGCTTTGTATTTTGACTTAATTGACTGAATTCATTTTTTTTGCGTGGATTATTTTAGTTTTTAAAACTATCCAATAAGTTCAGCTAACTTAAATTTTAAAGCAGATTTCAATATGTTTAACTAACCTAAGTTTTTTTATGGCAGAATTCATTAAGTTCAGCTAGCTTAAGGTTTTAAAGCGGAATCCAATAAGTTCAGCTAACTTTAAAAACTTAAGCAGGATCCAATAGGTTCAGCTAACTTAAGTTTTTAAAGCGGAATCCAATAAGTCCAGCTAACTTTTAAAAACTTAAGCGGAATCCACTAAGTTCAACTAACTTAAGCTTTTAAAGTGGAATTTAATAAGTTCAGCTAGCTTAAGATTTTAAAGCGGAATCCAATAAGTTCAGCTAACTTTAAAAACTTAAGCTGAATCCAATAAGTCCAGCTAACTTTAAAAACTCAAGTAGGATCCAATAGGTTCAGCTAACTTACGTTTTTAAAGCGGAATCCAATAAGTCCAGCTAACTTTTAAAAACTTAAGCGGAATCCACTAAGTTCAACTAACATAAGTTTTTAAAGCGAAATTTAATAAGTTTAGCTAGCTTAAGTTTTTAAAGTGGACTCCAATAAGTTTACTGTACGTAGCTTAAGATTTTAAAGCAAAATTCAATAAGTCCAGCTAACTTTAAAAACTTAAGCGGAATCAAATAAGTTCAGCTAACTTAAGTTTTTACAGCGGAATCCAATAAGTTTAGCAAGCTTAAGGTTTTAAAGCGGAATCCAATAACTTTAGGTAGCTTAAGGTTTTAAAGCGGAATCCATTAAGTTTAGCTAACTTAAGGTTTTAAAGCAGAATCCAATAAGTTCAGCTAACTTAATTTTTTAAGCAGAATTGAATAAGTTTAGCTAACTTAAGGTTTTAAAGCGGAATCTAATAAGTTCAGCTAACTTAAGTATTTAAAGAGGAATTCAATAATTTCAGCTAGCTTAAGATTTTAAAGCAGAATCCAATAATTTCAGCTAACTAAAGTGAAGTACTGAACTTATTGGTTTAGTTATCTGAAAATATATTTTTTTAGTCCACTGACATTTTCTCAACAGTGCACGCTTATTAATAAAAACAGATGCAACCAAATTGTGAGTTGGTGCGACCAACTGAGAAAGTTAGTTGCACCAGTGCGATCATATAAGAATCAGCCTGGGGCCCTAAACTACAGCTACTACAGCACTGTCTGCTTTCATAGAAAGATATATTTAGATGCTTATCCTTTTATTTTTGACAAGTGTTTTTGTTTTAGCTAATTTGTTTAATTATAACTTTTGTAAACATTTTTTTTTACAAACAAATAAAAAGCCAATGAGTTGACAACTAAGTTGAAACAACCAGCATTCCCCCTCTTGCTGTGATAGAATTTCACTGACTTCAATTATCACAATGTTTTTATTATTAAGAATAATCTGTCTTTCTTCAAGTTGTTTGAGTACATGTTAATGAGAATACATTATTAAAAATACTGTAAACTTTGTGTATAATTCTGATATTCTGTGTTAAAATATAGGGGAATTTTTTTTTACAATGTATACGGAATAAAGGCAGAAAAGCATGACCACAGAACCACAATACAAACTAAACTGAAAATTTCATGAGACCACACTATATTGCTTGATAATATTAACAGGTTTGGGATGCTATGCCGGAAGAGGTCCCTGAGCTCGGAAATAATTGAGCCCAGGGCTCCGGCCTGGTCAATGAGCATGTGAGGGAAAATGAATAATCCGACTATAGACAAACAGCATTATTTTACACGCACCTTTACACAGTTGACCACTTTACTTAACAGTAAGAATCGAAAATGAGGGACAACTGTACGTGTTGCTCCATATACATAATATAAAACAGTCGGCGAACACTAAACTTTATCTAACCAAAAAGATAATTGAAAATTTGAGCTGTAAACATGAAATCATGTCCAAAAGCAGATTATATCTCTCTATAGACAAAATATTATAGTAGATATGCAGTATTATTTTACACACATCTTTACACCATTGACAACATGAAAACAAAAACTACATTTTAACTTACAATAGAGCTATAAACATGAGCTCACATCCGAAACTAAAGTACATTCCTCAAAATATTGTGGTAACATTCTATATGTGTGTAAAACTTACCAACTAGACAGAAAAGGTACAAACAGTTAAAAAGAAATGAGCAAAACATTTTCTTCCGCTGTCTAAAATAGTTTCCCTTAAGATGCATACAAGGGCAGTCTAAAAGTGTTGTGTTCTAGAAAGGGGAGTGTGTTAAAGAGAGAGAGAAAGAGAGACAGGCAGGTTTTAAGTTCTGTATTTCCTTTTTTTCACCATGGCTGCTGTAAACATTCTGCATTATGTTTTCATTGTGTATCTATTTTTTATTTTAAATGTACTTCACTCTTAGTTTCACTTTCACTTTTCAACAAGTACAATTTAAGAGTATTTAAAAAAAACTTGTTATTAATTTTCTTAAAAGTTTCCACATTATCTTTTAATTTTGTTACATTTTCATTAAACTTATTAGCTTTTGAACTTTTGAAAAACGCTGAAAAAAACAAAGCTGAAAATTTTTTAAGTTAATTTCAGCAATTAAATGCACATCCACATCATCATAGTTCTGTATTATAATATTCAATATGCAATATTGTCAGGATTGCCTTGACTTCATTTTTATTTATTTATTTATTATTATTATTCATTTTTTCTTTTTTTTTTGTTCAGTTGGAGTTCTAGTTTGAGCTTAGATGTTTGACATATATTAGTATATCTTTATATCTTTGTTTATGGTCTCCCCTTTTTACAGCAGCGGTCTTCCTGCAACGTAAAATCCACCCGCAGCAATTCCTAAAATCGCCACTAGAGGTCGGCAAACCATCTCGCAACAAATTATCTCATCTGCTACTTCTCAAATTATGCTTCAAAAACAACATACTAAAAACAGGAGTCTATGATAAAACAAATAATTCTCTAAATGTGTCAACAATTAACTGATATAGACTGCGTCCCAATATGGTGCAAATCATGTTTTAAATTGTCCTGTTAATCATCTTGCCTCATGTTAACATCCTCCACATCTCCTTATTTCACAGTTTTGGAGGTGATGTAGCGCATCCTAACTAACCATTGTTGGTTACCTGAACATTTCTGGGAACAATAGTTTATCCCTGATGTTCAGCCAAGTTTTCTTTCTTTTTTCTAGTTTAACTTTTTCCATTTAAGCTGAGAAAAGACCAATTTCCTTTGTAAAATTTTCTTCATCTCACCATACTGAGCAACATTTCAGTTTTTTTATATTGATCATTCACAAAAAGTCAACCAAATGATTACACAATGTCTTTTAAGTAAAAGTCATGGTTAAAAGTCATTAATTTAATTCACTTTTTTTTATAATTGCACTTACTCCACCCATCAGCATAGGAGGTTATTGTTATTGAATCTGCCACTATGCTGACACATAGGCAGTAGTAGCTCCGCCCTGTTTTAAAAAAGCTCAGTCTCCTTCGATTTTAAAGCGACAGACACCAAAATAGCACAATTTGAATCAAAGCCTAAAAGGAGTCTTTTCAATTAATTATAAAACATTGTTTATTTGGTATTTTGAGCTGAAATTTCACATACACTCTCTAGGGACATCAGAGACTTTTGCATCTTGTTAAAAGGGGTGTAATCGGTCCCCTTTAAATGAAACCATTATTCAAATAATTCCTAACAAGATAAAAATCAGAAAATGTGAATTATAATACAAAGTTACTTACACAGTTATTAAATAACACACACTCACCGGCCACTTTATTAGGTACACCTGTCCAACGGCACGTTAACAAATTTCTAATCAGCCAATCACATGGCAGAAACTCAATGCATTTATGCACGTAGACATGGTCAAAATGATCAGCTGCAGTTTAAACTGAGCATCAGAATGGGGAAGAAAAGTGGTTTAAGTGACTTTGAACGTGGGATTGGTTGTTGGTGCCAGACGGGCTGGTCTGAGTTTTTCAGAAACTGCTGATCTACTGGGATTTTCATGCACAACCATCTCTAGGCTTTACAGAGAATGGTCTGAAAAAGAGAAAATATGCAGTTAGCGGCAGTTCTGTGAGCGCAAATGCCTTGTTGATGCCAGAGGTCAGAAGAGAATGGCCAGACTGGTCTGAGTTGTACTCAAATTGCCTCTACAGTCACCAGACCTTAATCCAATAGAGCTCCTTTGGGCTGCTGACAAACCTGCAGCAACTGCGTGATGCTACCATTGTCAATATAGACCAAAATCTCTGAGGAATATTTCCAGTACCTTGTTAAAGCTCTGCCACAGAGGATTAAGGCTGTTCTGAAGCTAAAGGGGGATCCAACGATACTAGTAAGGTGTACCTAATAAAGTGGCATGGTGAGTGAATGTACACTATGTTCACTTCTGTTAGGATAACCTCACATAGCATTAAGCAGTGACCTCATAATTTAGGAAACTGTAAATTGATCCTGAATTTTCATATCCACTGTAACAGAATCCAACGTCATTGATTGGCATTAAGTTTTGGCAACCAAGAATCACTAAAACTCCCTGGACATCTCATAACATTTCTGATATCCGCTGTGTGTCTCCGCCTGTGGATCTGATGTCATATACCAGAAAAGCCACAGTGGCCACACCCACTAGGGCGGAGAGAGCCAATCGGGTCACAGCTTCAGTAGGACCACAGCACTGAACAGAGTCTGAGGAACAAACACATCACACTGAGCTCAGATCAGTTGATAAATAATATAAGCACAAATATCAGCTCTGCTGTACCTTCAGATGTCTGCCAAAGTGTGTTGATGTCCAGATGTGTGGTCTGGTTGCTGATGGTGTTGTTGATCACACAGCTGTAGGTGTTTTTATCCTGATATTCCACCTCCAGAGGTAGAGAGAGACTGATGCTGAGATCAGACACACTGATGCTGGACAATACACTGTTTCCTTTGTACCAGGAGAGACTCACAGCGCTCACGTTCACCACTGAACACAACACTGAACAATTACACTGTGATGATGAAGATGATGGACATTGAGGAGAGTTGAAAATGAGGACAGGAACAGGCAGACGAGCTGAAAAAGAACAGAAAAAAATGGATATTAAGAATTACTGTAATTTTAATTAATTATTTTGTTCATTTTAATCAGCTATAAATCATCTCTCCTCACCATAGACAGAAACCCTGAATATTATTGTGGTCAGTTTCACTGCATTTATCTCTAGTTTATAAACTCCAGCATCTTCAGTTGTGATGTTTGTGATGGTCAGGGATCCAGTCTGATCGTCCAACTTCAGTCTGTCTTTGTATATGTTATCAGTTTGTTTGTCCCTGCTGATTTCAGCTATCACAGAGTTATCAGCTCCAAGTTTCCACACTATGTCGTCATTGTCCTGTATTTCACTAACACCGGTGTGTAAAGTGACTGAATCTCCCTCCGTCACCGAAATGGATTCACCACACACACCTGATGAACAAACAAGGTCAGATTTTAAAATTGCAAAGACACGTGTTTAATTAATGTTTTTTTTTATTTTACATACTGTAAATTATTTCAGTTTTTGTTTACAATATGTGAAATAATATATCAGCAATTAAAATGTACAAATGTAAACACTCCGAACTAATTACAGCTCAGACCCGGATGGGCTAATCAGGAGCACCTGGAGAATTCCCGGTGGGCTGGTCCATTTTTTGGCCGCGAGGGCCGGTGTCCCTAGCTTCAGAATCTGTTGCTGTCAGCAGTCACACTTTTTAAAATTAATTTATTTATTTACTTGACCACAGCCTTCTTATTCATTATTTTACCACAGCTCTGCTCTTTTTATATATAACCAGCCTGCAAGTTAATGATGATATAACTCAGATTAGTCACTCCTCTATATACAACAGTTGTGGTCCAGTGGTTAGTATGTTAGATTACAATGCCGCTGACCTCGGGTTGACCCTCGTCTGAGTATGTAATTTTTAAAAATTTTATTGTTAAGACATATAATACTGTAAGGGTTGTTGAACATTTGAAGTTCTAAAGCAGCTGTTTTCTCAAAAAAAGACGTGATAGTGTCATTAGAAACTGATTTGGAAATGACCTTATTTTAATATAGTCAGTCGTGAACGGAGGTGGGCCGGTCTGAGGCTTGAAACTCCAGGGCTGAAAAGGAGTCCCACTCCGGCCCTGTTACAGCTCCAAATCAGAAAGAGTTGGGACAGTGTGGAAAACACAAATAAAAAAGAAAGTATTGATTTCTAAATTTATTTTGACTTGTGTTTCATTGCAGACAATCTGAACATGTCAAATTTAAATCCTTTCCTTTCATTTAGACCTGCAACACATTTCAAAAAAAGGTTTGGACAGGAGCAGTTTAGGCCTGGTAATCAGGTAACTTGGTTAAATGATGTGATTTGAAACAGGTGATGTCAGCAGGTGATTGTAATTATGATTTGGTACAAAAGCAGCATCCAAGAAAGGGTTAGTACTTTGGGAGCAAAGATGGGCCGAGGATCACCAGTTTGCCAACAAATGCGAGAGAAAATGATTGAAATGTTTAAAAACAATGCTTCTCAAAGAAAGATAGGAAGACATTTGGATATTTCATCTACAACAATGCATAACATCATTAAAAGCCTCTTAGCCTCTTCAGCTGCTCCAGAACGCAGCAGCACGAGTGGTCTTCAATGAACCTAAACGAGCACATGTCACTCCACTGCTCATTCGTTTGCACTGGCTGCCAGTTGCTGCTCGCATCAAATTCAAAGCTCTGATGTTTGCCTACAAAGCGACTTCTGGCTTTGCTCCTTCTTATCTGCTCTCACTTCTGCAGATTTATGTGCCCTCCAGAAACTTGCGTTCTGTGAATGAACATCGCCTCGTGGTTCCATCCCAAAGAGGGAAGAAATCAGTTTCCGGAACGCTTACGTTCAATCTGCCCAGTTGGTGGAATGAACTCCCTAACTGCATCAGAACAGCAGAGTCACTCGCTACTTTCAAGAAACGACTAAAAACTCAACTATTTAGTCTCCACTACACTTCCTAATCTGCAATTTCCTCTCTGAATATCACACTAACTGCACTCAAAAAAAAATTACTAATACTTTCCTTCTTAGCCTTTAAAGACCTGAAACTTGCCTATTGCACTTATTCATTGTTACTCTTATAGTTGTGTAAATTGCTTCCTTGTCCTCATTTCTAAGTCGCTTTGGATAAAATCATCTGCTAAATGATCAAATGTAAATGTAAAAGATTCAAGAAATCTGGAGGAATTTCAGTGTGTAAAGGACAAGGGCGCAAGCCTAACCTTGAACACCCGTGATCTCAGATCCTTCAGGTGGCGCTGCATCGAGAATCCTCATTCATCTATAAGCGATATCACCACATGGGCTTAGGACTACTTTGTCAAACCTTTGTCAAGTACCCCAATACAAAGCTAACAGTTAAAATTGTACTGTGCCAAAAGGAAGCCCTACGTTAACAGTGTCCAGAATCCCTTTGTTAACAGTGTCCAGAAGTGCCATCTACTTCTCTGGCTTTGAAGGCATCTTGGATAGACAATCACACAGTGGAAACGTATACTGTGGTCAAATAAATCAATATGTTTTAGGTTTTTTTTGGACGAAATGCACACTTTGTGATCTAGACCAAGAATAAAAGGATCATCCAGCAACGTCCAAAAGCCAGGGTCTGTCATGGTATGTGTCAGTGCCCTAGGCAAAAGTAACTAGCACTGCTGGGATGGCACCATTATTGCTGAAAAGTTCATAGAGGTTTTGGAGCACAATATGCTGTCGCCTTTTCCAGGGATGGCCATGCATATTTCAACAAGACAATCCAAAACCATATTCTGCAGACATTACAAAGTCCTGGCTGTGGAGGAAGAGGCTACATGTACTTGACTGGCCTGCCTACAGTCCCGACCTGTCCCCAGTAGAGAATGTGTGATGCATTTTGAAGCGCAAAATGCAACAACAAAAACCCTGTACTGTTGCCCACCTTAAGACCTGTTTGGAGGAAGAATGGGACCAAATAACTCCTGAAACAGTTCATCACATGATGTCTTCAATCCCTAAACTTTTTTTTTAAAATATTGTAAAAGTAATGGCAACATTACAAAGTGGTAAATCCTGTACTGTTACAACTTTTTTGAATGTGTTGCAAGAACCAAAAATTGAAATACTTGTTTATTATTTTTAAAAAACAAGAAACACATTATATAATGTTTGTTGTATTGCTTGCAATGAAATACAAGTCAAAAGCACTTCTTTCTTTTTCATTTGCATTTTCTATACTGTCCTAGCCTTTTCTGATTCAGGGTTGTAAAATCTGATGAGAGTACGGTTCATTGCTTAATTCAGCTATTTATTTGGCACTGAAAACAACTGAAGAGAAACAAGTACAAAACAGAAACTAAAGTTCACATGTGTTAAAAATACAGATTGTAAATAAATATTGCTTGCCTAAATATTTTAAGTTGCATCAAATTAACTTTTTTAGACATCACAACTCACAGTCAAACTGAATAGGTCACACTTTACAATAAGGTTCATTAGTTAATGTTAATTAATGCATTTACTAACATGAACAAACAATGAACAGTACATTTACTACCGTATTTATTCATGTTAGTTAACGTTAGTTAGTGAAAATACAGTAGTTCATTATTAGTTCATGTTAACTCATTGTGCATTAACTAATGTTAACAAGCATGGACTTGGATGTTAATAATGCATTAGTAAATGTTCTATTATGATTAATAAATGCTGTACATGTGTTGTTCATGATTAGTTCATGTTAGTAAATGCATTAACTAATGAACCTTATTGTAAAGTGTTACCACTGACTAAAAGTATTAAGTTAAACGTTGTATAACTAAAAATGTTGGGTTGAAACCTGATTAACTGATTAAAATTAAAGTTACATGACATTGATATTTTGTCATACCATGCTTACAGTGCACTAGAAACCAGTTTTAAAAAATACAGTAAACTACCTTATTTCATTCATTTCATGTTATCCACCAATGTTTTTAAGTACCAACATCTACACATCTTACTTTTTGTACACAGACAACAACTATAAGCAGGCAGTGAAGAAAAAGTTATAAGGTAAGCTTTTCCACAAACATAAAACATCCTAACATATTAAAGGCACTCAGTGTAACACACACTACTACCAAATACAGTAACACACACAACACTAACGCAATGCAATAAACGTTGTTTATCAAAACTAAATGTAGCATTAATCTCTAATATAGATCACTGATGAGAACAAAACTTAAAATAACCATATTGTAGTAAGTCAACAAAATACAGGGATTTCTAGGAAAGTCAATTTACGGTCATTTACCGGAAACACTGTTAAATTTACAGATTTTTACTGTCGAGCTTTAACAGTTTGTTATTGTTTATTGTTGAAATATTGGATGAACTGCAAATAAAAGTCAAATAGCTCAGGTTATGATATTAAGCCATAAAAATATATGTATAACGTACCGTTAAGACGCCATAAAGAGACTAAAACAAGCAGGTGGAACATTTTCTCCAGCAGTTCAGCGAATAATAATCTGATCGAATAAGAATGTGTGCTGAATACACTCAAATGTGTGAATCCTCCTACCACAAGTAAGCCTTCCTAGTTCACACACACACACACACACACACACATACTTGTGCATCTGTCTTTGTGGAGGTTTACCGTAGGCTTCTATGTTTGTTTGTTTTTCATTTAGGACATGTTGGAAAAACTGAACCATCAAATATTTTTTACATTATTATATAAAGCATTATTTAGTGTTTAGTCATTTTTCGAGTGGGTACTGCTGGTCACACAATCCCCACAATGTCAGAAATGTTAGATTTAAATATCCTTCTGGTTAAACAACACGCATGCAGAATGAATTATGATTTATCTATTGCTGTTTCTAATGGTAGGCAAAGATTATTTTCATAATTTAACTTATAATGTATTTAAAATAAACTATTGTGCTTGTAATAAGACCAGAAGGATGTCACTGAGGTGTGACAATGGCAGCTCGACTGAGTCAAACTGAAACATGTCTGTGGTCTGATTTCTTTGGAAATGTCTTTGGTTTGTCACCAGTCAGTGCATTTGTTTTTGTAGTCTGTAGGTGAAGGGCTTCTTCCTGTCCTGCTCTTATTAACCACATAGTCTCAATTACTTGCTAGATGGTAAACAAATTCTTTTCTGCGAAATAAAGTACACTCAAAAAATTATTTGCTGCTTATTCAAAATACTTATTCGAAATGAGTCGAAACGACACAATTCTTGATATTTTTTGGGGGGACAACTTAATTGTTTTCTGTTCAAAATAATCCTTGAATCCAATTAGCAAAGCTGATGAAAAAAAACAGGCAAATTAGATCCCAGGGGTGGACTGGGGGAGTATTTTAGCCCGGGACATTTATTGAACATCAGGCCACTTGAGGGATGGGGGAGTTTGGGAGCGATTGGTAAGTGGAGAGCAGGGGAGGCGAGGAGGTGTTGGGGGCGAGTTGAACAAGCGGTAAGGGATAGAAGAGAGGTGGTGGGTGCTTTTAGGGGCAACCTTTTAACCTGTTTTTGGTAATTACTTGAGAAAAAACTAGGTAATCCACTCTTAAGACGGTAAGAGAGAAATTTTAGGAACTGATAAATACAAATAGTGGAGTAGGAGATAAAGGGTTTAAAGCAGGGGTGTCCAGTGTCCGGTTTCCTGCAGATTTTAGCTCCAACTTGCCTCAACACATCTGCAAGGATGTTTCTAGAAAGCCTAGTAAGAGCTTGAGCCAAGCTAGCCCAGGTGGGTCTGATTGGGGTTGGAACTAAACTTTGCAGAACACCAGCCCTCCAGGACTGAGTTTGGACATGCCTGGTTTAAAGCATTACTAATGTTTCTTATGGAGATGGGTTATATCCTCCTGAGACTTCGCCCATTGACTTGTGTCCTCTGTAGTGGACATTACGTTTTCATGAATTTTCTTTGAATTTTTTGAGCTACTCTGTCAAGTCCTGTTGTACTGTTCAGAGGACATCTTGGGCTTTCTAGTGATATGTTATTTGATTGGCTGGCATGCTAAGAACCACTTCTCACACTGTATCCAAAATGGCCGACATACAAACAAGCACATTTCATGGGAAGGAGCGAGGCATGTACAATTGAGCTTTTTAAATGTTTGTTTTTTTCCTGTTATTATTACATATATATTTGTTTATCAAAGTGTCAGGAACAATAAATGTAGCTTTCAAAGCTGTTAACTTGTTTGTGTTACAAAATATTATCCTTTTTTTAAAGTCCACTATAGTGGACACCAGGACCATCTTAATGTAATTAATGGCTGCATGTTGTAGGAGGCAAAACTGAAGCAGAGAGGATTCTTTATAAGATAGCTGAGGGAGACTCTGACCTAGAGTCTGACAATCAAACAATAAGAGACAATTAGAGAATGACAATCAGTTTTAAATCACTTTTATGTTAAATTTGTTCTGGATTAGCATCACTTCTTTTTGTTGTTGTTCAGACTAAACTGTTTCAGGAATTTCAATACAAAAGGAAAAAAATGGCTTTTGTTTAGTTTTTGTTATATTAATATTGGATTAATATCCCTTTACAGGCATATCCTGTTCAGTTTTGTTGTCTGAGTTTGGCGGTCATTTCGAACTAAAAAAGTCCTGTGGTCCACTACAGTGGACATGCTTGAAAATTAAAAATAAAAACAAAATGTAGAAACTCTAAATTGTAAAAAAAAAAAATAATAATAATAATAATAATTAACCCAAATGATGTAGGAAATCACAGAAAAAAGGGTCTCAGGAGGATATAATAGAAAATGAATATGTGGATGGAAATATTACTTCTGTTCCACACTCCTAACTAGGTGGCGGAAATGCACCTCGAAATTGTATGCCAAACGCCAATTCAAAAACACGAAGATGAAGACAACACAGGTGTGTCATCAAGGAGAGAGTATTTTTTGACTGTGACTGTGATGGGGAGAGTGGAAAAGCAGCATAGAAAACCATCTTATGTGGTTCATGAGTGCATGATGAAATGGATCTGTGAGAAGAAAAAAGCTATTGTACAAACTGTATGATAAATAAACACAGAAAAGCAGCATTTTGGAGGACGATCTTTATTACTTGGACCGGAAATCTCCTGGGCGATGCAGTGGCGCAGTAGTTACTGCTGTCGCCTCACAGCAAAAAGGTCGCTGGTTTGAGCCTCAGCTGGGTCAGTTGGCGTTTCTGTGTGGAGTTTGCATGTTCTCCCTGCATTTGCGTGGGTTTCCTCCGGGTGCTCTGGTTTCCCCCAAAGGCCAAAGACATGCGGTACAGGTGAATTGGGTAGGCTGAATTGTCTGTATGAGTGTGTATGGGTGTTTTCCAGTGATGGTTTGCAGCTGGAAGGGCATCCGCTGCATAAAACATGTGCTGGATAAGTTGGCGGTTCATTTCTCTGTGGCGACGCTGGATTATTTAAGGAACTAAGCCGAAAATAAAATAAATGAACGACTAAATTAATACAAAACTGCTTTAGACATAAAGTGAAAGCACTAGTATTTGTCACCAGAAACATTCACTGCTCCCCCTTGTGTCATACATTGGATTATTAGAAAAAATACTACATGGAATGAATTTAATAAATTTTTTTGTTTCATTAAAAAATGTAAAAACGAAAGGCAGGTGGAAATGTTAAATATGTAGCCTAGCAAAATGCAATAGAGATGGTATAGAGAATTATTAGAGCAATAGGATTTCAGATTGTCTATTTGAAACTAGTCAGTTCTATGATTTGATTAATTAATAGTGGAAAAATGTCAACTACATAGAACATAATGCAGTAAAGCTTTAAGTAACAACATTAATACATTTCATTTTAAATATAGTGACATAGATCAAGGATGCTTTAATGCAGGGGTGTCAAACTCAATTCCTGGAGGGCTGAAGCCCTGCACAGTTTAGTTCCAACCCCGCTCCAACACACTTACCTGTAGGTTTCAAACAAGCCTGAAGGACTCAATTAGTTTGATCAGGTGTGTTTAATTAGGGTTGGAACTAAACTGTGCAGAGCTGCGGCCCTTTTGGAACTGAGTTTGACACCTGTGCTTTAATGGACATGCAACAACGAATAATGCTGGAAGACAACGCTGTCAAACAATAGTTATTAAAAAGAGTCAAACATTATTAAACTTTTTGGAATTCACTTCTGCACCAGCTTAATGAGACGATCAAGGAGGCGTGCTTTCCTCTCACTTTTTGTCTGCATGTGTATATGTCACCGACTCGGTCCAGTCATTCCCCTCACAGGCCAGCAGAGGTCATCATCACCGGACTTCTAACACATTACGTCATCCTCATTGACTGATTGTCACACACACCTGCAGCACATCTCATAATCACCTGGCACACACATGTAAGCTGCACTCACACACACACACTCACGCTTCAGTGCGAAGTCTTGTTCTGCCCCGGCTAACACTACTGAGCGGTTCTTATCCTTGCCTACTTTTCCGTGAATTACCTTGGACTGTATCTCAACCTTGTCTTGTCTTGTCTTGCCTGCTGCCTACCCTGAACCTTAGCCTGTATACCGACTTGATCCTTGCTGCCTGCCTCTGACCCATACCTGAATACTCACCTTGTTTTTGCCTGCCGCCAGCCGTTCGACTTGATGCAACTGTTTGATGTGAGTTCGCACATGCATAACATCTGTGTGCTTTTTGTTATTAACCTCTTTAATAAATAAACTGTAAATGGATCTCTGTGTCAGACCCTTCATTACAGTATAGTTGTGTTTGGTATATATACAGTTGAAATTATATAATATACAGAATTATTAGCCCCCATTTAAGTAGTGTTTTTTTTTTTTTTTTTATTTTATAAACTATATTTTAGGATCAATATTATTAGCCTCTTTAAGCTATATTTGTTGTCAATAGTCTACAGAACAAACCACCATTATACAGTAACTTGTCTAATTAACCTAACCTGCCTAATTAACCTAGTTAGGCCTTTAAATGTCACTAAGCTGGTATAGAAGTGTCTTGAAAAATATCTAGTAAAATATTGTTTACTGTCATGGCAAAGATAAAATAAATCAGTTATTAGAGACGAGTTATAAAAAACTCTTATGTTCAAAAATGTGTTGAGAAATCTCTGTTAAACACAAATTAGGGGAAAAAATAAACAAGGTGGCTAACAATTCAGGGGCTTGAGTAACTCTCACTGCAACTGTATTTAGCATTTTTTATTTTTCTACTTATAACTGTTTTCTTTTATAAATGTATTCAGAAATATTACAGTAGTTGCTTGTTATAGAAAGAAATACAATAGGCAAAGTAAAACTCCAGCTGTGATTCTGTGACATCAATCAAATTTGCTGAGCAAAGGATCATCGGTGCCTAAAGTGTCTATCGGTCCTATCCCTGCACATCCTTTATTCCGAACAGCAATTTTAAGTGACCAGTTTGGAATGATACTTCAATAGGGGTGGTCATGTTTGTTTTCACTTTGAAGTGCCCTTCGTATACTTCAAACTAAATCAAAGAACAAATTATAA